TGAGTGCGCTTTGCAGATAAAAAATTTAAAAGCTGAGTTTCCGAATCATGCTGTGTGTGACTTTATGAAGTTCAGAAAAACTTTCTGCAAACGTTGTTGAAAGCACTGCACTCAGCGTCTGTTACTAGCTTCTTTACAATCTGACTGAGACAACAAGTGGAGCTCGGAGAAGGCGCCATAAATGAAATAGAAAATCAAAAATTAAACACAAGGACATATCTGGTGCAAAACGTACTTTACGCATAAAATTTTCGAGTAAATTGCGTACGAACTGTATGAACCAAATATCGTGATCATTTTAGAAGACAGGGGGAGGGGAAGAGGGGAGGGGGATTTGACACTCTGAAAGTACAACATTAGCTTTGTGAGACTTAGACATGAGACTCACTTAGCAAGTTCAAACATGCTTTTTTCTGCATCTGCACCCTTTTCAGCAAATTAGCTATTTACAGATGTTTACACCATGCTTATAGATTATTCAAAAAGCTGACTTTGGTCATTTTGACCGAGAGGAACAGTAAACATTCGGGCTGGCGAATTATTTTACACCTTCAGATTGCTAACACAGCAAATTTTGATTTCTCTATATTTTCGTAGCATCTCAAGAATTTCCCGAAAGAGAAGAATAGAGGTACTTTATTAGTTTTATGCAATCGAATACTACTTCGCATTTAGAAATGTTTGAGCTTCTGATGATGTGAGGCAAAATGGCAATCGATGCCGTGAGTAAATAGTCAAATTTCAAAGAATGGGATTGAACAAGCTGGAGACAAAGAACATAAGCACGAGAATTAATTTGACTATTCTGCGTGTAAATGTGAAAAGTGCTCGAAACCGCATATTGGGTAGTCCCAAAAGTTTTCTCCTTTTTTATCATTGAACTTTCACAACCAGGGCTCGGCACAGGCGGCTTGTAAGCAAGCTGGATATTGTTCTTGGGACAAAAGCAAAGAGGGTATCGTTTTTGAGGCCGAAAAGACACAAAAGTTGCGAAGCTTTTTTTGGTCGACGTTTCGTTTCTTCATACTTTTTTACGTTTAGGGTTTAGGGTCAAAGGGGACTTCGTACATATTCTCGAAAGTCAGGGGGGACTTCGTTTTTTGCATTTTCCAAGAACCACCTCGTGCCGAGCACTGCTCATAACACTAATCTGCGAACAACTGGAATATTACTCTATCGAGCTTCTTTCCTGCTTCTAGTAGCCGTATTTCCTTTGATTCAAAGTTTAACATGTTTCCGCTATGGTTCTTCGAATTTGCATAAGTGTTTGAATCCCCCTGATTTTCATCAGCGGATAGGCAGAATGTGGAAAACTTCTGCTACATTTTAGTTTAATCCCAAATCAATTTCTTGAAAGTTGTAGTGACTATTTGTTCAAAATAGCTCTGGTTTTACGAATAAATGTAAAGAGTATGAGCATCAAATACTTAAGGCCCGGTTTTTAGGATTGCATTAGAATTATATTGGGGGAGTGACTTTTCATACGATGAGCAATTCTGAGGCACGAGTTGTGAACACCTACGGCCAGGTGTGAAGTCTCGCACGTCCGCGTCTTTTATACTGTGGGAAGGGGGGGGGGGGGGAGGGACTTTTCATACGATGCTCCCATATATCATGACCTTTTGGCAACAATCCAATATTGGTACTATACTAGATATGGGCCTGCTGGCTCCATACCTAAAATATGGATCATCTAGAACAGCTGCAGTATCGCGAGATCAGAAAAATTTGAAGGCTGCATGCACAGATTAAGCATTTTGTTAAAAAAAACAACAACATCGTAATACAAAAATGAAAAAATGAACTACTCCTGAAAGATCTTTTCTCTTTCCCATTCAAGTCATCTGCAATTCTCTCTGAAAAGACACTCCTCTCCTATGAAAGTATGGCTATTTTAAGTCAGAACATTATTTTATTGTGAAATTTTATTTCGATATAAATCTAATACACCTCATAGTTCTTTCAATGACCTGGAGGAAAAGAAATAGAAGCATCTAGAATTTTTCTTAAAAGTAAGTCAAAAATGTGATTGTATTCAGTTGTATGCCTTACAAGTATTTATCTAGTACATTTTTGATGAAAAAAGATTTTTGTGTCCGTCGTAATCGATAGTTGGTGATGATATTAGCATCCTGGCATACCGCCAAAGGTCAAGATGATTATAGAGACTACATTTAAGAAGTTCTCCCTCCCCCCCCCCCCTTCCTCCGACCGTAGTGGAGAATCTGTTTCACTACATGGGACGAGAGGTGCGAAGTAGGTGTAATAGGTGCGAAGGATAGGTGCGAAGCCCCCGATCGTATGAAAAGTCTCCCTCCCAATTATATTATATAACCGAAGCTTCTTGTCATCGAAGTCCACATGCATTTCAAAAAGGCAAAAGCATTAGAGTATAGGTCACCGCCTTATTCGCCGAAAGTGTTTTTTTTTCGTGCAGGCTCAAACAGTTGACGAGAACATGAGAAAATAAAAATGGTAGATGGAAATTTTGGGCATTTATTTGAAAGTAAACTATAAAATTCGAGAGATTTGAGTGTGGAATAATATAAGGAAAAAGATGCTGCATAGAACAGATATTTGGATCTTCTCTATAAATCATTCTACGAAGTTCATAACCGATTACAAACTAACGGAATCTTCAGTACGTTAAGATATCGTCCAGTCACGCTATGTTTTGACCTATCCTCAATAGAAAAGAAGAATTTTGATGACAATAATTTTGGCTGGACTTCATGACACTGCATTTAGTGCAAATAAAATTCAGATACATCTAAGCACACCGCAGCAGCAGGGCAATAACAGTGCACTGAGTGCACGGAGTTGAGAAAAAGGATGTGGAAACCGGAAGTCACCGTTGCCGTGTTTCTACTCAGTCAGCACCACTGACACAAATGTCGAAGTTGCTTTTTTCTTGGATTTTTACAGACTCAGATGAGCTGCATGGTCCTTGTGCAACAAGACAAAAGACGAAAAACCAGTGAGTATTTTGAGTAGAACAAACTTCAAAAAAAAAACTGTTATCCAGTAAGATCGCGCCTCCAATTTCACAAAAATTACTTTCATGAAGTATTCTATAGAAAAACACTAATTGGTTGACAAATTTGAGTAAATCTGAAAATTTACTGCAGCTGCCGTGTTACCACATCCTAGCACTAAAGTACCGAAAATATTGTAGAAGTTAAAGTGAGTGTGATACAATGAATCTCCTCTCAATACTAAGCAAGAACCATGAAGAAGAGCTTGCACTTTGATATGCAGCATATGCAGCATTGCTTATTTGAGATGACATGACAAAAAAACCTGAGCTACGTAATTCACACAAGCAATTTAACCCTTTCGGATCTGAGTCTTTCCGAGTGAGCAGACAATCCTCACTTCCACTATTTTTTGCTTACTACCAGATAACTAACATTGCAGCGGGGCTAGGAGTCATTTCAATCATATAAACTATTCTTTTCTGATTTTTTGATTTTTTGTTTTGCGTTTATTTTAGATTCCGAAATCTTCCTCAGTACAAATGTATCCGCTAACAGTTAGCAATTACACTTGCTCAACACTCAGCACTCAAACATAATGATAATTTTATCTTTTGGCTAATGAACGAGATACTAAAACGGCGCTGAAGCCGGCGCAAGTTATTGATGGTTGAGATCGACTTGTATATAAAAGTGTGTTTATTGCTGACAGGAAAACAAATGAACACGCGGTTTCAAAGCCAGCTAAGATTTGGATGGCAAGGGCTATTTGAAGGTTCTATAGCAATTAGTATGAAATGATGTTCTTGCACCAGTACAGCAGGTCACTAAGCTGATGGTGCAATCGCTACCACCAGGTCTGAAAGGTTGAAGCTAGGAGAAGGAGCCATTGCATATCTATGCGCAGCGACCTACTCTATTCTACTAGAGTAAAGGTCATGGACTTGCTTGGATTGTCGTGCAGTGGAAGTGGTGACGGGTAACAGTCCCGGGAGACTTGAAATCCATATTCATTCCTTTGGATCAGTCTAGTGTTCACTGCATAAAATTGGACCCACATAGCAGCTGATTTTTTCTTGACATTCGGAAGTATCGACATGGAGATGGAGGAGCTCGCAGCTATCGTTTCCAGACAACAACACTCAACTCAACGATTATTCACCTTCTCGAAATTGCTGATGACATAGGTAAGTAATAATGGCATCTTCCATAACACTTCATTTGCACAGCAAACGTGGTACATAATAACCATAATTTCCTACATCCAACTAACTAGCCAAACATAACAAAAAACATCAACCTGATCCTACTGTACCAACCGTACAGTCGACCACCTCTACTCAATATGAGATCAAGACGGAAGCTCTAGAAGTTCTAACATTTAACTGCAGAACGATTTTGAGAGGTAACAATTGCAGGTAGCAGGTGGAAAGAGCTTGACAAAGAAATTACCAAGAACAAGACAAATGCTTGTAGCATATCAATATTAGGAAATACTCTCTCCTTGCTCAATACTTAGGCGACTCGAATTGAGCCAATTATTATGCAGCACACTTCCATGCTTTCACGTACGTTAATATACAGAAATCTAATGAAAGTGCAGGACTGACTGCATGTATAGAAAGGTACTTGGTGACTGTGACCGTTTGATTATATTTGCAGCGTTGAACTTGAAAGCTGATTTGATTCTGTTTTCGATTTTCCTAAAACGATCTTTTAGAAAAGATTATGAACGTAATTACCCAGTATTCGAGGAAATGGACTGATAATAATAAATAATTGTCGATCAGATCAAACAGTTTTACAGTTTTAACAGACCAGCATATTGAGTTTGGGTAAACTCGTTCAAACACGTTCAGAAGGTTGGATGATGATCAGGAGTGCCTCAGTCACGTCAACACGAAAAAAATATTTGTAAGAAGCGCTCAGAAGAAAAAGAATGTGGATGAATCAGCCTTTCAAGGCACGGTTACGCGTCTCATCAAACGGGCCCCACGGCCACCAAGTATTATTTCCTCATTAGTTTGGCCGAGAATCTATAGAGCTGCTAATGGTTCGGCACCGTCCAATCCTGGAAAATCACCACTACGGGTCGATCGTTCTCCTTCCAGTGGGTCCACTGCGATGAGGAGTACGTAGCAGCCAAAACGGACTGGTTGGAACGAGATACGGTTTTGAACGGTCTCATGCCGGCCCTGAAGAGCACCGCGTCAAGTCCAAGAAGCTACAGTAACCTAACGTAACCTAACTCACCCCACACACTGCTGGATGAGCTTCGTCTCAACAGCTCCTCCAAGACCTTTCCGACGATGTTCAGGGAAGACGTACTGATTATTGAAAAATCCAGCTGGATCCACCATTTCAAAAGCCACAGGAGTTCCATTGTAACGAACGCAAGCAGATGGCAGACGAGCCAACTTCGCGCTAAAAAACAGAGTGTTTCAGAGCATGGTTGCACACGTTGCCAAGTGCAACAAGCCAGGTTCCTTTTCTAGCCTGTCACACGAATTGAATTGAAGTCATGGTATTCCTTACATGGTCTGTTCGAGATCACCCTCCTTGGCATGTTGCCACGTGTTGTTAATCAGCTCACCCTCGGAAAATGGGTCTACCTGCAAGTAAATTTATGCAAACGTGCCACGTTGCTGTTTAATTTTTACAGATTTTCTCTATTCAAAATGCATGAACTCTCTTTAATTTGCATGCTTATCATTTATAATTCTTTGTTGAATTTCAAGCACCTCGTCGAAGTAGTAGCCTTCAGGCAGTGTAAGACATGGCTCTTTTCCGTTACGGGCCTGCCGACACTGTTTTTCATCCATATAAAAAAGTTCCAGGTTCAGGTTGCTCTCTTCCAGATCGCAAACAACGTTCTTCATGAGGCAGGTGTACTAAAAGAATTTCAAGTCACAGATTTTGTTGACTTCAACTCTAAGCACTCACAGCTTTCACAAGTTCTTCTCTGCCAATGATCAAATGGGTTCGGTTGCTATCAAGTGCACCAAAGGCTCTTACTCTAAAACAGCTTTGCTACTAGGGAAACATTCACGGAGCAATCAAAGTACTACCTAAACTCTCGTAGACAGTCATAGTATTCTCTTCTCTCCAAATGCGTTCCAGCTGCTTGGGCCAGCATGCAGTATGGCCTAAAGGAAACAGTGGATTTCGGAGAGTCATAATATTTGAAATACTTTACTTGATGTGCTCGTTATCTTTGATCATGAACCAATACTTCCTCGGACCACGTGCTGGATACACAAACACTCGTAAAGGAGATTCAGGAAAACTGGAAAACTTTCATAATCAGAGAAAACTTTCAATTTAGCGCATCTCTTACCTGTCTTCCAGATATCCGCGCACCGAGAATGGAAAGTAGATAGTGTTGACGTCACCCGTCGTCTCGGCAACTGCCCTCTCGAGTAGCTCTCGAGATTTGAGCTCGACCAGCATTCTGGGAAAACAAAAGCAGCTTTTTCACTAGCGCCGGAATGACATCAGAGAAAATGGCGAATTCAGTTCTATGCTGTGGATGTCAACGCACACTTAAAAATCTTCGCAAGAATGCATGCGAATGAGCTGGAGAGATGTGTATTATTTCAGCATGCTTCAAAAAATCATGGTTTTGAAAGATATTGTTAGTTGTTAGAAAGAGTTGAAATGTGCTGCGAATGATATGTAGCATATGTGAGATCTAAAAATAGAGCGAATGAGCAGTGAGCAAACATAGAAAACATGTTGTGAGCACCAAAACAAGAGCTGATCTCTGCAAGCGACTCAAGCATCAAGAAACATCGGCAACAATGCTTCGAGAAACTCAGAGTTGACCAGTGCATTTATCTTCCGGATGAAAGAATCATTTCCAAGAGCATCTCCCAGAAAATACTGTTAATTACATGCATGGGCAATGAGCCTTGGAGACGAGATGGTAACCTAATTGACAGCACTGACACAACGAAAAGAAGTTGCGTGAAACATCGAAGAAAAGAGGACAGCGAATGGAGTCATGCGAAAATCCACAAAGTCAGGCATAGTGCCAATAGGGCCCTCCAGCAAATCAACTCGGTGGAGGAGACCAGCGCATAAGACGCACATTCGCCAAATTTTCCATGTTTGTTCCATACCTTGCAGGAAGAGCTAGAGGCGCGGAAAAAGATGTAATTGACGGTTGAAGTTTAGAGAAAAATGAGATACCAGGTTTCCAATGGACCGCATTCTTACGCAAGACAACATGGATGTAGCGAAAACACAGGCTTTGATACTGTGAAACTGCTTCAACGAACACTTCGCAAGGCGACTAGCCAATATTCGCATCTTGCAGCCACCCTTAGCGACAAACGCAAGCAAAATATAACAGCCGGGGCTTTCCTACGACAAAGATCACTGTTGTCACGAAGCGATGAAAGACTAGAAGGGGCTCGCGCGAATGTTGCAGGCTGCTTATATGCTAGTCTCATGCTGGCCTCCTCTCTAGTGACTGCATTTTGTCCGACGTAGAGAAAGTTGAAGAAAAAGTTCAAGGCCTTGGCTTCTCAACCCATGAGTGTTAAGAAAAATAGAAGTAATAAAAATGAGCCAGACGAATTACAACGAAGTTTGCATGCAACCTCAATAATTTGTACTTCTACACCAGCAAATCCGTCAGCCAAACTGTAGAACGAAAACCATAAGCACAAAACAAATTAGCAGAAGCTCAAGAGACAAGGAAAGGGAAACAGCAGTGCATCATAGTTACACTACAGAGGGAGGAAGGTAAGAAATTTCATGATTGTTCATTTCTTGCGGAGGTCTGTCAACAAAATCACAGACGAACGATGTCCATTTTCATTATACATTCTTGCTCAATCGCTGTTATAAGCTAGGTGACAACTAGTAACACATTTATGCAGCAAAATGTTTTAATGAGCAAGCATTCTAGGGCAAACAGTAGAAACAAATAGCTGGCCAAGTTATCTCACATTTGCATCTTCTGTGCAACTCAAGGGTTTCAGTAAAAGAGAATGTGCATTTACTCAAGCTAATTGCACATGCATTTGAGTGGAAGTCATTGCGCAACAATACAGAGCAATATGAGCACGCTTTGAATGGAATAGAGAAACTTGGCATAGCTGGGTAATGCACGAGTGAAACAAAAAAACAAGCAGGGCACTCAAAGGATCTAGGAAGGAGCATAGCTGGAAAGAAGTGCATATGCAGTCTTCATTTCTGACGAGGGACTTTTCCGAGTATTTCACCAAAGAAATTCACTGAAGAGAGTAATTCATAGAACGGCACAAGCTCGGGTCGATCAGACGGCTCTCCGTAGTCGGGAGGCCCTGGGAGAGAGGGAAATAGCGCAAGACAGGAGGGACGCGACGAGGAGAGAAAGAGGGAAGTCGCTTCGCCAAGCAGCAACCTCATGAGCTGTTTTGGAGCAGGAAAGCTAGCAATTAGATTTTGCTGCTGGCAAGCGCGACATGAAGTGTTGTCGTTTAACACGTTTCGGACCGCGAAATCGCGCGCGGCGAAAAAGAGTGTACTCTCAGTCATTAGCCAACATAGAAAGTTTATTTCGAAGGCTATGTGCTACATCTGTAATCAGCACCTCAGATAAGTCCCATACACAAAGTTCTGAGTGAATTCGAAATGTTTAAATTTTGTTGCTTGAGAAGGACTTCTGTGCTTTCCTGAAAGATAGGGACAAGAACTCGGTTTCTAATGGTATCCAAAAGTGTCTATGCTGTAAACGGTACACATCAGTATTGAAACTACGGTTATTCTCTTTGATATCGAAGCAAAGAAAAGTTGCGACGTCGCACGCGTCGTTCGCGTTGCCGCGCTTCGTTGCAACTGATGTTCGATTTGTCCCCATATCTTCTAAACAGATATCGGTGGCACAGCTCCACAGAGTCATTTGAAAAGTAGAAGCTTAGGCCTTTGACCTGATAATCTTGGACTAAAAGAAAACTTCCTGTAAACTTCAAAAAGATCCTTCAAAGCAGCGTGCTGCACCATGTGCAGTATAGTTAGCACCGAATATTCGTGTTCGAATAATTTATTCGAAATATTCGACTATTCGAATATTCGAATAGTCGAATATTTGAGAAAGTCCATTTATTCGATTATTCGAATAGTCGAATAAATGAGAAAGGCCTATATTCGAAGAAATTCGTTCATTCGACGATTTCGAAAAATGACTTATTCGAATATTCGTTCATTCGACGAGTTTTAAATAAAGGTTATTCAAATATTCATTCATTCGAGTAGTTTTGAAAGATAGTTATTCGAATATTCGAATATTCGAATACTGCATTCAAATATTCGAATAATATTCGAACATTTATTCGAAATTAGTCGAATATTCGATCAAGTTCGGTTATTCAAGTATTCGTTCATTCGAATTTTGGAATGTGCCAATATTCGAATATTCAAATTCGAATAAAATGAAAATCGAAAGTCGAATAATATTCGTTCATTCGAAAAATTTTCGAAAATCAAATATTCGATATTCATTCGTTCGAAAAATTTTCGAAAATCAATTATTCGATATTCATTCGTTCGAAAAAATTGCAAAAATTGATTATTCGATATTCGTTCATTCGGGAAAATTTTTGTTCGTTACAACTATAATGTGCAGCACCGGTCCGAAACGTGTTAAAAAAAAGCAGAAGCGGTAAGGCAGTTCTTCATGAAGTGTGAAGGAGCCCATGGCGAGCGTGGTCCAACTGACATAAGTGTGGTGCTAGCATATGTGTAAGGCGAGCCGGAAATTTGGGGAATCCCGTAGCACGTAGTGATTTTCGAAGGTTTGCGACAGCTGGCATACCGCGGGTGAAAGCCGGAATCCAATCTTCACACAAGCAATTTTCATATTTATTCTTCCCTTGTGTAAAAAAGCTAAGCAAAAGCATATGGGGTTTAGCCAAGGCACTAGCAAGGGAAGGATACTGGTTCGAAATGGAGTTTCCATATAACATGCATACTGCCTTATAGAGCATGGTACGCTGATGTCAAATCTGCTTTTGGTATCGGCAAAGCTCTTCTGGGAAGGTATTAATGATTTCTTGAGGCAAAAAATTAGAAAGTTTGGCTAAGGTAAAGTGTTGAGGTCTTTCCGGCGCTTCGAAATGATAATGACTAGGACAAGTTCAACAGACTGAAAGTGTTAAATAAAGCACCCTGGCAGTAATTGTGGTCCCATTTGCGCCCACAGACCACAGCTCTGATTCATTTTATTGTAGCCGCGCGTTCAGATTTATGCTAAAAAAAAACTCTCATCCAAGAAGCGCTTTGCAGATAATGAAATGCTCCATAAGACAGTTACATTTCTGCACTTCACTTCGACCCACTTCATTCTTCACTTGTAAGTGAAATGCGGGTAGAAAAGAACAGTTATCTACAAACGAAAGAATGTAGAATTCAGATTCTGAATAGTATTGGGTAAGTAGGATTAAGAATAAGAATAGCAATCAGGTGTCCACCGAAATTCGGAGCATATCGCATTGAACCCCTCGGCGGGATATATCGTTGCTGCGTTGCAAACAACTGGAATGCTAACAGTTGGAGCGGGCCAAGGCGAGCGGACCATTATACTAATGTTTTCATGTCCATCCACTAACTTTCAGAATACTGTTTGAGTATTAGTAACCTTTGATAAAGATGTCATGAAAGAATTTCCAATAACAATCTTGTGGTATAGAGGATATGATAAACTATTATCCTAGAAGAGACAAGCAGGATACTATGAAATACTTTAATTTGCCATTTTTGTTGCAATCATACAATAAGATGAAAAAGCGGTGTTTTTCTTGAAAAATTTTACTTTTTTTTTCAAGGAGACAGAACAAGATAGAGCAAACTCCAAAATGAGGGATCCAGTTTTATTTGTAAAAGTTCATAAAACAAAAAGAAGACATAGCTGCAAGAGTAGATGAAGATTCAAAGTCCTGCACGACATGAAACTCCACAATTAACAAGCTTCACCACGTTTCATTTGCAGTTTCGGGTAATTTGTCTAGCTATGCATGGTTTTTGATTTTCGGTTCATCAATCAACGCAGATGGTTCAACACTGAAAATCTGTTGTTCATTAGTCATGATCTCATTGGGATGTACTCATTACTAAGAATCCCAAAAAAAACCCAAATTGCAATTTTTTGTGAAAATACATGATGTCGGTCTCCCGCTGTGAGACTTTCCGAGCATCACCGTAATAATATCTTATGAGGCTAGAAATCAGAATAATTGTCATTGTATAATACGCATCTCTAGTGGCTCCAGCATTGGTCAACAAGATGGGTTTCTGTTTGCAATTTTTGTTGTGCGAGATTTTCTGACTAAGAGAAAAGCGCAAAAGCCTTCGACTGATCTGATAGTTCAGTTCCGATCGGTTATAATACGAAAGATGTTTTCCCATTTGCTAGAATAAATGAATACACGTATCAAAGGCTTTTCATTTGTTCAAAAGAGCAATTACAATACCGCTCACATTTTTTGAAAAAAAGACGCGAATGTATGGACATGTATGGACATGTATGGACATGTCCATACATGTATGGACATGTACGGACATGTACGGACATGTCCATACATGTCCATACATTCGCGTCTTTTTTTCAAAAAATGTGAGCGGTATTGTATGCACACAAGCTCATTTTACATTTATTTGAGTACTAGGGTGTCTCATAATTTTTTACCGTTTTTACCCTAAACATCAGCATTTCTCGAGAATTAAGGCACCTACAAAGGATACAAATACATGATCGTACTTCTGTATGTATGAGCCACATGATCACATGCGTCTGAGGAGCTCAGGACGTCTAAGGGCGGAGTTTGCCACTTTACCTCATTCATTTATTTCTTTATTTCTAGCCATAAAAAAATTCGGAAAGTGTATAATTAAGTGTGCGATGTGTCAGGTATATGATAGAATAAATGGGGATTTTTCTAGCTACTTTGGAGCGGAGATACGAATTTCGACAGTAAAGTTCGTTTTTGACTGCTATCAGATTTCAGCTTAGAACTTCACGTGGGATGTGGCTTGTGCAAATTTTTGATAGCCATCTTTTAGAGCTTGCTTTGCCCTGTTGAATGATTACTCAAGCCACATCAGATAAACGAAAGATACAGAAAAAACGGCGGTTGTAGTAAAAACGGTAAAAAATTATGAGACACCCTAATATTACTGCATTTCACAATATTTCCTTTTTCGGATATTTGAATATCGTAAATAAATCGTCTGAGAACACTAATCGGTTTTATTTAGACTCTCTGGAATTGCAGGTAAAAGAAGGAATGAGGGATTAAGACCACCAAAAATTCGATCTTAGCGGATATACTCACTTGCTTACTTTTCCCCATTTTTCGCTCACACGTATTATGGAATGGTATCCCCATTTTTCGCTTACACGTATTATGGAATGGTATCCACAAAAAACGCTATCCTTTAAGGATAATTTTTGCGAAAAATCAGTGAAAACGTGATTCTGATTATGATGTACAAATGCTCAAAGCCTCAATAGCAAACATGCAACAAATTTAATGATGTTCCCTTCATTCTGCATAATGTTTCTGCTTTCAATGCCAAATTTCGCCATTTAAAAGACTCAAAGAAATTGGCACAGAGTGTGCGAGGGTCGCATCAATGGAATTAACAAAATGACGATCGAGTTTTGCGAATATTGAAAGAATGAAAAGCAGTGAATAATAAGAAAGTGCTGAGACACCTAATTATCCGGTATTTACACGATTTGTGTATTTTCTCAATAAATAGCATTGTGCTACTGGGAAAGAACTACGAGCCTAAGACATCCTAAAACGATGATCGATTCAACTGAATGAGATCCGTATGATCTCTTGAGCTCGCTTGGAGGAAGCTGATAATAGCAAAAAAATAGCTTCTGCTTTGTCTGACTGCTAGCACAAACTCGTACTAATAGTTCTTACTATTTTTGACATCAAGTCAGTGTGAGTCCTCTATAAAATCGGTTTTCTCTCCCGTGAATCAAAGAAAGCCAAAGGATGATAATATATAAAAATATAAAATGAAGAACACTACCCCCATTTTCGTTCGTCCACCCATTCCCCTTTTTTGGCGTATGCTCAAAAATAAATAGGCGCTGGTAGGAAGCATCAGTTCTATTTTGCTATATTTCAAAAATCAGTATTGGGGCTAATTCGTCGCAACTCATTCAGGCTAGCTCGGCCGCATTCTGGTAGCTGGCCGGACTCCGTTTCGTTCTTAATGTTCGCTATTCATAGCTAAGTTGCGCACAACATTGATTTGAAGATTCACCCACTAGCTCGCTGACATTCGAGTCCGCTTTCCAATCTAACTGCGCATGGCTTCTTACAGTTCATCCGTACGAGATTGTGCTCTTTTTCTGATCATGCATAACATCTAAAGAATGAGAGATTTTGCATAATCCATCTTCAAGCAACTCCAAGTTGTATTTTCAAGGGACATTCTCTGTTACAGTAGCCATCCTAGAGAGTCTTTTACTTAGCCTGTTGAAATTCAAATACATGCATATATTGAGGTGGTTCTTGATATGAGAGCTCGGCTTTTTCGCGAAGTGGACAAAGAAATTAATTACTCATCTTATCTGTGAATATGCTGATGAAATAAGTATAAGCGTTCCAACGCAGACCAAGCCATTCGAAAGCGTACAGTGAACAAACTTCACTCATATCACCTCAAAAATAATCTACACAAGCATATTGCCCATTTTTTGAGGACTCAGTTTTGCAGTAAGTTTAAGATGAATTCTTCTTCTTCATTGTTATAAAAGTTTGAAAAATTCTGCCTTCTTTTATGAGTCTACAACCTAAACAACGAATTAGGTGAAATAGGAGGCTTGTGCTTTCGCGATTTCATTTAGAGAAGCTCCTAGACATCATTAGCAGTCAAAAAATTCACAGCAAGCTTACGCATTCCATCAGTAGTAAATACAGCAAAGATATGCATGATTATTATAGAATATATTCATATGAAGTTTCATGCTCACTTAGAATTGCACCTAGAAACATCCTGATATTAAGTAGCCCTGAACCATCTAAATAGAAGTTGCTGTATTTTCAAATTTTGCTTTGCCTGAATCGAAAACACTCATTTCAGGCAAATTCTTCGCATGTGCAGCAATGAGCAAGTTTTAGCACAGAAGCATAGGGTATGCTATTCGTTGATATTTTTCTTTTGATAATTCAAAATTATGATATTTGCGAAGGAAGAGAAATAACGGTAAATTTTGGTGTACTTTTAGACCATGATAAGTGAAGTTGGTCGATAGAGGAGGTAAGACAAAGTTTAGATGTCCTTCATTAATTCTCGATAGATTTGATTTGCTAGATGCAAATGAATCTGACTCAGAACTTCATGCCTAGAATATTGAAGAGCTAGGTAATTGATGATTTCAGAGAATAAGGAGATGATGACGATAAAAAGTATGGGAAGTAAAAAGATTAGGAGCAGGTAGCCTCGAAATATGAGAAAAAATTAAAAAATAATTCATAGAATGGAAAACATTCCAGCAGAACTTCGTGTGAAGAATAACCTGAGACTTGTTTCAGGAATCGCACGAAATAATGGACAGTTCCACACCGACACCGGATCGATCCATCAATGGTTTGATCTTCTTTCTCACTCTATCGCTTTTCCTCACTGCATTGACTTCTGGTCTTCTGGTATGCCTATCAAAAATTTGGTGCAGTCAAAGGAAGTCCTCTGCGCAGAGTAGCTCGGTAAGAATATTTTGCACAAGACGAAGCAGGAAGTTTCATAGTAATCGGGCTTCTCCAGCGACGTCCCACAGTGGGCGCTGGAGGTTCGTTTGACGACAGCGATTCCGACGACGAAGCTTTGCCACCAAGTCGACCCCCTGCGGTGCGACGGCTCTGTGAGTGATGTTTGTAAGTTTGATACAAAAGCGAAGCCACCGCAGCAGAAGTAATTCACTGACTTAGCTGTAAGTCGTACTTGTTATAAGCAACCTATTGAAACAAGAAGCTGAACCAGGATGGTGGTTTTAGCGCTGACAACAGTTTGAAGTACTAGGTTACTCGAAATTTTGGTTGGATATCTATAACTAAGATAAAACTGTAGAGAAAATTTGAGATAATGGAAGCGAAAGTAGTGCGCAAGAATCTTTCGAACTCCCCAATTGCTGTTTCCCGAGAAGAGTATAGCTGTAGTACACTACTCACAAATTCGCATTTTCAAGGTTGACGTGACTTATGTAGTATCAAAGTTGAGCTATGAAATTATACATTGTCTGCTGGAGAAGGGCTTCTATGATACACTGCAGAAGGTTGGGATTCAGAATCTCCATCACTGAAAAAAAATTCATGGGAAATTTGTCAGAAGTAAGACTTTAAAATATTCATCGATTATTTGAATACTAAGAAAGGCCTAGAGGTGCTAAAAATTGCCCCACAAAGCGCAGTCATGGGCGCTAGTCAAAGTGCTTGTTCTCACAAGTCGGCCTAGCCATCGAAAAGCTAACAAAAAGTGCAGTTTAAATCCCTTTTTGATTGCTGTTATGCGAGATCTGGCATTCACTTAAGTTTGGTCCCAAAAACAGGATTTCTGGGTTGTCTCAAGTACAAATTAGCTTTTCAGCACAACGGCTGATCAGCTTCGTTCACAGACCCTTCCAGGAGGAAACACGCCAGCCGCCGATAGAGGTGATTGATCTAAAAGTGTTTGTTTTCATATACAAAGAACCACTTGAGAATGAGTTAGATATAACTATTCCTACGTCCTTCAAATCATGACCTTATTGCTTACTCAATAGACTGTATGCATGGAGTGCTTAAGGAACTTTACGTTACTCGGGGGATCATATGTGAAGAGCGGCGACTTATTATTGCTGCTGATTTTCATCTCTATGACATCGTTATTACGATTAAGAGCAAACTGACGTTTCTGAATCCGGTATATCTGAGCGCATTCGAAATAAATTGAAAGTCAGCTTGCAACGATCTCTAGCAATATCCATCAGCCAGGGTTATCTTCAAGATCAAGGCACGAGCATGCAAAACTTCTCAGCTTTCTAGGAGAGTCCAGAGCCCCCCTTAACAACAGCTCCCGCTATCCACGGAGCAGAAGACGAAGTTACATCGGCAAGTTGCTTGATTTTGTTCTCCGTATTCTAATAGTCTACTTTATAGGCACATTCGCGGAACAATATCAACACCTTGCCTCTCAATGATCCGACTTGTGTAATTTATTTATGATCTGGATATGAAAAGCTACACTTTTAGCCGTTTTGAGGTTACAGTGGTTGCTATGGCATTTCTTGTTCATAATAAACGGGTCTCATAGTATATCGTTACTTGGAAGACTGTCTGATTTGCAAATCAACCGCCATCTTTCTTATTGATGAAGATTGCTACTGCGATGTAATGGCTGATAATGAATTTCTGCGTCATGGTATCTTGAGCAAATTTTGGTAAACTGCATATCAGCAAGAACATCGACGATAATTGTTCCAGATGGCTGACCTGCTATGAAATGAAAATATTTCAACATGAGCGAAGCGAAAAATAGTGACTGGTCCTACTTCAAACAAGTCTACGACGCGTCAAGCTTTCTATTTAACACACACACACACACACACACACACACACACACACACACACACACACACACACACACACACACACACACACACACCACACACACACACACACCACACACACACACACACACCACACACACACACACCACACACACACCACACACACACACACACACACACACCACACACACACACCACACACACACACACCACACACACACACACACCACACAACACACACACCACACACACACACACACCACACACACACACCACACACACACACCACACACACACACCACACACACACACACCACACACACACACACCACACACACACCACACACACACACACCACACACACACCACACACACACACACACCACACACACACACACCACACACACACACCACACACACACACCACACACACACACCACACACACACCACACACACACACCACACACACACACACCACACACACCACACACACACACCACACACACACACACCACACACACACACCACACACACACACCACACACACACACCACACACACACACACACCACACCCACACACACACCACACACACACACCGCACACACACACACGCCACACACACACCGCACACACACACACACCACACACACACCACACACACACACCACACACACACACACACACACCACACACACACACCACACACACACACCACACACACACACACACCACACACTCAGATAATCGCCGGGGGCAGGCGGTCCGCAAACTCGCGCTTTTCTGCAGGCGGTCAGCAGAATTTTGGGGCGTGGCCAAACCTTCAGCGGGCGGTACTTTCGTCTTCTGCCAGCGGGCAGCAATACAAAATTTCCTGCAAGCGCTCCGCAAACAATTTCTTTCAGCGAGCGCTGGCCAAACTTTCAGCAAGCGCTCGGACTCTTTTAAGGCATTTTCGGGCGTACGTCGAGCGCAGGTAAGACTCTGTGTGGCAGAGGTGTCACCGTTGGTTTAATTACTCAAGTTTGAGGTACTTTCTCTCAGCGGAAAGTACCTGGGGGTTGCGCGGTCCTCCACAAAGGACCGTGCGGCCCTCAATATTTTTGCATATTTTCGCGGAAAGTCCGCGAGAATGCGGCCACTGCGCCGCAGCTAATCCATAAAGAAACCGCGATTGTTCTTCAAGCATTCGTCTTTGATTTCGCCAACTTTCTTCCAAATTTCTGCAAGCGGGCCGCAAAAAATCAACGAACTATTTTTCCGGTGCGCGCTTGCTCAAAATTCGCATGGCCGCCTGCCCCCGGCGGTTATCTGAGTACGTACAGACAGACAAACAAACATTCAGCTTTATATATAAGACTAGTTGACTTACCCGGCTCCGCCCGGCCCTGTCATTATTATACTAGCGGCCCTACGGGCCGCTGTAAGTGGGTCGGGGCAGATACATTAGTATTTGCTTAATTGGGACTGCATCTAACTATAAACGGTGTTCAAATCGCCTCTCTAGGAAGCTAAATAAATAAAAAATCAAGCTTCGCGGGTAGACACAAAAATATCTGATCTTTTCTCCCAAATGCCACCACCAGAATTTAGTTATTTGATTCAGCTTGCTTTTTCTGTTGCTTGGTTAAAATCAACATAATCGCTTCCCTAGAAGACTGACCAATGCAAACGCATGCTGGGTCTTCACTTCGGGAGCAAGGGCAAAATAAAGGACTCCAAAGATGATTGGCCGTTGAAAATCGAACAATAGGGGAAAAGCTGACAGCGGGTCCCAGGGTTTGAAAGCAAAAGTTGAGGTGGTTGAAGGCCGTGGGCAATGTGGCATAAATTTCGTGGAAATCAAGCTTTTCAGTGATTTGTATGAAGATTGTGGGGGAAACCAAAATTTTTCGTTCTAAAAACTGGCCAGCCACAGAGAGAGCCCTCCGGAGCACAACCAGCGAGACCACAGCTTCCATGTTGGGTCTTCATTCCGCTCAGATAATCGCCGGGGGCAGGCGGTCCGCAAACTCGCGCTTTTCTGCAGGCGGTCAGCAGAATTTTGGGGCGTGGCCAAACCTTCAGCGGGCGGTACTTTCGTCTTCTGCCAGCGGGCAGCAATACAAAATTTCCTGCAAGCGCTCCGCAAACAATTTCATTCAGCGAGCGCTGGCCAAACTTTCAGCAAGCGCTCGGACTCTTTTAAGGCATTTTCGGGCGTACGTCGAGCGCAGGTAAGACTCTGTGTGGCAGAGGTGTCACCGTTGGTTTAATTACTCAAGTTTGAGGTACTTTCTCTCAGCGGAAAGTACCTGGGGGTTGCGCGGTCCTCCACAAAGGACCGTGCGGCCCTCAATATTTTTGCATATTCTCGCGGAAAGTCCGCGAGAATGCGGCCACTGCGCCGCAGCTAATCCATAAAGAAACCGCGATTGTTCTTCAAGCATTCGTCTTTGATTTCGCCAACTTTCTTCCAAATTTCTGCAAGCGGGCCGCAAAAAATCAACGAACTATTTTTCCGGTGCGCGCTTGCTCAAAATTCGCATGGCCGCCTGCCCCCGGCGGTTATCTGAGCGGGAGCAAAGGCATTTTCTGTGGACAGATTTCTGTCGAAATCGAGGTTTTTACCGTTTTTCGTGGAAATTGTGGGGGAAAACAAAACTTTTTCGTTCTAAAAACTGGCCGGCCACAGAGAGAGCCCTCCGGAGCTTAACCAGCGAGACCACAGCTTCCATGCTGGGTCTTCATTCCGGGAGCAAATGCATTTTCTGTGGCCAAATTTCTGTCAAAATCGATTTTTTTTACCGTTTTTCGTGGAAATTGTGGGGGAAACCAAAAATTTTCGTTCTAAAAACTGGCCAGCTACAGAGAGAGCCCTCCGGAGCACAACCAGCGAGACCACAGCTTCCATGCTGGGTCTTCATTCCGGGAGCAAAGGCATTTTCTGTGGACTCGTCCGAAGGAGGAGGACCGAAAAGAAAGGGGCGGACCGAAAATAGAATCAGGCGGGTTTTCTCCGCTTTAAAGCAACATTGGGAGACCGGACCAAGTTCGTCTTCTGCTGGGCCCTAAATATACACAGTATAGAAAATTAAGTGACTTTGATTTTGGTGTACGCTTCCTTTAAGCTGTATAGGCGCTGCGTTACATCTTTGCGAAAGGACCTCCGCAGAAGGAATGAAAATTGGAAACGGAACATCGAGGACATGCTGTATATGAAAAGATTCGTCTTTTTATTTATTTATTTTACACGAAAAGTGTGCCAAAAATTCACAAAAAAATTCACAAAACAACTCTTGAAACATTAAAACATCGACACAAAAAAAATGATTGGTCTTAAGTTTGCTCTTTTTCCTAAGTTCGTCTTCCGCCGCGGTATCAGGTCGTTCTCCTTCTCTAGAAGGCGAGGTTTCCTTGCTGAGATCCTAGTCCCAAACCTAGACGCGAGTACGGCTGAAACTTACACCAGGGCTTGAATATCTAACTTGACCCGAGGCGGACTCAACCGTCGGGAACCCTGGGCGTGAAGGAAAGGGGGGACCTCAAGACTGATGCTCGCCAACTTCCGAAATCCTCAAACGCTACTCGTGCGAAAAGACTCGAGTGTTGCATGTGATATGATGGAAGAGCAAAAATTCCTTCTCAACTTAATGGCAAAAAAGGCTGGTTGTACTCAAGTAGCAAAAAAAACATTTTAGAATCTTATGTCACTTATCCAAAGATTAGAAGAAGAATTAGAAGGCGTTGAGCCGTGATGTGTCACTCTGCAAAGGCTTTATGAATTTCTCAAACATCAGAAATTCCCAGAACTGACATTACATTGATAGTGACTAATTTCTTGCGAAATTCTGCGGATGTTTTGGAAAAGGCTATTTCTCTAGGAAGGAGCTCAAGCCACCTTGCGGTGCGATACATGAAGGAATTAAAAGCAAGAGAAAGTTTTCTGCTTCCCAGTCTCCGGTATCCCAAACCAAATCCCCTGCTCGATTACCACAAGGCCTGAAAGTCCAATATTTACTAGGCTTCAATCTGGTTTCTAACCTGATGATCCTAAAGCAGAAAATGAGGTCATTGCATACGCGCCTGTACTTTAAGCTCTGCAGCCGGCGCAGTTTCTAAGTACACATCATATTGTGTCTTGTCAAACGTTACACTAATCAGATTAACTACTTTGAAAAGCTTATCGAAGTTCAGTGCGTTTCAATGATTTTACAGTCTAACGGCGATTTTGACTATTCCTTGTAGCTATCCTGCTGTAACATATGAACAACAGAGTTCGATTTTCTTTACAACCTTAACTTGCAGAAAATTTGGCCCTCACTTACTCAAATCCTCTTCGTTCATACCGCAATGCCCTCGGCTCGTATTTGCGAAACGGAGAGCCTACTTTGATGTAAGAAAGGAATGGCAAGCTGGAAGTATGAACGTAGGCTTCAAAATATTGCAATGATATATCATTATCCGCTATACGCGCTGAACGTTTGGTCATCCGTATGTAAAGAGTCGCCGAACTAGTTTGGTACTATGTGTGGAAAGCTGAGGTGAGCATTGACACTTTCCGAAACGATTTGCTGTTTAACGACTATTTTATCAGCGCCTAACTCTTAGTTACCGCACATCGTCAAGCTTGCAAAGCGCACTGTACGGGCTCATATCATGTTCGAGTTCTACTATGTAATATATCACATCTTTTTACAATGATGAGCAACTAGTTCAAGTCATTTCTGTCCCATCCTGTGTGATTGTCATAAAATCCACAAAGAATAACTTTACATTGATTAATTGACTTTTGATCACTGACTAATTCAGAGCCTTATGCGGTTACTGATATTTTCACTGCTTTCAATAATTGGCATCGTACTATCCATCGAGCTCAATATCGACAATGAGACGGAGTTCTGGAACGACATATTGAACTACGCTGATAGTGTTGGTGTTCGCCGGTGAGCTCCCATTTTTCATCAAAATATAGCCTGGAAGTACTAGTTCAAGTATATCTTTGTAAATCATTTGAGTACAGCATTAGGCCATGCTAGTCTATACTAATAAATGTATTGGGCTGGTACAACTTCTCGCTCTCCGAACAGTTCAATTTACTGTAATTTTACTTGAAAAAAAAGCTTTCTATTCTGTAGTAATCTCTCAGCGAGTGTCTCTCAAACACTCTTTGCGGAGATGAAATGGATGAAGAAGATTAGTCAAGCTTTGATCCCTTTAAGTTAGGCCGCCTAAAATCTGAAACATTGCAGAAGAATCCACAATCTTCAGTACCTAAGTACTCTTTTCAAGTGTAAAGTACAAATTACGTTTAATTTTTATAAAAAACGTCCATCAGCCCAAACTCTTTACAGTTGGAAATAGTAAAACTAATATATTGACAATTCCACATTGTTGTGCAACGCAGGTTTTCGCGGCCCAATTTGAAATGATCGAAGCATGCTTTTCTTTAGCCAAATTTATCTCTGTAAGCAGTGTTCGGAATAAATTCGCTAACATAGCTCCAGAGTAGAAGGCTTCTTTGCTCTAAAATTAAAGCGGTCAAAGCTGTTCAAGTAATGAGAAGTTACCATTGTTTGAACATGAAACGACAGAACTTTTGGACCGAAATAATTTAACGCTGTATTGTTTACGATTTGGTCCTTGCTATTCCCCGGAATTTGTAGCATTTTTGAGGTCCGTACTTTCCACTCTCCTGCAATCTTCTGCATCTGACAACACCAGCCAACTCTATGAGCTCCCGAAATCAAGGGCTTCACCACCTTTGCACGAGGAACACCATAAAAGTCATGGTGTCAAGGTGGCATCGTTCAAGTTCGATTATGTGAAAGAGCCTCTCGTGCTCACAGTTTTTATAATCGTGATTGGATTCTTCAAATTGTGTGAGCCACTTTTCGTTAACAATTTAGTACACATGCAGTGACGCTAGACATAGTTACAGTGTATCATCACACCCGCTACATCCAGAAGCTCATCCCTGAATCGTGCTGCCTCATTTTGGTTGGGGTTGGTTTGGGACTGATTTTCATGTTGGTTTCGTCTTTTGTATATGCGATGATCTCTGTGTAGAGAACTTCAGGGTTTGGTAGAGTTAAGATTATTGCTACGATGTCATTGGATCATCATGTCACCGAACTTGATTATTCAGCTCTTCGGAAATAAAATCTAGCAAGAGCTTTAAATTGAAAAGTATGCATTTTTAAGAGGAGACGACACTCATGAATCTGTGAAGTTCTTGGAGTTCAACTCGAAAACGTTTTTCTTTTTCCTTCTGCCGCCTATCATTCTGGAATCAGCGTATTCATTACGAGATCGAGCATTTCTGGAGAACATTGGAACCATTATTCTTTACGCAGTTGTGGTATGAACTCTACGATAGCCCGATCGCCCCCATGGTCCCATGTCTAGGGTACAGTGTTGAATATAGTGCTCATCGGAGCATGTCTGGTTCTGCTCTCCGATCTCGGATGGATCGGCGGTTTCATAATAGACCCTTTGGACTGCTTCGTGTTCGCCTCTTTGATTGCTGCTGTGGATCCTGTAGCGGTACGTTAACTGGTCGTCACTTAATCATATCAGCTAATAGTTCCCTATATGTTCTCAGGTTCTTGCAATATTCCAAGAGGTCGGGGTCAACAAAATGTTGTACTTCATGGTGTTCGGAGAGTCCTTATTGAATGATGCGGTCACTGTCGTTTGCTACAATTTGCTAAACGATTTCAAAGAGCTGGATTCTATCGGGTTTATAGATGTGAGCTACAGGTTCATTGTACCAGCGCCTATAGGCATTTTCCAGTGCTTCATGGGTTTGTTGGCCTTCCTCTGCGTATCTCTAGGAGGGCTGGCGATAGGGTTATTCTCTGGGTTTATGTCTGCTTTTGTCACAAAGTTTACCAAGCATGTCAGAGGTGAGTATCTATGACGCAGAATTATTGAGGCATAGATAGTGTGTCATTACAAGCAGTGATCTGCCATTTAGTTGTTGAGCCAGTAATCATGTTTGGCATGGCATACCTGGCATACATGGGTAGCGAATTATTTCATTTTTCTGGAATCATAGGGTGATCCTTTATGAGAACTATACCTGCTTTGTTCATAGTCAATCTATTTCAGGATCATAGCATGCGGCTTGTTCCAAACCCACTATTCTTGTGGGAACATTAGCAATAAATCTTTCATCAGCGTCACGTACTTCGCCAAAGTAGCCAGGTGAGCCGATTAGTTGATACGACTGAATAAGTATTTTTGGTTTTCAGTTCAATCTCAGAATCTCTAATATTTATCGTGCTGGGTGTAATGCTAGTCAATGAACAGGAATGGTTTTGGAGTGATTGGCATCCATCGTTCTCCTTGTATTCAGTAGTGCTTTGCATTGGCGTGCGTTTTCTGGGTGTGTATAAAATTTCTGGATAATATTCTACATGTAATTTCTTCAAAAGTTTCTTTTAAGTTGTCTTCTTCCTCACCTACATCGTCAATCGGCTAACAGGTGGCGTTCGCCACATATCGTTCCAAGAGCAGTTCATAATGGCATGATTTTATATTACCGACCAAACTCTGATTTTCTTCAAACTTAGTCGGATGCAGTCCTGATCTAACAAACTGATTAAGTGTGATTTCGAAAGTTATGAATTACTTAACTCCTACAGGCCTACGGCGGACTAAGAGGAGCGGTCTCATTTTCTCTAGCCTTTATGATTAGTGACAGCGTACCGGTGAAGAACACAATATTGTCGGCAACCTATATGGTCATTCTGTTCACAGTATTTTTGCAGGTACAAAGACTATTTCAATCCTTATTGATGTCTTCTAATCCTGTGCAATAGCACTATTTTTGCTAGGGTGGAACAATAAAGCCTCTAGTGCAGTATTTGAATATCCGCCTGGCTCGTAAAGAAGTGCATTTTCGACTATTCATGGAATTCAATCGAGGAATGATAGTGCATATGACCCAAGGAATAGAAGATCTCTGTGGATATAAAGACCGCAGCGTTGCCGTGAGTAGCCCCTTACCGTTCTTGAGACTAATAAACCATGCAGCTACTTTATTCAGCATCAGCTGAGTGTGTTCTCGAAAGCGTATCTGCGGCCGATGCTGCAACGAGGCTATAAAAACGAGCAGAAAGAAAGCAAACTGCTGGAAATGGATCGATTTGAGACGATGAGGTGCAACGACCGCTCAAATGAGTCATTTGAGGCTGCAAATTTGCACAATTAAGGGAACTAAAACAAAGTCCCTCTCAAAGTTCGTTCAAATGGCAGCAAGCTGTGGATGAGTTGGCGGAAAGGTAAGCACAAGTAGTTAAGAAAAATGATGGGAATTTCTCCTCTAGAGGTGAAATACCTCGCGATATGTTGGAAGAGGAGGAATTTTTCGTAAAGAGGAAGGAGGACATCGAAAAGGAAACAGAAAAGCTCACAAAGGATATTTCGAACATTCATCGTCTTCTGCACAATCCTTTTGAAGAGGTAGGGAGTTGCAGTCATGAAATCAGTTGGAGTAACACGGTAATACCTTTGAGCGCACTCGACCTCTTCTGTTAGGCTGAGAGGATAAAGTGTCCAATCAGATTTTACTGCAGTATTACGCCAACCGTAATCTAGTGGGGGAAGAAGAACACGAAAATCATCGTCATGCCGAAGTTAGCCAGCTCCAGATGCTCCAACATCGTGCACAGGGAATGATTGGCACAAAAGAGTGTGTAGCAAACTTTCAATCACGCACGAGGGGTTAGCGTATTTGGCTTTGCAGAAAGCGGAAGCGATCCATATTCGGGAAACGACAGCAGCACAAAAAGAGTACGCATCAGGGGCTCATCATGGCAGCCATGGGTTCTCTTGGTGTACACGCAGTTGAAGCTGGAGTTCGAGAGCCTAGTATGTAAACACATTTCAGAGAAGCATGGATTGATTCGATGTTTTAGGTTCATCTTTCGAGGAGGGAATTACTATGGAGCATCGAGATGATCATGCCTTATTCACGATAAGAGAACAAGCCGAAGTTGGAATGTAGATGATTTTCCAGCTAGTTTTTTTTGATTATGTATTCACTGACATGGAAGTGCTCCTATGTATGTACAGCAAATTACTTCTTTGTAGCTCAAACTTGTTTTGCCTATATCTCCCTTAAAAAGTCCGTACGTTAAATGAATGTCTCCGAATTTGTAGCGAAGTCTCAATGTAATAGCCCCCTGCTCTCGAAATATGCTGTATAGAAACATAACCTCCATGATAATTCAAATGGCTTCTAATTTGTCACTAAATGGCTGGCGTTCTTTTCATGCGGTTTGCCTAAGGTCAACAACCGGAGGCCATCATTTCGACTTTGAGGGAAATGTAACAAGAGTGCTAAAATAATGAGACAATCATGGATCCATTAGGTACTAAAGTGCCTCTTCACTTTTCTCGAGTATTTGCAATCACAGCTTTCCCACTTCTCCATCATGAGCGCTGCAATTTTACTCATTACAGCGAAGTGATGTAAAACTGCAGAAACTGTTAGTCCCATGAGTTGCAGGCTTTACATCCTTTCTTTAAATAATGTAACCTCTCAAAAAGTCGCCGCCATTGCTTACATCTTCCGCTATGGTGAAAAGTGTGCAGTATTTGCATGTATGAACGTTGTTGATTGGAATATGAATGATGCAGTGCCTACCTAATTTCAAAATGAGAAAATAACTGAATGAACGAGAGTATTTGACGAGATCGTATGGGGCCTCCTCCCCTCCCCCCTCCACCCCGCTCCCCGAGAATAGATCGCAAAGTTTTTGAAAGTTGCTTTCATGAGTGTGCAAGATGCTTGTTTATACTCAAAAATGATTTAAATAATTTTGAGAACTTCTGAAACATTCAAGCATAGTAAAAATGTTTGGAAGGGCGGGCTCCCGTCGCGCCTTTCTTAGATGATTTACGTGCCCGTAGAAATTTTGGAAATTATTCTAAAAATATTGAAGTGCTTAGCTAACACCATGCACCTTTTATTCAAAAAAATTTCTTGTCCCTTCCCCTCCCTCCTTCTCGAGCGAAAATCCTGGAATCACCACTGAGATGATTTCCACTGAATCGCTCCCTTGCGTTTTGCACCATAAGAAATCGTTTGCAATCTTGAACACTCGAGAGAGAAGAAAAATGAATAAAAGACAACCTGACGAATTACGTTTTGCAACCCTTTAACCAGGTCGGATAACTGATTAGCAATGACAAATCATTTGATTTGAAGATATCGTCAATCTGAAGTCGTCATATTGGCAAGGGAGCCAGTTCGATTTTGAAGTGCTTGTAACTATTTAGTAAGTAATTATTTTCTTTACTTTTTTATAACTACTTGGTGACTGGACTTGAACTATTTTGTTTTCGTATCTGTTCCTGATCATGTTCTCAGTATTTCGTTCTAATTATGGCACGCCCTGTGCGTAATAAATAAATAAATAAATAAATAAATAAATATGTCCTGAGAACTGTATGAAAATTACTACTCACTTTAATGATGCCATTATTATTGATTAGGAGGGAGATGGGTGGAATGATTGCTTAAATTAAAAAATTGACTAGTTTTTGCTATCAAATAAAAATGATTTTAAAAGCTCCCAAAAAATTCAAATCAGACGTAAAAGAGGTACCATGTAAAAAATCTTATTCAGGGCTCTGGGTGCAAAAATTTTGGAAGCCTGGTCGCGCTGATCGAGCTCTCCTTAAAAAGTTACGATTTTTGAAAAAAAAAGTCATAGAATCTTTTTTAAGAGACCGATTTTTTGGCATTTTTCCCGAAAATCATAACTTTTTGAAGGAGAGCTCGATCAGTGCGAATTTTGCTCCACTAGAGAGAGTCAAATAATTTAGGATACAGCTTATTTCGGATTTCATGACGCAGTTTTGGAATTTTTAAAAAGCTTTCCTCAAGATTCCAGAATTGAAGTGATTTCCTTTCCCAATTTTATCACAGCAACCAAAGCTTGTTAAAGAGCAGGCAAGGTGTGTTAGAAAGTATATGCTTTGCTCTTCCCAGCACTATTTTTGCCGGGTAGGACTATTGTAAGAGAAAGAAGTTACGATTTTTTGAAAATGGTGCGGACGAACTTTCGGTCAACCTAGTACTATTAGGTTGTCCCATAAATATTATTTACCGTTTTTAGCGTAACCGTCGCCATTTTGTATCTTTCTTTCTTGAGTTGATGTTTCTTGAGTAATCATTGAATAGGGCAAAGCAAGCTCTATAAGACGACTACCAAGAGTCTGCCCAAATCGTATTTCACGTGAAGTTCTGAGCTCAAATCTGATAGCAGTCAAAAAAGAACTTTTCGGAAAAAAATCGTATCTCTGCCCCAAAAGATTTAAATTCCCCATTTATCCTAGCATATGCTTGACATATCGAGCATTCAACTATATACTTTTCGTATTTTTTCCATGGCTAGAAATAAAGAAAAAATTGAATGGAGTAAAACGGCAAACTCCACCCCTAGACGTTCTGGGCTCCTCCCACGCACGTGATCATATAGCTCATACATACATAAGTACGATCATGCATTTGTGCCCTGTAGGTGCCCTAGTTCTCGAGAAATGCTGATTTTTAGGGTGAAAACGGTAAATTATTATGGGACCCCTAATAGAACAAAGTTTATCTTATTGCAGTCGATGATGGATCTACGTATTCACAGAGAATCATCTTTGAGACATGTGTGCCTAAACAATAAATCTCGAGAACTAAAGTGTTTCTCCTATGTAACACAATAGATCGAGAAGTTTGCTTTTGCTGTGTCCTCACAGATGTTTTTACTGCGGGGCCTAATGGATGCTTCTGGAGATTTGTTGAATGTTAGGTAAACGTCTCATGAGTAAGAATGCCAGCGCTGAAGGTTTTTCACAATCAAAGTCTTGTTGAGCACTCTTCGCTGAGTACATCTGCAGCAGTATGCATAAACCGGAGTGTGCCTGATGTGTTGATATTGATTTAATTAGATTTACATTTAGATTGTTGCATGTGCGTTCACCACATGACACTCAATGTTATCTCACTTTGACGAAAGAAGTTAGCAGTTGACTCACGATGTATTTCTCCTCTAAGCTCGGTTTGATGTCACTATAATTAGTATAGCAGCAGATATGGTATCAGTCGTCAACTCAAAGATGTGCATAAACAATGATACGAAAAACCCAAACGCTACATTGTGTAACTGATATCGTATCGACCGCTTTTGAAAAATACGCATTCGAATACAGTCTGTTGATAAACTCTGCATCAAAATCTCAGATTGCTTAATATGAAGCGATGAGCCGCAACTGGCCGCTTTTTCACGGTGCCCTGCTGTAGACACCATTATAAAAAAAGGGCAGCCTTAACTCTTTCCTGCTCTTCCCTCCTTCGTTACGTTACAATGTAGAATTGCTTTGCAATCATCAATTGGAGCTGATTTAGCTCCTTCACACTAGAGTTTCCGATATAAAAAATTTAGCGTCACAAAGGGTCAGTGACTTGACCCAAACTTCTTCACTACTGTGCAGATCAAGCTCTCAATTCATTGTTGGATTCAGGCATGCGTAAAAGTCTCGTTGCCAAAATTTTCATGTTACTTGATTTTTTGAGATGTCAGCTAATTGCCAATGATGCTATTCTGCTGAACCTTACAAAAAGGTACGTTTGTTCATCTGCTCGTAATCTAAACTGTGTATTTTGAAGCTAACCCTATGCAGACTCCTTGTATACTTATGGATGGCAGAAGAGTTGGAGGGGGAAAGACAGATTGGAAAAATACCCTGCGGAGTTGAGACAAGAAATTACTTGCATGTTTTATAGTTCCTATACACTATTTACAAATATGTTATATTTTCTCAAGCAGATCATATACATGCGTCTGATCTAGGTCGAGTGTTTATCAGATGTTGTTAGAACAACTATATGTATCCTCATCTTTTCTTCCCCGGGTAGGTAATGGGAAAAAACATTGAACAATCAAAAAACTTCTGATTATTTTGATGGCAATATCTTTTCTTCTTCATCTCCACTATTCGTCTCAAAGTTTTATTGTTAGTCGTAGTGCCGCGTTGTTCGGCAGTAACGTTTTGGGGGAGGGGCAGAAATCGAATGCAATCTGCTTTGGATCTAAAATTGGGGCGTAAATTGCAACTATGGAACGGGGAAAGGGGAGGAGAATTTATATCACTCTTCTTCAGCTCTGTTTTTCTTAATGAAATTCATGGATGTAACACTGCCTAGGTGGAAGTCTTTGTAGCAAACTTCTGCACTTCTCTGCGTCCACCATGTCACTATGTATGTGGTATGTAGGTGCTCAAGGATTTACTCAAGCTTTTTTGATCGTATGGTTTTTATGGTTCTTCACGATTGCTATCCTTGATTATTTCGCAAATTGACTTCCAACGATAAACTAAATAGAAAGAGCAGAGAGAGAGAGAAACAGGCCTCTAATTCGAAAACAGTCATAGGGGGCGTAAGCGGTTATCGTATCCTTTCTATTCAAGCTCTTTTTGCTCAAGAATCTTATAGATAAAGCTGAATGTGTGTTTGTCTGTATGTATGCATGTCTGTACGTATGTGCGGAATAGAAATTTTTATTTCTGAACCAATTTGGACCAAACTTGGCACACATACACATCGGGGTAGGGAGCGTGTCATAGGCTACTTTTCGTCATCGATCGATATCGGTTTTATCGATTTTGTCGATTTTTTCGCTGAGTTCACCTAAGTGGCTAGGAGTTGGCACAGGGGGGGGGGGGAGGGGTAATCCAGCATGCTGATTACTAATGCTACGTTACTTTTCAGGATTATCGCCTACTTCTATCGATTTTATCGATTTTTTGCAGAGTTTGAGCTACAGGGCTGGGAGTTGGCACAGGGGGGTAAGTGGGCATGGCGATTCCGAATACAATATTACTTTTCAAAATTATCGATTACTTTTATCAATTTTATCGACTTTTTTTTGCAAAGTTTGAGCTACAGGGCTGGGAGTTGGCACAGGGGGGTAAGTGGGCATGGCGATTCCGAATACAATATTACTTTTCAAAATTATCGATTACTTTTATCAATTTTATCGACTTTTTTTTTTGCAAAGTTTGAGCTACAGGGCTGGGAGTTGGCACAGGGGGGGGGGTGATCGAGCGCTGATTTCGAAAACAACAGGGAACGGGAAATGAAGTGTAGAAGTGGGTACAGGAAAAAGGCTGTACAGGGATAGGGATGGGACCTTTATTACAGTGTTTTGAGGGCCGAGCGGAGCCGGGTAAGCAAGCTAGTTACCGATATAGCTGACTGCACGGAATCGCCCGAACCGAACGCCCGCGCGCGTGTCTCTTGCGGATTAGCATTGGCATTCGCGCGCATGATTCAGCATAGCGCCCGTGCTCGGGAGCCGCCGCAGGCACGCTCGCGTGCGTTCAGCCTACAACGACCTGAGCGATTTCGTGCAGTCGACTTTATCTGTATCCAGCAGTTGTCCAAGAAATTTTGTTCGGAGGAGGTGGGTGGCGCGATGAATTTTTTTTGAATGAAGGGGCGTGGCCTTACAGAAGAACTTTTACAAGAGCTTCCAGAATTCGCAGGCCACACGACCTACTTTTACAAATCTTGCGAATCGTTATCGTCTCCCCCTTCCTCCCTCCCGTCGCTGCTGTATACTCTCTCAACTTACGATTTATAATGTCAGCCTCACAAATCTACAAGGATCTGTCAAATTTTGCATGAGCTAATCTCGTTGCAGTAATTTGATCGGCATTTCGCGCAATTTTTCGCTTGAGTTCTTGTCTTGATTTGCTCCAGTTATCTCTTAAACACTGCGCAAGATTGAGTGGTGGGGTCTTATCAATTTCTCTGCGTATCTGTTAACACTGCAAATGAAATCTGTGGTTTGACCTTGTTTACCATCGCTCTCTACATTATTGAACGTCCTCGCATTGTCTTGCCATTTCACAGCATTGTAAAAGACGTCAACGGGCTACCAACTTTCGTTGTTCTTCGGGATTACGACATGCAGTCAGAGGATAAGTCACTATTACAGTGCAAACAGCTGATTGCCTCGCCTTCATCTTTGAAAGTAAATAATCACAGAAAACGGCAAAAAACGTGCATGTTACGGTTTGACACGGACGGAGCTAGTGTCATGATGGCATCAATGACAGCAGTACGCTTGTATAGTCTGTTTCTAACATAGTGGGAGTTTGGCCTTGCGATAGAGTACGAACATTAAGCTGAGCTTTCTAAGGTCAGCTACGTTAAGAGTAAGTGTCCATCGGAACAAGTCTGGATGGGCTGCTCTAAATTCAAAACAGCGTAATTTTAATGTTTGATTTCTACATGCGGTTTGACAATTTTATGCGCCAAATTTACTAAATACACATATGCCAATGTCTGCATTGAGTCCGTAAACTCAAAGAAATCTCTTTTTGTATTACTTTTTAGATTTAAAGGCACCGTCCACCCAGATTCTCGACTTCATGTTTTAGTTGTTTCGGGGCCTTCTCATGTACCTGATTTCGAATATGAAGACGGGAATCCACGAAAATCCCCACAAATTCCTTCCGGAGAACTTCCAGGCCTGTTCCCCGGAATGGTGATTGGATGGATGCGCGCGGGCGGGTGGGCATTACTGGAGGGGGAGGGGCGATGCCGACTTGGGGTCCTCATGCCTCTTCGCTATTCCGAAGCGATTGTCTCGAACCAACTTAAGCATTGGTTTGATAAGGGGTCCCACTATTGCAAGCTTCCAAATGCTCGAGACCCCTAACTTAGGACAAGCAAGGCCTATTTAAGGGTTTGATTGGTTCAAAAAGAGTTGTAATTGTTAATTGCAGTTGTAATTGAAAAAGAAAAACAATTGCAGAGCCTTCAAATTTTCAATATTCTTGATAGCCAAAATCTACAAATCAAGCTAAATGAGAAAATTTGCCAATATCGCACCTTCAAATAAGTTTTTTCTCCACTCGGATGTGTCATCATGTAACAGGTAATCTCAGGTAACTACAGTATTTCTCCGAAACCAAATATTGACCAAAGAGTCGGATTTGCAAATTCTATATTAAATGCATTACGTAAAAGCATACATAGTGAATGAGAAATATATGAAAACCTTTGCAGCAGCGCTAAGGTGTTTTACAGTTAAATCTTCAACCTCCTATTTGTCTTCTCCGAAATGGAAATGGGACATTAAAACAACCCTTTCGCCGAAGTTTTTTTCTAATCTTTCGTGGTCATCTCGCCTCGAGACGTGACCTTCACCGCCCGCATGCACAGTTGCTCCCACTCGAACGGCATTATTGATGACTGTCATTTTGAACAAATAAGCTGGATTACCGGTTGCTGGCAACTAATTGGATGATCCGAAATAGATATGTGTATCTCCTGGAGCTACCTGTTTTTTTTCTCGTATTATAGCAAGAAACAACAACAGATCTACGAAAGACTAGTAGGTTGGAAATCGGAGAGTGAATCGAATGGGCATAGAGCGTGACAATGCAACGAAGAATGTGTGCGAAACAAAAACAGAAAACCGTAGGAATTATGAGTCATTTCAGTGGGTCCTTATTGATGACATGTGAATTGCGATCCTTCCCATACTGCAAGTGCGTAGGAACGAGAAGCTGAAAGGCATTGATACTCCTTATCGCCTAAACCTCTATACGATGCCCAGCATGAACAAATCCATTTTCTATTATGCAAGTCGATGGAGACCTGTACATATTGTTTCGAACTACAGAAATCACTGATTACAACAACGCAACTTTGCTCTTCCGGAATACAATAGAGATCCCTTGCGGCCTCAATTTTCAGCATGCAGTGTCGATGTTTTCGCTGAATGCTGGCGCTGTGCCACATTTAGGCTGCCGAACACTCTTCTTTCCCGCATTGTTCTATATCTAAGTGAGCGAGCCCGTCCTTTTCCACCCACCCTTCCCATTAGAGTTCGGCTGTTGCACGGATTCCGTTATAAATGCCTCTTGTGACGTGCACAGCAGCGTTTGCAGGATTTTGCCTGTCAATACGGCTGCTGTCTTTTCCCGCCCCCCTTTCCGACCATCCCCCAAGGTTTGTGCAGGGTGAAAATGGCAATGGTCTTTTCCTCACCCTGCATCAAGCAGACGGGGCTTGCCTTGGCCCGACCCGGCTCAGCTGCCCCTCCCATCTCGCTGACGTTGTGGCGCCTCATTTGAAGTGCCGCCCTGGCGACAGTTCACACATTGGTTCGATTGTCGCCTCAGTTTTTGAATTTTTATAGCTCTGCAACTTTTCAGCGCACAAGTCTGATCCTCCTTGTCTATCAATGAGTGCGGACGTTTTTGCTGAGATGATCCGCTTATTCAGAAGATGCAGACGCCTTGTACAATTTATCCGTCGCAACATCGTTTACTTCTCTTTTCTTTTCTAGAGAAATTCAATCTCCTTTGGCTAGCACGTTCCCAGCCTTATCAGCTCCCATGCACTTGTATGCCTTTGCATTGCTATCTGCCGTTTTAGAGGTTTTATGGTTTTTCTAGATGTATGCAAGTACTATTTGCTTGCTCAAATGGCGAGTGATTATGCACTCTTCCCGTAATTATGTATCGACCGGTGTTCCACACACATTTCAAGCTAAGCCTTTGAACGCTCGTTGCTTCGCGTGCCAATATCCTGAATCACTGACCCTTTCGAAAATGCTTACTTTTTTCTTGAGAGAACAACTGTCGATGCTGCAATTTTTTTTCTGCGGCAAGAGGCGTAATAGAGTCTAAATGCCATAAACACTTGCTTCTTCTCTCTCGATACGTATTTGAGGTCTTCGAGCTGCAGCACTAGCCCTTTCACAGTTCAGTCATTTACTTTGCAGGCAGTAAAGGCGTAGCAAGCAAATTATTGTCCATAAACTTCCGAAAATTCCATCCTACACGCACTTTAGGAAAAACTGTTCAAAAATTGTACCGTAGTCCTAAATATTTACCATGTAAGACAGAAGTCATCAAATTTACTTTGAAGGATTGCTCCAGAAACCGGTATTTTCCACCACTAACTCAGCTTTTATTGCCATAATGCGACTACTTTTGTGAATCATTCATCATGATGTATTCCCTCGAATTGCACGTTTGCTATTTGCTGATAGTTTGTCTGTCACTTTAATCGCAAACAAAGAAAAATCGTGTTTCAGAATCTCAAAAGTTGTCTTGTATCGAGTCGCCTTTATCGAGCTTTTTTGGCGAAATTCCAGCGTTTTTTGCACTGCAAAATTTCGGGAATCTCGTACTATAAACGTGTTTTGCTAGCGTCAAACCTTACGATTATCGACGTGGTTACGTGCGGTTTGAGACTTCAAGTACTTTACATCATCACAAAAAACTCCATCTTGCGATACTTCTCCCTAGTTTCTATCTAACGCACTCAGAAATTGCAGAATAACACACCATAAAGCGAATACAAAACTACTGCAAATTTTGCTGGACGACTCTAATACAAAACTTACATTGCATCATCACGAATGTTTCTGCCAATTTCTGTCTTTCTGCCCTAAAATCTCACATGGGCAGTAATTATTGCATAAACCCATAGAATAGCGGACAAATCGTCACTCTCAGAGTCAGCAGCGCAGCTTATTCACTCTCTTCTTTATTTACAGTACCAGGTTATGCCATCATGCACGAACGCATAAAGCAATTTATAGAATTTCCACTTTGCTCAAATGCTTTATTCCTGCTTTCCTACCGTTTATCAAGTGTGACGGTCCAACGAAGTTACTATTTTAGAAATGAACGCTTGTGCCGTGGTGTCTCCAGGACTCCATTGTTAATAGCAGTACATCTGAAAAATACTACAAAAGGAAAAGCCAAAGATGTTAAAGATCGAATTAAGTCACACTATGATTTTATAATTCATCGTTTTAAGTTCTCTCTGCAGTAATCGCATATTCATGCTAGCACTATTTGCTCTCAAACAGAAACGAGGCCTACAATTTTCGTTCCTAAGTCGAAAAAGTGAGACAGAGCGACTTAGCCGGCTTCACGCCGTTTAGAACTACCATTGATCCATGGGCATACATAAAACTGTATGCATGTACACGGAAACATGGTGCATCACAATTTATCGTCAAAGTAAATGCGTTTAGCCCTGACGGGAATGAAAATGAGATTATGTACTTAACGTAACCGCCGTGGTGCATTTTTATCGAACAATGTTGGCTTCAAAGCAAAAACGGTTCAGCTTCGCATTCGTTTCGACAAGCGCGATTCGCTGTTGTGCCGGCGCTCTTCTGCGTAAGGCGTTGAATACAGCAAACATTGTCGAAGGGCACAGCAGGACAACCGCTGACGCCGTCATCGCTTTTGGAGCCCGGCTCCTCCTGATTAAACGCTTGTCACTCGTGAAGTTCCTAAAAGCGTTCGCCCTCAATGATGTTTGCTTTTCAGGATACGCGATGGCCAGCGATGTTATAAATCCGCTGTCCAAAAGTGAGTCTACCGTTGTGCGCTTGCGTGTGAATGTCATTGTGGTTGTGTTTGAATCAATACGACAGGGCCTACAAATAGCACCAAATCGCAGCAAATTCAGAACTTAACCTCATTCTCAGTCGAATTCACCCCAAGTGCCTTGCAAGCGTTTCGCGACACATTGATCGATCATATGCTGAACGCTGCAGTCTGCTTCGTGTCCGCTGCAACACTTGCTCGGAGTCGGATGCTAAAAAACGAACGCAAGATAGACATCGCCTTTCCTTCTCATTTTTTTCGATCACGAGCAGAACTGTCGATCATCCAGCAGCAAATACATTGAAGTCGTACCGATTCTGATTCGCATATACCAACGCAGTCTCTGAGGCAAAATTTCACTGAGCGCACGTCATACTTTTACGAGCCTCTTTGATTCAGTCTGCAGGTTTGAACCCTCTTGCGTTTCCTTTCCGGATTGACGAAAGACCTAGTGAATTTTCTTTTCGGTTCGTGCTCCAAGATATCCGTCTCACATGTGAATCACCACATAATTTTCCATGCGAATTCGATTCCAGTTTCAGTGTTAAAGTTATGAAACATCCGTGCCATATAGATGCCCTTTTGAAATGTCGCAAAGTGTTGCCCGCGCATAGCCCGAGTCCCCGCTGCTAAATAGCAACCGGTACAGATTGAGTTCCTGCTATAGAATTGTGAGCAAGGTATAGATTATGGAAAATCATTGTGTGACCGTTTTACATCCGCATAGAACTCAGTCTGAAGTGATGCCAGATAGTCTGCTATGTCTAATCTGTAGAAATTAGTGAAGTTTCATGATGGTGTGAAAAGTGGGTGTGCACTGCTAACGAATTTGTATTTGATCGGTGTTGATCCGACTATCAATCAAATTCTCATTTCAGCCTGGGTGCGTTTACAAATTGAACCTGTCGAGGTGGCTACCGATGATGGCGGTATCGTATTCGCATCAGTACAATCCGTTGTGCCTGGAGCACATGGTTTGTACTATCGTCAGGACGGTCAACGTAGACCGCTAGAGTAAATTTAATTAATTCAGCTGAACTATAAATGTACTTCATGACGAGACTTTCAGATACGATACAAACACAGGCAGGATTCTAGCCCCAGCCAGTGGATGGAACGCCCAAGATATTTACATTCACCTTGGTAAGATATCGGATTTCGTCTTATTTGCTTCATGAAGAACGCATAGGCAGCTATACTTCACATTGCCGCTTTACTTGAGAACCGTCTAATACTGGGAGTCAATTTTAAGACCGAGAAATCTTCTCATCAACCCTTTTTCACCTTCATGAACATCATCTGCGCCGTTGGATTTGGATAGTGAAGGGCCATGTTTTACAAATACTGAGACGATTACGTCATAATTCAGCTTGAAGCCCGTACAATTTACCTCGCCCTCGACCACTGCCTCAACTTTATCTTCCGAGTTGTGTCAAGCTGTTCAATAGCACTGTTTGTTCTTGAGGCGCTGCCCAATTTGTCCTTGAATGGAAATGCGCCGCGCGTGTGCGCCCGCTTTTTCTGCGCCGCATAGCCCTTAGTCGACAGCGGGAAAAGCTTTTTTTCTACCAAGGCCTCGTTTCTGCATCGATGCGGCCTTGGCACTGGAAGAGGTGAACAACGCGGAGAATGAGGGGTTCGTTCTGGTCGACTGTTATTCCGGAGAGTATTATTTTAGAGTTATTTCTGTTATGCAACATTATTTGACGTAATTCCGCTGAATAAGCATAGTCACAATTACTAGTGCACCAACGAAAACGTTTGTGTCAGACATCGCCATCGAGAGACACTCAGCCTCAATCGTGCTTAGTACCAATTGTCACGAGGCAAATAATAGAATCATGTAAGTGGTGAGAAACGTTTGCCGATTAATTTTCCCTATGAGGTTTTTGACTCAAAAAGAAGTCCTTGGAAGTACGACGACTAAAATTTGGAGTTTCACAGATGAAAGATTTTTCTTAATGAACTGTTTGGAGATCTGACGGACGAGATCATCCAAGGGAACCCCTCTTCTGCTGCTGTAGCCTCGCATAGCCCCGCATCATTTTTGTGATTTAATTAATTTCCCTGCAAGGCTCCATGGATATTCGGGGCAATAATGGAATATAAAAAAAAAAGCGTCATCGCATAAAGGAAATGTTGCTGATTCAAGAAATCACTTCTGCCTGCGGATGCCAAATGGGGTATAGATAGCGATAAATAAAATTGCAGCCACAGCCATCGTCTGCGCCAGTCCAGTTTGGTTCGTGCCTACGTCGTAAATTTCTCTCAAGCGTGTTGATTGAGGCTGGCATTTCTTAAAATGTCTTCTTACGTCCCCCGTTTACCGATATGAGAGAAAGCCCATAGAGCGATAAACGTACATTTTTACTTCTTATATGTCGTAGATGACTATTGAAAATTCCTTCCACTCCCACACACGGAAAGAATTACGGTAACTGCATAGGGCTGATATTTGAGAAAACCCTATGTATTGGTGATACCGAAAATTGAAAAGCGTTTGCTAGCGATTTAGCATTAAATTATTCTTACACAGTTCTTAAGCAAACCGGTCGTGGTTGGTATCGTTCAATGTTTGCTAAGAAAAATATGTGTAATAATGCTGCCGATATGACTGAATGTCATCACATTTGTCATGCAAAAAACTACATAGCCTTCGCTGTTAAGAGTATGGAAAAATAATGAGTTGATCGGCTTAAAAGCAAGAGAAGAGAGGACATCATGCTAACTAGTATGGAAGGGCTTTTGACTCTAAGCAAGTTCTGTTGGAGATATGCTCAAACAAACTTAGCTATTGGTAGCCGTGTATCCAAGCTCTCCTCGTCCTATCTGTATCTTATTTCAGACTGTGTTAAACTCCAACTTTACAGCTCACGGTAGTAAACACGGGTCTCACTATGCGGACTATAGCAAAGCCTCACAGCAGTTCGAGAAGAACGTCTCTGCAGTACAAAAACTGATTGGTGAGGAGCGTTATTCTTCAGGCGTGAGGAACATTCGTTGCACTCTGCTTCGTGTTTGGGAAAAAAGATTGGTTTTCTCTCTTTTCCTTCCCAAAAAACATTCTTTATTACAGCGGCTGCTGGTCTAACATATGGCTTGAAAGTACCACGTGCAGAAAAGACGACCCGCACTAGTTCACGAAGCAGAGGTGTAAAGAGCGGCTTTGAGGCTCAACCAGAGAACGTGCATATAAGCGATGAGGTAACAAATTTTTGCATAAATTCTTGTCCCTCCTTCCTCACGGTACGTAAGAGTAGTCGATTATCGGAAGTGGAAAGGAATTTTCTAGTTCTTTTGATCTGTGCTACAAGGTTTAGGGAAAAATTAGTTTTACAGGTTATACCCATTTGACATCAATTCCATGCGTGTTTTCAAAAATTGATAATGGTTTATCTCTTTCGTAGTGAATGAAAATAAGAGCCCTACTTTACTCTTCTGCTCAATGATATTCTTTATTTGATATGCCATGACAGAATTGTAAACAAAACAAGCGTGCAGCTGTCCGACCACTGGAACGTGTGTCACTATTTTTTCCACAGCTTTATTTTGTCTTAGGTGGTTTCGAAGCTGTTGAGAAATATCTTTCTCCTTGAATACGCATTCTATCGGAATCTACAAGTCAATGCTCAGTTGTGACTGAAGAAAATTCATTATTGCATTATTGTGTGGGTAGAGAAGTGTTGGTCCTCAAATCATGTATTTGCCATCAAATCCGCGCCATTGCCAAAATTTATGGAAAAATAATGAATACAAAGTGACCCACATAATAAACACAAGTTATATTTGATTTGTTCGTTATACAGATGCTGTTCTGTCTGTTTAGAGAGGATTTCAGAGTGACAACAACACTGTGAACCAACTCGTCGAACAGAAGAACAGAGAGATAGAAAAGCTGTTGGATGCCAATGAGGAGCTAAAGCTGAGGTGAGCTCCTGTACAAATGACATAGCTTCTCGTGTTTTTCAAGCTTATCGGAAGCGAGTGAATGTCAAAAACCAAAGCTATTGCGCACGCAGCGCTCATGCAGATTATTCCTTTTCATGTATTGATACTTTTGTTTTTGCAATAGCAAGTAAGCCAAAACTGACAATCATTGTTCTTCCTGCTCTCTTAGGGTAAAAGAGCTCAAAAAGGAATTACGCGAGGAGATGCGCAACAATATCGAACTTCAACGATCTCTAGGGAAATCAGAGGAAATAGAGACGTGAGACGCATAAACTATTATATCTTCGGTGCAATACTATTGTTCTAGAGATCAGCTCGTACAGTCCTCCACGGCACCTGGTGAGGAGAACGTAGAAAAGCAGGAAGAGGGTGATGCTCTGGAAAAAGCGAAGTTGACGTGAGTAGTTTTAGTATTTTGCAATTTTTTTTCAATCTTCCTTTCAATTATGACGAGTATGTTTCAGAATATTAGAGAAAGATGAAGAGCTCAAAAGAAAAGCAGAAGAAATTGCTCAACTTCGTGCTCGACTAGGGGACGGTGAACAGGTGGTCGTACCACCAGAAGGAGGAGATGAAAGGTAATGTGCAAGTCTTATCAATAAAGTTGGAGTGTACGGAGTCATGCCAGGATTTCTGTTTCCTGCAATTCTTCTCTACCGTTGCAGAGTAGCTTCATTGGAAAGGAAAATAGCTGAATTGATGGACGAGAGGGCTCAGGTGATTGAAGCTATACAAGCCGAGCAACTTGCTGTAGTGAGTGAGAAGGATGAACGCATTTCTCAGCTTGTCCAGGAAGTCGAAACCGCTAATAACGACCTCCGCGATGCTAAAAATCGGTGCTTACCTCATTCAGCTCGTTATAAACTCGTCCTTATTATACTCGTTCCAGAATCCAAGAACTTGGAGAGAAAGATGAGGAAATCAAGTAAGCTGACGTGAGAAGTTTTTGAGGTGTTACAACCAATTTTATCCTACAGCAATCTCCATAATGTTATCGCCGACCTCCGAGCGAATCTTGCGACGACCAAAAAGGAGAAGGAAGAGAGCGAATGGCATCTTGGAGAACATAAGGAGTGGCTGAGCAATTCCAAGGAAAAGTGGGATTGACTGCTGGGTTGCGACTGCTTTATAACAAAGTCGTTTTTCAGAGTAGCATATCTTGAAAACCAGCTGAGTCTTTTGAGTAGCGACCCAGAAAGACTCGCTCCACCACCACCAGGTAAGTACTGTTACGTTGAAGATGTCTCTGAATAGTCTCCTCTACAGCCTCGCCGAAGTTACGCTCAGTATCGGATACCATCGATGAGTCAGCTAAGGCACAGGTGGTTTTTGATTTTCAACAGTAGCTTATTTGATATTATGAACATGCATGAGGGCGTTATGTCAATGTCGACACAAACATCACCTGTCACTCTCCATTTTCAAATGGTTGTTCTACGAAATGGCTTGATGCTAGTGGCTATATGTGGTGTGCTTGAAGAGTAAAAGAAGAGTTTCGAGAAAAAATCTATTTTTTGACTGCACTTTGGTTGATCTCCTCATACAGGCTGCGAGAGAAATCACCCGAGCGTCACTGATTTTGGACAATTTTCCTCTTCCAAAAATCTTTTGAAATGTTGCATTGAATCCAAAATAGTGGCAGTGGCATAATTTTCATAGTGGCAGTGTTCCTCCCCCTTTTCTAACCTAGCAAAGGTTGTGCTGATCAAGGGATGATGTCAGGAGTTTTATGCTACTTGCTGTTAATAAAATCTCTAGTGGGCTTGCTGCAAATCAGAAGCCTGGGTCCTCCTTCGCCTTCATCTATGCGACCCCCGTGGACCCGCCTCAAAATGGAACAGTCAAGCCGCTGCAAAAAAAATGTACATGAATTCCTTTTCCATTGAGATTCCTTGGAACTCGTGAGAGAAAACTTTCGCTTCAGGTCAAGTGCAAGTGTTCAAAAAGTATGTGTACACAATTCCTTTGTCCCTTTCGCCATAAGGTATTTTGCAAAACTCAAGTATCAATTAAACCCCCTTTTGTTTCCAACTTTGACAACATCAAACAAATCATCAATTGCTACTGATTACTGTAGGGATACGGCAGGAATTACAAGCAGTTTTTGGGCTAGTAAAATCCACCTTTGCACTAAATACATATTGAAATTCTAAATGTCGCTTAGCTTCTCTTCCCAGTGAACCTGTTACCCCGAATTCAATAAAGCTTCCGCTGCGCCTCCGAAGCATACCCTCGATACATAGAGCCACGTACTCTGGTAACCTTCACTTTGAGGGCTATGAGGGGGCACAACCTTCACTTGGAAAAAAACAGAAGCATCCGGGGCTTCGCCCTCGACGTTATTATCTTTATTATCCTGACTTATCGGAACGAATGTTAATGAAGCAAATATAGGGAATAATATCCCTAGCTTATTTCAGCGAAACCGAGAATTCGCGTTTTCATAGCCTTTTTTACGTCAAAAAGAAGGTTTCTGTGGAATTTTCGCCAGAATTCAGGACAAAATTTCTCAGTTAACCTCTCATTTGACCAAAAAGAGTTTCAGAAGTTTAGGAAAGCTATTGGAGTTAAATAAAAACGAGAAACTGCGCTTAATTCTTGCGCAGAGAATCACGCACGCTGTCTATCTCGCTAATGAGTGGTTTTCAAAGCTTGGGACGTTGTCAGTTCTCCTCGTCGTGTCATGACGATCAGAATGATATATAATGTTGCAAGATTTCGTTGAGACCCCGCTGAGATCTACACCAGAGCCAAATGCCCCGTCGGCTCTGATCTGTCTCCGCTGCTCGTCTGCGTCTCCGCGTGCTGCGCGCTACCTCGCTACCCCAAACGCGGGGCGCGGGGCATTTGGCTCTGGTACCCTTTTCTTCGTTATTTCGAACCCAAATTTTGCAAGCTATATATCATTTTGAAGCTCTTGATCTCTATTTTCACGCTGACAACGTCCCAGAGCCACATTTTTTGATTTGATCGAGAAATCCGGTAAAAACCTTGTCTTCGAAAATCTCTTGTTTTTCCCCAAGTTTAACTCTTTTCACGCGGTTTTTTTGTGCATTCTATAGATCTTGCTTCTGTTCATAATGCTGACAACCACCCAGCCCTTATCTCTTCGATTATGGTGGAGTTTTTTGCGAAAAATCGTAAAAAGTGCGTTTTTCTTTACCTTGTTCTGTTTCAGTGCTTTCGCATCGATTTTTTTCCAGCTTGGGCGATTGTTGCTCAGAACAATAAGCGCAACAATCCAGACAACGTCCCAGGAAACAGGAACGTCAATGCGGGGGTAAAAATTTAAAGGACGCATCAAAAATCAAAACCCCGTGTTGCGAATTGCTGGTCCTGGAGCGAAAACTTGCACTCTGAAAAGCCGCCAAATGAAAGATTTCAAACTTCATTGCAGCGTTTTCATCCGGAATACAGCGTTTCTTTTATTTTTTATATCTGTTTTACGTCATTTTCTCTTTCCTAATCTTCTTCAAACAACCTTCACTATTTTATGACGTCAGATGTTAAAACAACCTTCACTTTTGGCGCCCTGTCTCTAGACTATCGAAGGTATGCTCCGAAGGCGAATCTTTGCAAAATGCGTAATTTCTAGTTACCTGAGTAGAAACAACTGACTTGCACCATCTTATGGCTCTATTGCGACCAAAACTCAGAATGCTTCCCCCTCCCCCCGCCTCGTTTAGCCATAATTCCACAAAATTTGAAAAGAAAATTCCGGGGTTGCCAAAATGCTTTCCTCTAACGGAGTGAAATTTAGATCAGATCGTTGGAGACGAAGTTGCAGTTGGCTAATCAATCGTTTAGGAACAGTGAAGCAGAACGACAGAAATGCGAGCAGATCAATAGGTACTGTAATAGCATACTTCGACGAAAAAGTTCTTATTTGTTTGCTTAAGAGACACAATGAAACGCATTGTACAACTAGAGAATGAGAATGGCCGTCTTCAGGGAATCAATGATGAATTGACGTAGGTTATTTTCAAATCGAAGCAACTTCTCCCACACGGAAATCATCACAGAACGAAGCTGCAAGAGTCTGCCAGTGTGCAGGTGCTAGAGGAGAAAGATGCTCGCATGCGTGACTTGGCCGACGAGCGTAGTCGTCTCCAGTGGAGAATCGGCGAACTCAGCCAGTGGTGGAGCGACGCCAAGTGGAAGTGAGTGAGAATTTTTCATAGAGTGGGGCAGTGGGAGAAAGTATGAAATAAAAACTAGATGTTACGAACGCCATACGTGTAGATTACGATAGTAGTAGATTACGGTCTTGTGTCCTTGCCTCAACAAACCACCAACCTCAGAACATCCCGAAAATTTGGGTTTTGTTACCTTTAGCTCACTGCTTCATGAGCAGACCTGCTATAATCTAATCGATCAAGGCAATGGCTCTTCAAGCTGTAGTAAGAGGGTAAGGCTTTCGAAATATAATCCTGCTGTCAAGATGTGCGTTTGTACACTTTTGATTGTGAGCAATGAGCTACAATGGCAGTCTCATGAAGGTAAATTTGTGAAACATGAAATTCCCCTCAAAGAAGTGCTGTCTATAAAGCGATAAGGTTGTAAAAATTGCTAACTTGGAGAATTTCCGACCACGAATATCAGAAGGCACATATTGAGAAACTCAACCATATCTTACTTGTCCCTCTACCCATTTGTCAAGGGAGACGCCCGTTTTTCTCTAAACTCGACCAACTCGGACAGGCTAGAAGATTTTCGGACCAAATGGCCGTGCTATACCTTACCAAAGGCAATAGTAAGGTATGGCGATCGCTCCGCAAGACCCGATGATGCGGCCTAGGTGCTCATATTTGGCCAAGGAAAAAGTGTGTCTTGTACTCGTGAAATTGGTATAAATACTATCATCCTAACCTCATATTTCCCGGCCAAAAATTCGGCATTGATGCTAATCGACCGACTCGAATTTGCTAAACTCTTACCTTGAGGCTAAGATAGGGAGAGCCACTATCTATCTGAATCACATCTATGATCTTTTCCTCATTTCAGAATCGGAGAACTGGAAGCCGGTGTGGCTCATCAACGACACTTGCTTGACACGGCAAACACAAAAATCCAGAGCTTGAATGAACAGTAAGTTAGCAGCTACTTTCCTCTTCCGAAATATCTAGTTAAATACACGAACCTTAGACGTAAATTTCCATTAACGCCGTAGTTCCAAAATCTTTCCAGTTGACTCAGGTGCATGAAGCATCCGTTACATTCTGCATCTCATTTCTATTTGTATACTGTAATCCTACAAGAAGTCCTAGAAGAATACTTTTTTAGACTCGTCTCAGCTTTGAGGTGAGATTTCGCTGTGTTTGGAGTGGAACATAACAAAACTGAACTGAATGTTGATTGATTGCAATGTGAATCGGCATTTATATTAGCAAACTTTAATACAACTTGAGTGTTTTTGATAGTTGCAGTGTTCGCGTGAGTAGTTTTTATCCTGAGTATGTTTCACCTTCTTCCTTCTTTTTCTTTTCCAACGATTGCTTTATTTTGCTTGTCTTTGGGTACATGCGCAACTACCTATTCGGGATGCAAGCCTGGCTTCTGGACTATCTCCACTCGCAAGTATTGTACCCTACGGGTTTTTGCTTCTCGAATTCTTCACTTGTGGCTATCTTCTTCTTAGTTTGAACGTTGGTAACCTACAATTTTTGTGTAGCCGATGAAACATTGCTGATATGCAGACGCCGTTGAGAAAAAGGTGACTAATCCTTGAAATATTCGCTGGCATCTCTACTATTGCTTCCAATGATTCATGTATCGACAGCTAAATATGTTCTATCTTGTTTGCTGAATACTCTTCCATCATTATTCAAATCTCTTGAGGGATTTGTGGACCTATGCTTGGACACTCACTGCTTAAATGTGGGGAAAACGGCTCCTTTCAATAGTTTTGCTTTTCTACAGTAACCCACTTACCCTAGGTTCCTCTCCGTCGGTGATTGTGACATCTAAACTGAATAGAACCAGTGGTTTGAGAAAATTTTGACGTGAATTCATTGATATGCACATAATGGATTTTAGAACACCGCAAACCTCCACTACGTATATGATGCCGTCATACTCAGTTAGTCATGCCTATCCAGGACAGTGGCAACTTGCTAACAATTGGTGCGATTACGGTATGCGTGGATGAAACAATTTTTGAACTCTGAACGATTGCAGCTTCGCACCACCAACAATCTCTGCACCAACGCCTTTCTACACAACACATCTCACTCCATATGAAACGAAGAGAGTCAAGCTGGAAATTGACATCGGCTCCAACCAAGACGTCTTCGTTATGGTAGGCGCCAGTCGATATTCAACAAAATTAGCTTTCGTATTAGCATATGTGCCTCTTCAGGGCTCGTTCCTAAACTGGCAATGTGCGTTGAAATGTGATCCAATTGGAGAGGGAAGAAAAGGCGTGACTGTTGACTTACCCAGAGGAAGGCAAGTTTTATCGCAATAAAGCGAAAATCTGCATTCAGGATGTAAAATTCCGTGTTTCAAGGATCGTAACTTCTTTGCAGCGAAAGAAGGTAGGTTGGTATGGATTCATTGGCGGGTAAAAGTGCTATACTATCAGAAATATTTGCTTGCTGTCTTGTAGACAGCCATATGAACTAGGTTAAGATTAGTCAAACAGGAAAAAATGCTATAAGAAGGCCCAAGAACCAAAACTTCGAACTACGCGCACTTCATAACAATTTTATCGCTATCGTACTGAAGATGAATAACGTTTTTGGAACTTCAGGGCATTGGAGTGACGAGATCTACTTTTGCTTAGAGAGCAGTTACTGAAATTATAGAATAGTTGTTTCGATAGATGCAAACCCAGTCTAACCATAGCTTAACGTGGTCATTTGAACCCGGGATCATAACAAGATTTGCCCAGCCGTAACCTGAATTTCAACCAACCTGCGCATTTGCATGTTGGCAAAATCTCTGCTCCTGAGCCTATCTGAGACTTTCCTAGCCTGTTCGCTGATGAGTGATATCTTGTAGAAAGGCGTTGAAAACGCGCTATCAGTACAAAATGTTGCGATTTCAGACACGAATTCCGATTCCTCGTCGACGGGAAGTGGGTAACATCGTCTTTATATACGAAAGTACCGAACGGGTTCGGTGGAGACAACAATCTGCTCTGGATCGAGTAGTGATCAAAACAGCTCCTCTTCTGGATCGCATCGTTACCGGCGACTACATACTGTAAGCAACCAATCCACGACCATACTATAAGTACTTGATTGCATCTGCTACTGTCATCTGAACAAAGCTACCAGTCAGTATCGTTGAACTGTTTATCCTTTTTCTGTGGGTTATAAAACACTGGTTTATTTTGAGATTTTATAGAGCGTTGTGTGTAGGATATGTGTAGGTCAATAAACGTTGCAAACAAATACTTAGCCATCATATACTTACACTGCTTGTTAAAGCTATGACAACCGCCGAAAACATGCATCTGCTTGATCAGTGGAGAATTCGGATGTTCTAAAAAAGTTGCTTTGTCAACGAACTAACTAAGACTCGGCTTAGCTTACATAATGTTGAATTACATACACATTCTATAGAAAGATAGATTTCTGCATCACATCCTAGTCTTCCTGATAGAGTAGCACGTCTTTGAGCAGACTTTCTCGGCATATCGCATATTTGGGGCGGAAACCTTCCGTCGAATGCATCTTTCACATTTATTTAAGCTAGACAGCACTGACATGGGCTCAAAATCATGAAAAGATACCGTGGCCATCCAAGATGAGTTGCACAATGCTGCAGGATGGATTGAGGAATTCCGGGCTACATGAGTTGTAAAACTGTGCTGATGAATTGTTTTTACTAGTAAGTGTACAAAAATACAATAATGGTGACTGAAAATAAAATAAAAGAGCAAAAGACATACAGAAGATAAGATGTTTCTGAATAATGTACTTTTGCCTGTGCCTGTTTTACCTCACGAGTGCAGATAGAAATATACTGCCATACTATACGCGATATTTATTCTTGCTAACCTGCACAAAAAATACCTAGGAGGAAGGAGTGCAAATTCATGTATTTTTATCATGTAAGGCATTAACTATGAAAAGAATTAACGACATGCTTCTGATGTTGGATGAGAATGAATAGTTGGTATGTAAGAAAGCAGAACAACGCAGAGAAAATGTCATAGACCACTGAAGCGGACCGATGCAAGCACCCAGCGAACCTATGTAGCACCCATCGTGGGGTCAGAGCAGAAATCGAAGTTATACATGTGTTTTACCGTTTTTGATGTTGCGAGCTCATAGATATCATTGTTAGACGTTGCTCTCGCTGATTGAGTCAAGCAGATCTAGGAGCGTAATTTGGAAACACTCTTACTTTTGAGTAGAAGTATAGGGATCTAGAAAAGCTGTTGCAGCGGAAATTAAAATCTTCTCTGCATGAGCTTCCACAAAACTGAGACATTACAGAGCTGATGAATTTTTGGCCATATATGTATTCTCGGATACCGTCCATTACGTGGTCAGGCTGTAGCTATTAACGTAAAACCTTGTGATAAAAAAAATCTTCCACCACCTCAGATATTCAATAAATCTTATCATGTTCAAACTTCCGAAAGCTCATAGTAAGCAGATTTCGAACTCATCTTACATTACAAATTACATGAGGGAAACTTTTGCTCAGAACTCAAACTTTGGCAGTTTATCTCGAACATCGACGAGCTACTAGCTATCTTTCCGCTTTTGTAGAAGAGGATTAGCTCTTTAACACGTGTAATCTCGCAGCAGGATCCACTGAAACGGGACTTATTAGACAATAAGAGGAACTATTAATGCTCAATGCTCATTCACAGAAGATAACATGAACTAGAGAAACTTTCTTTCTTTACCATTCCATATTTAGAAATAACTCAAGTGTGAGGGATGGTATCTTCGAACTCTCCAACATAATCCTATAGTCATTTATGGGTACACAATGCGTATCCATAGCAGAAATTGAAGGTATTAGTACCAGCTTGGCGGTGAAGGAGGAAGTGGGAAAGCTCCCACAATCGCTTGTCTGTTGGCCGGTCTTTGTTCGCGCTCGCCACTAAACCGTCAGCAACCGCACTACGAGGTTACGCGATTCACCTAGCGCGTTCCGGATTGCGAATGTCTCACACAAACATATGAGTGACCGTTTGGTCGCTGGCGATGTGCCTGCTGACTGACTGCCACCCTTCGGCTTGTCCCCTGTAAACCTGTTTCCAGCACCGTGCATCTTGTTCGATCACGACTCTCTTTCTATTGATCACGCTCTTAGACCGTCTTGATTTGCATAGTCCAGCCACTGTTATCGCCGACTAGGGCACATTCTTCATTTTTCCTCAGATGAGTTCGGCCGACTGAACTGATCCGTCAATGACTCCGATCTTTTCCGGCTCTTTTTTTGTGTCCTTGCGTTGTCTCGCTGACTTACGCGCCTTGGTTCTCTAGACGCGTTCAACAAGTTGGGTTTTTTCTACAGCTTTGTGTGGCACTTAAAGGACAACAATAAAGCGCATAGAAAAAAGCGTGAACTTAAGAATTTTCAATCGCATTCAAGAAGAGATCAAACATACTAGCAGCAAAAAACTAGATCTGGCTAATGATAAATGCATTAGTGTTCCTGAATTCCAAGAAATAGTTTTTGTATCAGAAAACATAAGCAGCGATAAGGGTTAGCGTTGAAAACATTAAGGTGAAAAATGTGATTACTAAAAGCATAGTTCCCCTTACATCGGCTCACTCATGTTCACCTTTTCTGGCAAAAAAGAGATAGGAAGAAATGAGGTGAAATGGAATGGTGGAACTTTAGCAAAGCGATTAATTAGTAATTTAGTGGAATTTGGCGGCGCAGTACTCAACATGCACAATTTTAACTTCAACTCTAGCATTCTATAATGTACAAAAGGAAAAGCACTCTTGGTGCGAGCGAGTCCGCTGGCCTTTTGGAAGAAAAACCATATTTTGTATGTAATATATTCTATGCATGAACTCTTAGCGTTAACACTCTCCAGTGGACTACCAATTTGCAAACCTTGAGAGCTATCACAAAATTATAAAAAGCGCTTTGCGAGGCCACCAATGATTAGAGACATATATGGAGAGTTGCTGCAAATGCCGATATCTACGAAATGGGGCCTTTATTCATTAGACCTTTGCAACATGTTTAGACAAATCACTATTGATTTCTTGCACATTCTATCGCCTCTTAATAAGTGAGGGCATACTGGTACCGTGTTAAACTTTCTCCTCCAACATCGCTGCAACTCTTTTTTTTTGCAGAAAGCCACTTCAAGAATAGCATCTGTTCCTTTGCACAAAGCAGCAGTCATGACGCTGACAGTGTCCATGGAAGACATGGAGCTGTTCCCAAAAGATTCGCATCTCAATACCGAACCACAGTCAACCCACGTTGACCTTGATAGCTTCATACAGGTAGTTTCCGAGCTTCATAGCACGTGGTAAAGCGTGATGAGTTCAGCATATGTATACATGTTTCAGATGTGCGCTGCTCTAGATCGTTTATGGTGGTCTCGTCTGGTTATTTCAGTTCGAGGATATGTGGTAAACTATGTACAGAACGATGACGAAATACTATTTCATACAGATGATGCTTTCATCAGCATTCATCGATTTCTCGCTGAAGAAGCTGCTGAAAAGAGTCTTGGAGAACAGGGAATAGTTTATTTCCACAACTATAGATGTTAGTCATGCTTGCTACGTTTTAGTTTGTAGCTGATCTCGATGCAATTGTCACCTATCCCTTGCTGAACGAAACACTCCTGGCGTTGACTTCTTCGCGGCAAACAACAAATCCATTCTATGACAAACAAGTGGAGTCGTCATTCACACGAGTTTTTGGAAAGCCGAATGACGCGACCTATCGCGTTGCAAACGGTCAGCCTTGTTAGGCCCGTATGCATGCATGTTCCGCCTATAAGGAGAATTATAGGGCTCTAATCAGAGAAGGCCGCAGGATCGAGGTGGCCGATTGACTAGTCGTGTATGCTAAGACTTGGGGCTTGGAGGACTTGTTCAGGGCGTTCGAAAAATTGTGACGATGGCGCAACCGCGCGCGACACGCACGCACTTTCATTTTTTGGTTTCCATCTCTACTCGAATGGTTTTTCTGTTTACGTATGATAGCACTCAGACACTGGAAGTAACTAAGTTGAGCGTTGGGTTGATGCCTGTTTGTATGGGTGTTTTATGCCCCTGTGTGCGCAAAGACCGCAGTCAAACTCGTCGTCACGATCTTAAGAATGAACCATATCAAATTGCACCCGTTCTGTGATGCATTATTCTGGAGCAAGTTATAGCCCCGCTGATGTTTTAAAGCATGCATGTTTAGGGACGCATGACTCTTTCTAATGTGGCAGTGTGGTGTAGTGGTTAGTGCCGCGGATTCACAAGTGACCACTAGGATTTGAATCGTGTTGGTGTCCACGGTTTTTGCGCTTTTCCCAAATTCTATTTTCTATTTGTTCCATGTATTTTTGGGCAAAAAAAGTGACACATAAGGCTTACAGGATAATTTTTTTTCACGAACTAACTTTCAAACTACGGTCCTATGATTTGCAAAATGTCTATGCAAACTTCTTCCTCTACCAGTCAGACTATGTCATACGTCTATTTAATACCAGTTCCTCAAAAAATAGCATACTGTTGGGAGCGTATGTGACATATGACAAAATGTCTAAAGCACAGGTATTTCTCGCAATGTGGACAGCGAATAAAAATAATATAATCGCAATAAACGATCTTACAACAATCAGCTGGATTTGGATAGGAAAACAAAACTGTAGCGGCATTTCAAAGGCCTCAAAATGTTCGGAAATTACCTGACAATCGCCAAGCTGTTGACGACTTTTGTTTCTTAATATTCGGTTCCTTGTGGGAATGACATAGCAGGTTTTATGGTGGAACTTGATCGGCCGTATGTACCATTTTTTCGCCCAAAAATATATGTAACACGCAAAAAATAGAATTTGAGACGAACGCAAAAAAATGGAGACCAACAGTACTCGAATCTTCCTCATAGTCCGCCTGCAAGTCCGACACACTAATCACTACAACATACCCGCCATGCGTTCATTCGCAACATGCTTACGCCGATAACATCAGGAGCTATAACTTGCTCCAGAATAACGCATCGCAGCTAATGGGTGCACATTTGGGTACTTTTCCGTTATCCGGACCCATTTTTTCAAAAGGCTCTCTACATTATACGTTCTTCAGTCTCAGAGTAATTTTTCATGAAATCTACGAGGACTGCCTCCTTGCCACGTATCACGAAAAAATTGACACGTTTTGGCCCATTTTGACATGTTTTTTTTTCGAAACCATTTCTGATGACATAAAAGATAATTTTTGATCATTCAGAAACGGACAACTGACATTTAATTATTTTACATAAGCGAAGAACATTCATGAACTTATTCTAGATTATCTTGCTTGCTTTCATGAGTGATTCAAAAATGCATTTCTCTTCAAACTCTTATCGCCATGCGAATTTAGCCGAAAAGACTATAAATGATAGCTTGAAGTACCTTGCTGCTGCTTATTTCGCCTCTTCATGATGGAATCTTAGCGCACTTCTCTATCCTGAGTAACTCTAATCTGTTCATCGATGTTAGTATGTTATTATCATTATGACAATGGTCATTTCGAAACTGTTTGATCAAAACGAGTTCAAAATCAACTAAAAAACAGACCATTTCATCGGCTAGGCAGGGTAACGCAAACTCTTGGTAAAACCTGTTGAACATGTCAAATCATGTCAAATTTTTTTTTGACAGAAGGTTGACACTCCTTCTTGTGAAGCTGAGACAAAATATGGTACAAGGATAGAAGCAATATCTTTCTTTGTAAAAATGGGTCCGGATAACGGAAATGTACCCACATTTGATACTAACTTCCCAGGTCCCAAGTCCGAGTGTATACAGTCATTGTCAATTACGTAAATCCTTACGCATGGGAACTACGCATGCGCAACGCAAGGGCCCTACGTGCGGAATTTGAATGCCCGAGTCATACGCGCACGAATATGGAGCACTCATTACCTTTTACTGAAAAGGGAGCACGTGATTGACACGGATTATACCACTACTCAATCGATCACTTCGATGCTACGGACTTATGAAATAGGGCTCCAATGAGGTGTTCTTAGATCTGTGTTTTATATATCTTTCCATTCTCGATAGGCTCTGCCACCTTCCATCGTAAGCATAATGAGCGAACTGACTGCTGTGTTACAAACTGACAATGAGTCTCATTGCTTTGTATGGTGCCCTAAGGTTCCCCAGCAGATACCAAAGTCCTTCATTCTACAAACTCAATGAGAATGTGCTAGGGTATATTGCAGAGCATAGCATGTTTCTAATAAAAAGAGTTAGAACTTTTCTGGTGAATTCGCGCAATAATTCATCGAAGAATCATTTTCCGATCTGATCAAGTTATTCCGGCGGAATGTTCGTGCATGCGAGCCTCAGCGGCTTTGAATTGGAGAAAGAGCTTAACGTCGAGAGATGCGAAAGTTGACTTACTGTAGAGATTTGAGGTCAAAAACATGCCTATGTGGTCTTCATGCGAGTTCTGTGTATTTTACAAGAACGCTGGAAGGCAGAAAGCAAATCGCGCAAATCGATCCGCTTTGAGACGGATCCAGAGTGGCAGCCAGACGATCGCGTGGTGCTCTTCCAAGAATTTTACCAAGGTGGATCACTAAGCTTGTCATTTCTTTGAATTCTCTGAGCAAACCAGTTCTTGTAGAAGGAAAAGTACTTATTTGTTTTTCTTTGCAAACTCAGGAGCGAGGATCGATGAGACATTTTAATCCCATTACTGCAGGAAACCGCACTTGGGTTTTGCTGGACTTTGACCGGTACATTCTTGCTCAGTGGCGACCACGCGGATCAGAAGTGATATTCGGTGCAAGCTTTGTAGAGAAAAAGATGAGAGCTGGAATGCAACTATGTGCTTGGTGTGGAATGATCGAACAGCAGGTATAACAAGCGCTATTACTTAGTTTTTTACAGTCATCTATCAACATTTTTCAAGCGCAACCAATTCACACAATTTGTGGAAGACAAAGTTGTTTGCTCACCGCAGTGTTGGCAAATGTTAGAAGGAAGTGACGAAAAATCAATAAGCACCGGATGACTAGTGGATGTGATTATGTATAAATTATGTATCACTGAGTTCCTATATTAAGACATTGAAGATGGCAAAGCTTTAGCCGTTTGGCGTAAGATGAGAAGCACAAAGTGCGAAGACTTGGGATAAAGCGTTGTATGTTGGCATTTGTTGTAAATGTGATGTCAACATGTGATATGATTCTTTCTCCAAAAGAAGGTATAACGCAGATGTGCGAGAGTACTACATACCGGTTAAATTCCTATCGTAATCCTATACGAATTTTGCTGAATCTACCGTGAAGGATGAACGAAACGTGCTCCAATCGAAACAGCTGTTCATGTATGTACGCGAACCATCTTTCTAAACAGCTGCTAAGGCTCGAAATTTTGAAACTCAAGCGTTTCATCGATGACGTAACCTGTTGGCAGTCATGTTTGTTAGAGCACTAACTCTTCCCGAGCACTCCGCTCAAGTTCGACTACAAATTACTTAGGTACGTGTTCTGAATCTTCAATCTGGGCAATAGACAATGGCGTCGTATACCTTGAGAAGTTCTGCAAGAAAATATCTGCTGAGTTTTATATTCGAAGTACTACTTGGAAAATACAGGGCTGTAGACACAAGGAGAAATCACTGTCCTGTGAAGAATGTTTGTAACATGTTGTTCCAAAGCTTTGGTATCAAGCGGAGTGCAAGCGAAAGGAGTGAAGCACAAAGAACATCCTAAATATGTGCGCCTACAGTCCCTCAAATTCTATGAACATTTGGACTTTGGACTTTCTTGGACTAGGACCAAATGTTCATAGAATAAACACGATGTATCGCCATTTATTATTCTCAACAACTTGCTTCCAAGAAAGGCAGACTGGCGAAGAAGTTATATTTGCCGCGTATACATAACTTGAGTGAGTACATGCAGTCAGTAACTTTAACATCCAAAAGTTGAGCAGCATGCACAATTCTGTCCAAGAAACACACGCAAGAGCCTACAATGCCTACAGTGAACTCAAAGACGTTTGATATATAACGCGCAATGTTCAGACAATAAAGAGCTGTGAACGAAATGTGAAGAGAACAATGAGAGAAAAAGTGTTGCTGTGACGAAAGAAAAACGATCTTTCAAGGACAGCGATCGTAGCTAAACCTCGATGTGCCAACGATTTTCCATAAGTGTCTCGTGTATTTGTGATCGCATGCGTTCCATTCCTTATTTCTCCGATGAGCACCTAGATAGAGTAAGACGATGTGAGAGATGCTTTTGGATCATTTTGGCTTTTCATAAGCCATTTAAGCCTTTTCATTTTTCATAAGCCTTCTTCACAACGCTCACTTCTAATCATAGGCGGCGAGACTCCCCGCAGGAGATCATTAGAGGTGTTAATATGTTCCTCTTGCTGTTAAAGTTTGGTGGACACGCAAACAAGTGTCAGAGCATTCAGAAATCGTAGCAAGTTTACCGACGCTCCAGATATGTCCAAGCATCATTTCCGAATCCTCAGCATAAGTCCACTTTATCGAATCGCAAAGCATTCAGCCGCTATGGAAACTCATGACAGGTTACAACCATAATTCTTTTGATAAAAGATTTTATCCTTCTGATTGACACATACAACATATGTCCTTGGAAATTCTCACTTTAGCAAGGAACGACAAATATTGACTTTATTTTCCAAATGATTTCGCAAAACCCTGGCCGGCTCTGAGTTGACTTTCGGCAGTTGTGTGAATAGCCGACTAGTCTCAGATTTGCGCGTCATGTGAATCGTTTTCCGCAATGTTGCGTAAGTCGTTCAATAATACGTTGCAGAGTTTGCGCGTGCAAGCGCTCCATGGACACGAATGTCGTTGTTGTTGTCCTTTTTTAATCGCAATTAATAATTCTCCATTTAACCGCGTCACACATATCTCCGTTAGTCGCTACTACGCAGGTTTCTTTCTGTTTGGAAATAAACTAACTTAAGGATTCCGTATGCTCGCTCGAGCTCTGCTTTTTATAGCAGATTCGATGGTTGCATCTTCGTAAGTCTCTAGGTTATGAAAGTTTTACCGCAGTTAAATCTTTGTTTTTGGGCGGTCTTCGTTTTAACGTAGTGCAACCATTCCATTTTTTCACCAATCAACTATTTGAGTGCTTTGTGCTCCGTAAGGAACCTCATGTCGGCGAACTGGTTGCCCTATTGAGCGTCGTTAGCCGACGGTGGATGTCATTATTAGCGGCGTATATCCCTCAGTGGCTCTTCTCTCAAGTTGAGCACTTGATTTTTCGTGAGGTGCATCAAGCCGGTGTGCAACCATGAATGCGTCCTTAGCTTTTTGTGGTTGGTATAAGCTAGGTCTATGCAGCTTTCTGAACGTGTTTGAATGTTTGGCAAACTGAGTTTCCTGTCTAAGAACTGTGTTGTTTTCTGTAAAGTTTGGTAACCAAAGCTGGCTGTGGTTGATCCTTTTCGTCCTTCACATGATCTGATAATAATTCATGCTGCTTCCTTTCTCCTTGACTGCAGTCAGTTAGTCTTGATCCTATCAATTCTGTATCACTCGCAGTTCTCACTTCAATCATACTTTATCCTACTTTACGCCTCTTTCTTCCCAGATTTCTGTTCTGGATCGCCGCTTTGTATTCGTTTGCTCAACACTATCTCTGTTGCTCTTTGACTTTGGTTTTTGTGATTTTGCCCACTGTAATTTATTCAGATCTATGATCATACCCATATTCCTACGGCATGATTGAGAGATGGCGCACAACGACTACACTCCTGTACATGTTAGATCAGCATTAGTATAATAAAACACGTGCCAAGGTTGTCTATCTTCAGAGCCGTGCTATGGTCATGTATCTGCTGTGATAATGTTTGCCTGGCTGATGGTTTCAAAAATTTGGTCCGCGCATTTCTCGACGCTCACAAGTAAGTGGTTATTCTTCAACGTTAGTAGCAGAAAAAACGAATTGCGTATTCAGCGGCATGCGCATGGTTCATCTAATATCTAAAACTTATCACTAATATATATCACTAATATATAAAGAATCGCAACACCAATTCAAAAAAAGTCAGATAGAGGGAAACCGCGGTGCGACCCCCAAGCAAGCGGATGCAACCTCTAGCACCTTCAATTACTGGTTCACTAGTATGTATATGTTTGTATATATGTATTAACATCATCTGAGTCCTTCTTTGAGATACGAAAGGCCAGAATGACCCTTTGCCTCAGGGGATGTAGTGCAGTTTAGGGCATGGAAGCCTTTTCACCAGATTTTATTGTACTGACTGCTGAATTGTTGGCGCTCCTAATCGCAGCTCATAGGTTTCGTAGATCACCACATAAGCTTCGTGGATTACCAAATAAAATTCATGCTTGAATGTCATTATTTGGAATGTTCGCTTTGCAGCTGAAATATTGGGGATGTCTAACATGCTTTGACAGTGTATGTCGAAGTCTTACTTCGCTCATCAAGCGTGCATGTTTCAGGTTATCGAACACTTCGTGCCCCATCGAATTACCTCTAAGGGTTGCTCAACATATTTCCGCTAATCTGTCATTGACTGCAACGCCGTCAGACTCAGCTCATCCCAAAGCAAGCTCCGGAAATTGCACTAATAATCTAACCGCGCCGGACTCGCTGAGGTTATACTTTTACTTTGCCTTAGTATTGCTGCATTTGTAGCCAACCTTATTTCAGAAAGGCCACATCTGTGCTCAAAGCAGAATCCCCGGATGCAGATTCATCTGCAAAACATACAGAAGGTGAAGAATTGCACCAGCCAATAGCTACCTTTGACGAATGGACAAAGGAGAAATTGAAACAGGAACTTAGGAAGGCTGTTGTGAGTATCTGTAGCAACTGCTTGCTTTTGTTTTCTGCCCTTGAGTGTTTTTTTGGAAGTCAACCAGACATTTAAGCCACCTGCTGCATCTTTGGATACTGGCATGCCAAGCACACAAACGCAACCGATAGCACCAGCTGCTGCTACTACAAGAAACTACGCTAGCAGAGAGTGTGGAGCCAAAGTTTTACTCAGCAATGCGGAAGCAGAAAACACGAAAGCCATATTAAACGAGAAAGTTTGTTTCTCTTCTATCTTTTTCATTTTCTTGTCTTGGGTGTTTTTTTTGTCCATCGACTTCTGTTGATATCTCGGATTAGGGTGCGTAGCTTCAGTGTTAGTCGTAAAGTTTCAGCTGAAAGAGCAACTGGGTCTGGATGCGAGCATTGTATGCGTTCTTGCCATGCTGTGTAAACTAGTTTATCATGGGAACAGTCAGCAACCCGCTGGATGTTTCCGCATTATGTGTTCTTCCTTGCGCTGATTTCCGACAATAATGCCAATTTAGTAGTGGACACGTTTTAACGTGTAACATCTGTATTGGACCTTATCTGGGGAATCGGTTGACTTCTTAAGGCAAACATGGCGAAATACAGTGGTTTAGCTTAAAGGCACCGTCTACCCTAAGTTGAGGGTCTTGAGCTTTTGGCAGCATATGATAGTAGGGTCTCCTATCAAGCCAATGCTCAAATCGCAGTGCAAAATCGCTTCGGAAGCGAGAAAATCGCTCCGGAATAACGAAGATGCACGAGGACCCCCATCTATGCCCGCCCTCTCCTATCCATGCCCGCCCATTTGTGCGCGCCCATCCAATCACCGTTTTGGAAAGCCGGCTTGTGGGTTTTTCGGAATGGGGATTTTCGAGATTTTCGCGGATTCTCAAATTCATATTTGAAATCAGGGACACGAGAAGGCCCTGAAGCGACAAAAACCTGGAAGTCGAGAATCTGGGTGGATGGTGCCTTTAAGTGGTAGAGATATGGATGAGCTGAGCGAAAAGCAAGTGAAAACACATGATTAACATTGTTGCATATGCTATCCACCCTGTGTTGATTTGAGTACATTTCAGGAGAAAGATGAGTATATGCGCAATCCGTGTGAAAAAGCTGACAACAAGTTCGTTATCGTGGAACTTTGCGAGACTATACAGGTTTTTCCTTATATATGTTTCTCGTGTCTTTTCTTGTTCATACGTATGTTGATCGAGTTTGTTTGTTAAGCCACGCAGCATTGAAATCGCAAACTACGAGCTGTTCTCATCGGGCCCTAGAAATATAAGATTGTGGTCAGCGGAAAGGTTCCCTAATGGCGAATGGCGGCTGCTTAGCGATCTGACCGCAGCGGACTCTCGACAAATCCAGCAATTTCCTGTGCCTTTTACGGGCGCTTACGCCAAATTCATTAAGGTTGAAGCTTTTGCTTTTTGTGAAATTTTGTTTTCTGTACGTGGTTTCCCAAAGTCTCTTCATTTATCTAAAAGTATTATATTTTACTTTAAGGTTGAGCTGTTATCCCACTATGGTAGCGAGCACTATTGTACCTTGTCAGTTCTAAAGATTCTTGGTATATCAATGGTAGATGAATATGAGGCAGAGGTGGACGTTTTTCTCAAATTCCATTGTTGTTCATCGTCGTATTGCAATTAAGGCTGAGGCAGCTTCTGTAGGGCACGTTCCTAACAGCTTAAAGGCTACTTCCGATGGCCAAGAGAACAATGTAACAAGCGAGGCTGTGGAGACTACAACTTCACCACACACTCAGTCTCAGGTAATTTGCATCGGAGTGTCGCAAATTCACCTCATTTTAGCAAGGGGCATCAGTATTTCAACAGAGGGGTATTATCATGATATTGATTTTGCAACAAATATAAGCACCACAAAAATTCTTTTATAGGTTGTTCCAATGAAACGAGTCTTTGATCCAGTACAAGATTTTCCTGAGTTCTTAGAATTGATATGATTTCCGGGAAGTGTTTTAGGGCAGGGTATAAACGTGGAATGATGTCTCATGTCTTATATTCTATTTCTCGCAACTTGCATTGATAACAATATTGTAGCCTGAGTCTGGTACGAAAGCTTCTGATGGCTCGGTCGTGGTCAAGCTTGCAGAGAACAAGGAAGAAAGTTCGGATACAAATCCTACCGTAATAGACCTAGTTGACGTGAGATCTGCTTGTTACTTTTGCTAATCATCCGCGTGATGACTTTTACAGGAAGTAAGCGGTCATTTGATCAGTAAATTCGTGGATGTCGTCAAGGATAAACTTGGACGGGGAACAGACAACAGCTCAAGAGCTATGAAGTTGGTTGTCTACGCATTAGAGGAGTGGAATGTTTTTATGCTAACTCTGAGGCCATCCTCAACATTATTTTTAGGGAATGTGCTATAGCAAGTCCATTCAGCGCTTGCTTTTTTTGCCCCAAAGATCGGTCGTACATATATCCTCGTCAGTTTTGTAAAGCTTTTGTCTGGAGGTCAAATGTTTCTACTCCATCAAAGAGGTAGCCTGTCAAGTTTTTCTGACGACACCTAAATTCACTTTTTAGAAATAATACCCGACATCCTGCGGTTGTGGCCCGAAGTGGAATGTCGTCTCTGAGTCGTCTCCGAAGATCCCGCTTTGCTTTTCTGCAACGCAAATCAACGAGTTACCTCCATCCTGACCCATCTGTGACCGCCCAGCAACAAGTCGTTATGTCAGACGCGGAGAAGCCTCAAGATACTTCAAGCACCAAGGTACTTTCATAAACAGGTTCAGTTATTATACTTGATCTTCCAATTGAGGTGTCTACGTCTGAGGACCCACAGAATCAATCACAGCAACATTCGAAACAACAGCTATCTCAGACACCCTCTCAGAATCCCCGCCCTTCTCAGCCACTTCTGTCGGACGTCCTTCCAGCTTCCTCAATGAGTCACAAGGTAACTTTTATCCCTTGATTTGCATCTAAGTCAGTTTCTCTCAAACTTCTTTAGGAGTCAGTTTTTATGAAACTGAACAAAAGAATTGCTGCTCTTGAATTGAATATGTCGCTCTCCAGCGAATATCTCAGCGAGTTGAGTCGACAGTATGTAGCGCAAACTGATGAGCACCAAAAACATCTGAAACAAGCAAAAAAAGTTGTGGAGGATGCTGTGGAGGCGATATATGCACGCGTGAACGAAACTCTTGCCGATAAGGTCAGTATGCAAATTTGAGTCATAGTTTCGATTTAACAATTTGGGAAGTACTTTGCACCCAGATCCAAATTCCGCGTCCATTTCCAGATAGCAGTCTTGCGAGAAGAAGTCAATACGCTGTCTCGTTGGCTCTCTTCTATGCGGATCACTGCTTCAAAAGTGACTCTTAGCCGTTTGCGGAGTCAGGACAGAGAAAACGAGAAGTGCATCTCACAAAACCAGCTTCATCGCTATTCACCTCCTGACGACGGACTGTGGACGGTATAACTTATTCGTTTTGTTGGTACTGTACAAAGTAGTTGTGCTACTTTCAGACGGAACAAGTCGTTTACATGGTGGTAACCACTCAGCTTGTAACCGTCCTCTTGCTTGCCACCCTCAACTTTTGTTACCAACGTTTTACTATCGAGCAACCACTTTCTGATGACCAGAGGTTACAGATCGAAGAATTGGTAAACGAAAGAGTGCTGGAGGCTTTTGAGAAAAACTGTAAGTTTTGTCTAGCTATTTGACAACAGGTTTGCTTTGCGTAGATACGCACTCCATGAAGCGCCACAACACTCATATAGGGCTCTGCTTGATGTGGCAGTGGTACTGCTGCCCTTGTTCACTCAGTACGCCACCACGATTTCACCGAATCTTCCTCTTCTCTCATTTCCTTCTTTCCTAAACTCATTTGAGTGCACTAGGATGATTTCGTTTCGTTGAACTGTCCAAGACTTACGCGTGCGCATTAGCCGCAGCAGACACGATTGTTATGATCTTCTAAAGCACAATGCCTTTCTTATCTTAACGCGTCGTATACCTGTAGGAAACCCCGACATCCTTATTTGTGAAATTCCGAGATCTCTTGAAAGATAATATATGCGAACTTATGGAAAACGGATCATCACCGTATAGATCATTTGCTCGAGGAGAAATAGGGTTCTGTAATTATATCTGCAAGCCAATCATATATAAAATCTAGTAACATCCTAATTCACGTTCTCCCTCATGTTTCAACACTTCTGAGAAAAACCACACTTTCTTTCTAGCTTCAACCATCCGGCGCCAAATTACGCGGATATCTGCCTGGAGCAGGAGGAGTTCTCGCAATGATAAACGCTCATTGAATGGCGACGAGTGCGCAAGCATCCTGCCCGAAAGCAGTTCATCGTCTCGGTTGACCAACAGCGATGATTCGAGCACTGAGGAGGTTGCTGCATCCGATGCGTGTTCAACACTATCGTCGGAGGTACCTGCGATCGCATCGGTCGCTTAATTTGTTCAGCTATCTCCATCTGCATCCTCCATCATCATCACTCATAATCATGTGCTTTTATGTATTATCAGCATCTCTTTGGGACCTCTCAGAATTTGTACCATAGTTTTTGCATAACACTTTTATGATTTAATCTAAAATGGCTTAGGCTTCGTCCACTTAAGGCGAGCAGCGTGAATCGTTTATTGTATTCGGCTTACTGTTCAATGCGGAGCATTACCAACGATTATCGCTAGATCATGTGTAAAGCCATCGGGTCAAGCTTTTTTTTCGATATTTAATGAGTTTTTTTTTCGTAGATGTGGGGTATTTCCAGTAGTTAGAATTCTTTGAACGAATGAGCTGGGCGCTCGCTCCTTTTTACACTTTTTGTTCCATAGTGGGTGTCGCTGTGAATTTATGCAACAGATGGTTAGGGTAGTTGTGGGTAACGCTCACTTTAGAAAGGGTATATTAGGTTGAAGTACGGTCATTCTACACCCAGTTTGATTAGCACTAGTTATCACTAACTTGTGTGAATCAGTGTAGCAAATCCGATTCGAGCTAGTCTATCGTGTCAGCGTAGTGATGTCTCAAAGTGTTCTTCTCTCATATTACTGGTCCTGCTTCTCGAATCGGGTGCGTATGACACTCAGTGCACATCTTGTGTGTTTCATCGCATTGCGGGTTGTGAACTCATAGTTTCTACTTGTGATTTTTTTCGCGATCTACCCGAGTGTCGAATCTGTCACTCTCGTGTCTTCTTTTTCCAGTGATATAGAAGCATGATGCGTTGGTCGTTTGATGCTGATTTTTTTATTTATCTTTATCATGTATGATACTCTCTTGACCAAAAAAAAAACTCGGTTGTCGCTGTTTTCACTGAAGTCAGAAACACTCGAATGAGTTTAGTCTTTACAAAGAGGTAAATTTTCAAAGTGTGTAAAGATAATTTTCTCTCATTTTGTAGTTCAATGCACAAGCACAGATATCTCAGGCAATGCTTCATTTTATGGATTTATTACACCGAAAATGGATACATTAAAAGATTGTGACTATCTACTTCGAGTCAATCGCGTACAAGCGATTGGCCTCTTTTGTTTTTTGTTCCCATTATAGCGGCCTTCTCAAGTCTGTGTCTCCCCTTGAACCATCGTGGTTCAGCATGCGAAGTTGTGCGTTCATGGCGAGGGTGCTGCAGCGATTGGCGTCCTTTTCGAACACGGTCTCCAATCAGGTCGTCAGTGCTCTGGTACCTTCTCCAGTTCGCTCTGCGGCATTTTTCCCAAAGAGTTTGCTTCAAGCGGCGACTATTGTTGGTTTGTTGAGGCTTGCCGAGGAGGGTAAGGTTTGAACCCCCATGAGGGTGATGAAGACTAACTACGAACACATTCATTTTAGCGGTACATTGCCAATTTTCTGTTATATCTTCAACACTTTATTTCTGCAAGATGACTTGGGATTCGCTGGGCCAATCCTGAGTGTTACGGTCACGGCGCAGCAGTGGAGTGTTTGTGGATGGATTTCTCAGCCGTGAATGGATTATTTGCGCTACGGTCTGGGCGTGCCTTAGCTAGAGCCTCCTCGACAGTTCCCAGACAAAAACCCATGTGCCCAGATTTGCCTGGACACCGCCTTTAACGACTTTCTTTCATTACCGTAGGATCACGGTAGGAACTCAGAGATTACGGCGCCATTGTGAGATTTTTGAAAAATATTTTTCAGAAATATCTGGAAAACTATGTAACAAGATTTTCATGCATGCTGATTTCATTACATAATGTTTTGCGCGCCGGCAGAGTTTTTCAAATGGCGTGATCAAAATCCAAACGAATATCAGGAATGATTTGCTACGGTACATCTAGCATAACCACGAGAAGATGAAGCGCGAGTTTCATATTTGGAATCAGCGATTCTAATTAACTTAGTGTAGGAGTTTTCAGCTCCTTTAGTCCTTTCTCAGGGGTGAAATGTGACCCTTGATACAAGATCCTTTTGAAGTTCCTACCGTATTCTTACAGTAACGAAGAGCGATCGGTGATTCAAGCCATACTGCAAATCTGAGTGGAAGCCAGTTCTAAAAAATGATGCCCGAAGCTCCTCGAAAGACTCTGTGACAAGTGAGTTAATAACAATCAAACAGTAGGCACATTTTTGGACACCATGTATTTTGCACATGCGCGCATCGATACGAACTGCTACATGTGATTAATCTGGTTCGATGACTTGGCTTTATGCCAGGAATGGTACTGAACTTTACTAAAGGTTGTCTCGACAGTCTTACAGCTCCATCGGCTCAGGACTGCTAAGGCTGTCACATTGTCATTGACAGAGCATGTAAATTGCCTTCAACACATTCAAGATCAAGTCGTTTTCATCTTAACTGCCTACCAGAGCATATTTCGTAATGTCAAAACTGCAAGCCATTGGGTTCAGCAGCCGCCAAGACTGAAAAAATGCCTCAACGTCACACTGTCTGAAGTGTCTACGGAAACTTTTTGAGTAAATGTGGTTGAAGTAAAGTGAACTAGGCCAGCATCTTCATGGGAAGCGTAATAACTTCGTTCTTGCCAAACTGCGAGACTAACCAAATGGTCTAATATAGACCCTCATTTTTGAGAAGCTTGCATCTAACTGTGCGGACATGCTAACTAGTTGCAGGGAATCAAGCATACATGCTAATAACACGTTTACTGCTTTGCAACAATGTACAACAACAACAACTACACTGAAGTACCAATTCCACATCAGCATAAACCGCTCGAAAGCTAGTTTCGAAGTTGAGTCACAGCAAACCCGCATACTTTGACATCTACATAATTGATAATAGTGCACGGTAGATGCATAATACATGAGCGAAGACTTCACTAATCAGTTTCAACCAATGTACATTTGAAACAAATTCGATATATTCCACTCAATTCAAAAACAGAGCAGGTGCGAATATAAGTGAATGACCAATTCCCTATGGTCAACACCAATTCCCTGTCCGAGACCTTGATTGAGCTAGGCGTGATGCGCTCTGGCAACGTTCCGTATACGATGGTCGGCTGAAAACGATGTTTCACTTCTTCCGCTTTGTTCGACTCAAAGGCAGTGGCTCGAGAAAGTTGCAACTGCGCGCTTTCTCTTCCTCCTCGGCCTCCTGGATGCGTTTAGACTAGAGCTGTGCTTGAAAAGTCAAAAAGTGCTTTTCCGGCCTTTGAGATTGCTGAGGAGGCTGGAGCGGAGAGTCCCGCAACCAAATCGCGATTGGCTGCTTGGGCTAATCAGCCAATTGCCGCCAAAATGAGTGGTGTTACAGTCTCCTGCAGCCAGTCGCTATTTTTGGCGAGATTCTCCGCTCCAGCCTCCTCAGCAGTCTTTGAGGCCGGAGAACGCCATAAAAAGCACTTTTTTGACTTTTCAAGTATAGCTTTGGTCTAAAAGCATCCAGAATGTCAAGGAGGAACAGAAAGTGCGCAGTTACAATTTTTCAGAGCCACTAGAACTCACGGTATCTCTCACTGAGCGAGGGTGCTGAAGCAACAGCCTGAGTATACTGCGGTGGTGGCACACTCGGTTGGGAGTGCTCGATTTGGACTATGCGTTGGCGTTCCTGTCAAATTACTTTATCGAGAGGTACGGCTCCAACAATGTCACTGTCGATTGTACGCTTTCAACTCATTCATTGTTTTAAGATCCGTCACGAAGAGGCCTTCGAACAGTTGGAGCAAATTTCGCCGTGCCACTTTGGAATTAACGCTTTTACTTCTGAGCGGTACTCTTATTGTTCGACTGATGCTCGCCGTACTCACAAGGGAAGGATACCGGGTCGCAGTGGCGAACTAAAATGATATGCATATATGTGTATACTAAAATGATATGCATTAGATGTGTCTTGATGAGCTGATTCCAAATCTACCTTTCCTATCTGCTATGAGCTTCTTGAAAGAAGCTATGGACGTTTATGCATAATGCGCTTCAAAGACAAGCTTAGGAGTGATCAGTTTGCATGGTTTTGAGTACATTGACTACAAGAAATGCATACATACACCGAACACGTGAGTAAGCGTCTTTGAACATGTAGTTCTTGTAGATGTCGTACTGAATGTTTGCTAAATTTGGACATTCAAACGCCCATAGCTTCTTCTAGAGAAGCTCGTAGCAGATAGGAAAGGTAGATTTGGAATCAGCAAACCAAAACGCATCAAATGATATGCATATTGTTTCGGTTCGCCAGTGCGATCTGGTATCCTTCCCTTGTCAGAAGCAGGATTCTTGTCCGCGTCTTAGAAGAGGGGGGGGGGGAGCACGAATTAGGATGGTTTGACTCATATTTTGACTTAGACCACTATGCAAAAGTTTCAGGAAAATCAGGTTACTGACATAAAGTGTCCATCTCGGATTGCCCTAGGGTTTTAAATGCTACCATAACGCAGGAGTCGTCGAAATTTCTAATCCGCCTCACGTTCAATCGTCGTGGTTTAAGATAATGCTTGTGCAGTTCATGTAGTGGCTTGATGAGATCATGAGGAGCAGATAAGCCAGCATCAAGGTTATCCCCTTTGCACTTCTTTCTTACTTTTTCAACTTGACACCGTTAACCCCCCCCCCCCCCCTTCTTGAGTGCGCGAAAGAGAAAGATTATGCAAACCTCTTCGATAAGTCTATCTGTCCTGACTTTCACTGCAATAGCTCCACTCACATACAACGATGCAAAGGCTAATATGGTCGATATCACGATAACCAGCACAAGTACGAGAGTATTCCATTCTATAACAAATTTCAGCTGCATTTTACAAGGATCCTCGTGGTAGAAATGATTACGTCTACTCGAAAAGATGGCATTGTGCTTATGAAATAGTACAAAATTTCTGAATTTATCTCATTTGCAGATAGGTTTAGCTGAATTCGCAGTATAAGGTTGCTCTCAGTCTTTTTTCAGGCGGTTTAAAATCAAGTCTTACGTCTATTCACTATGAGTTCCACGATATTATTGCTCGTGATTGTTCCCACGGGCAGGGTCTCTCCTTGGTTTGACTGCAAATCTAACTCTCCATAATTTGAACATTCCTGCAATGCAGCTATTCGACAGCGTAAAAAGCTGAGCTGAATTTTACCATCAACATCAATGAGATCTCCTCAGCAGATAATGGAGTCTTTTCATCCTCAAAGGGTAAAGTTATCGTAAAATTGAAAACAATGCCTGGAAACACATTTTATTGTGTGCAAACACAATTTGAAGGCTTCCAACTGCACCCATGTAGATCCGAGCATTTTTGAATCTATAGGTTGAGATTCGAAGCATATTTGCCATTGATTCGGTCCATTTGCTGGCCATGGCTGCGGTGTCATTTCCGACGACGGTTTGGAAGGAACGATCAATAGTCATTATCACTTTACGGGCATTTCCGTCCCCGTTTAGGGCTAGATTCGAACGAGTGCTTTTGAAAAAGCTTTGTAATTGTCAGGGTCTTACTTCTGTTAATGATCGTATACATTGATTTGACTACAGCCACGGAATCATAGGCCTTGAATCCACTGTCGATGTGGACAGCTCGCTGAATAGCTTGCACAGCCTAGAAAATGGGACAAAAGGAAAACTGAGAGAGAAAAGTGACAACTTCTCTTACGATGGAAGCCACTTACGTAACCATTTGTCATTTGTGACAGGAGAAATGGCGGACGTAAAATGAGTGATATTTCTGAAGAATTCGCTGTCGCAGCAACAGATGCAGGATTCACAAAACGGCGCTGATCCACATGACTGGACGTAACAAGCCGAGACACGAATTGGTCCCGCTGACTCGAAGTTGGCACGGCACCGCTGCTCTGGATGAGCGAAGTTCATGTAAGTGCGTATGATCTAGGGAACTTACCAGCAGGAATGTCAGTCGAATCTCGTTGTGATCGGGAATGTTCATGGGTACGGGGGCCGCTGTAGTAAAAACACTAAAACTGTTGCTTTTCATAAAGCTAAAGACAGCAGGTGAAGAACTTGTCCGCGCAGGTTATAGTTCATACGTACAGAAGCGCAGTTCGTACGTACCTCAAATAGCGTTATGCCTAAGTTGGAGTTTGCTGTTTCCTCAAATACCGTTAGAGGCGGTGGCTCGGGAAAATTGCAATTCCGCACTTTTGATTCCTCCTTGAGCTTCTGATACATCTAGACCAGAGCTGTGCAAAAGTCAAAAAGGTGCTTTTCATGGCGCTCTCCGGCCTTGGAGATTGTTGAGGAGCCTAGAGCGGAGATTCCTGCAGCAAGTCGCAATTGCCTGGGCCAATCAGCCAATTGCCGCCAAAATGAGGGGTGTTATAGTCTCCTGCAGCCAGTTGTTGGCGGGAATCTCCGCTCCAGAGCCTTCTCAGCAATCTCCGAAACCGGAGAGTGCCATAAAAGCACTTATTTGACTTTTCAGGCACACCTCTGGTCTAAACGTGTCCAGAAGGTCAAGGAGGAACAGAAAGCGCGCAGATGCAAATTTCCCAAGTTACTGCCATTAAGCGTCTCTCCGAGAAGAACATGTGAGATATCGAAATAACGAAATTTTAGTAATTCTCGGGTTGCGAGCGTTCACATCACGGCTAAAGGCTGTTGCATGACGAAGGCGCAGAAGCAATATTATTAGCTGAACGAGCGCGAGCGCTGCGCGCGTATTCTCACCGCTGTAAATTCTGCGCTTCATGCGCTCTGCTGCTAATATCGCGCTCGCTCAAAGATATTGCGCCCTCGTCATGCAGCAGCTTATGTGTATAATTTCTTCACATCCATAAACTTGCTCAGTACTACAGGGTAAGTAATTGGCCTAAGTTTGAGACGTTTCGTTGCTTCATAGAGAGATTAATGCTTGGCGAAGAGATGATCAAACTTCGAGGCAACCTGAATCGTGCAAAAAGTGAACATCATGCTTTTGTTAAAAAACAAGCTTTTGTTCAATACTTTCAAAATGAAGGGTAGTAAGAACATTTGCAAATGCAGGCGAAGTGAAACCCGATGGAGCACTAGGAAGTAGAGCTTCTCTTGAAGCTGCTCTCTTCTCTCCGGTCCGAATGTCAATGCATGCGATCCTAAGGTAGGATGTAATTCCATATACTTTACCTGAGCATACCGCTTGTTGAGCAGTCACACCGGATATAATTACCATTGTTAATTTGCTTCGCAAAACTGCTTGCCAGGCATTTTGTTTCTTGCCATAATCTTCCATCGAACATCAAGCACTGGAAGCTGTCTCGTTGTAAGTCAGCCGTAACTGCAGAGTGCACTTACAGCGTAGTAATTAGATGGTTGATAGGTAGTCAGTGGTACGTGAACGGAGTACTGTATGATGTTGGGAGGCAGCCCCACACTATCACCGCTTAATGGGTCCATAAAATAGATCTGAAATCCTTCGAGAGTAATGATGAAGAATAAATTATAAATTAAAATATATATTATTTCTGATTATACAAACCTGATACAGCTGTGAAACGCTTTTGTTTACTGATATTGCTTCATAGCTATTCCCGAAAAGCCGCTCCATCAACTGATCATTCTTGAGTACAGCAAGCATTTTTATCTGCGATGACGCCAGACAGATGTTTTGGCAGACAACCAACGATGGACCGCAATGCCATGAGGTAAAGCGAGCACGGAACTCCGTGGAAAATCCTATCTGAATGCACCTTGTGCTAGAGAGGAAGACTACACAATTGTTAGATAAAAATAAGCCAAAAAGCAACTAGCTTGGATGTCTTCACACAGGTGCCAAAGAGCACTTGAGATCGAGTGCTTGTACCTGCAAACTCTCGGATTCAGTTCCCTCTCTACAGCAACTCATGTAAAACAAGGTTTTTGATTCCATCAGATAGAAATTAGTTCCGGACTCTAATCGTCAGACCGACCACGCTGATGAGCAAAGCTGCCCCTGTCGCGTGCCTCTGGAGCAATTCTTCCTCAGATTTCGCATCGCGAGCTTGGACAACTAATTGGTCAGTGGCTTATATCGCACTAAAGACTCTTCAACTTCTGGGCTGAACTATACCTTATCCATAATTTTCGTCTAGTTTAAGTTATAGAGTAATATCCTGACCTACGTCAAGGGAGACTATGATAGCAAACAGCAAGCAAGCCTTTATGCTTCCTATCAACGTGGCTGCTTGAATTTCCATTTTTTTTTCATTGAAAATGATGGGGCTTACATAAACGGAGCCTCACCACTTTCTCACTATTCCCAGCTATAGTATATAAGGATGATGAAAAATTAGTCGATCCTGGCACGAGACTTTGAGCTTGGATGGTCGTATGTCCACTACCCTAAAGTATATAGATTTTGGATTGCTTCTGGAATGTAGCTGCTTCACTAAGTTATTGATGAAACAATCTGCAATTTGATGACTTAATTTTGGTGATGAAAATTGTAATCAACTCGTCTTTTAATCTCTACTAGCAAAACGTCTGACAGACAACTCATCCTTAAAAATATTCACCTGGGCATTCATGATTCTTGATGAACTGGAGTCCAGCTGGATACAAAACGTGCTAAGAAAATCTCTGATGTTCAGAAGATATACTTCAACGATAGGCTGATTCTTCTCCAGTAGCAAATCATACATATTCAGCATATCACTGGCCTGTGAAAGTTTGGTAACGTCAATACATAGAAAAATTTTCAACTGTCTCCAGATAGACGCATACATTGGAAACCTTCTACACTTTGTCGTATATGAAGTTGAGTCATATTCCTACCTCCTGCTCGTCGGAAGCAGTTTTCGTAGTGACTGCTCGCTTCGAACGTGTTGCCGAAGGCACAGAAGACAGCCCTATCAGTTTGCGGTAATGCTCGAGCACTAGTGTTAGTCCTTGAAGTACCGGTGTTGTCACGACATTCATGAGACGTGAAGCTGACGCAAGTACTTCCTTGTAATCGCTGGAGTCACTGAAGCATAGAGTCTGATGAATGTTCAAGGAGGTTAGTGTGTCACCATATACCTGCTCTCGTCGAGTGTAAGAAGTAGCTTCGATGTGATTTTATCTGCTGTCACAACATCCAAGTCCTCCTCGCATTTTTGAACATCCAAAGCGTACATGTTGCTCAGTGCGGAGAACACATTGCCTGAAAGTTCTGAGCATCATGTATGAGTATTTTTCTGGACATTCGATGGGGTCTGCTTCAAATTTTTAGTTGTTCATGAGTGTTTCAATCATTTCCTTTATCGCTTCTGAGAAGTAGGGTTTCGATTTTAAGCGCAACCCAACTGTTCGTCTGAACACGCGGATGCACTCTCACTTTTAATTGCCTTTGAGCTCAAGGTTTTTGGCCGCTCGCGCGTTAGTGTACGAAGAGGGCCAACTGCATTTGATGCCTGTGCGTGTTCACCTTCTCACATTCGACAACGTTCTCACATAAGTAGTTACAAAGCTATGAGACGTAAACACTGACCATTGCCGATGTCCGAATTGATGGCAGCGACCATGTCAACAATTGCTACGGAAAGGTTTGTCGGTGGCAGAACTTCAAACACTGCAGACTCTGCCATCGAGCACGACTGATAGTGATCGCAAACTTCCAAGATTGCTTGGAAACCTGTACGACTTCCACATGACGGGTTGTCCAGCTGGGCTAAATTGCAGTCATAACCTTGTCATTTAGAATAGTATAATGCTGCTGCCTGATGGTAGATACAGTCGGTACGAGGTAGCTCCCGCGCGTGGAAACCAGTAACTCTGGGTGCTATTGTCTATAAGCAGAACTTTGAGCCCAAAGCGGTATTCCAGTGGTTGGTCTTCGTCCATCCAACCGTCACCAACTCGAAATTCTATCTGAGTTGTTAGCGCTACTGCACCTTCTGCAGGAACCACCTGGTAATACATTTCTTTGTCGATATAACATGTAAGACTGCTTGGTTTACCTCGATTGTTCCAACAGTTGGTGGGGCATCTACATTTACCCGCACATCAGCAAACGAGCTTCCTTCTCTTGAGTAAGCTGTCAGTCTAATATTGTACTGCATCCCAGCTAACAGACCAGTCCACGTAGGAAATCTACAATACGGGACTCCAACAATAATTAATTCTAGCAAAAGAAAAACTCACATCATTGGATTAGCCGGTGGTATAGTCAACGAAACGACAACTTGATTTGATTGCGATAGTTGCATTTGAGTAAAAGTCGAGTTTGGGTTTGGCAGAAATGACGAGAGCTCGAAGAAGCATAAAAGAAAGATTACTTTAAAATTTCTTTATTAGCAGAAAGTTCTTTTACTGGTTTCCAGCGTCCGGGAAACTTCCCACGTTGTATTGAGCCATCCCTGCTGCACGGTCACATATGCTTGAATTCTGATTGAAACAGTCAGTGTGTCATTTTGGTCTCTTCGCTCCTTGTCTTACCTGACATAGTCACTTGGACTGAATTTGTCGGTAGCAAGAGGTGAAAATCTGATTTGAGGAAGTCTTGGTTGATCTATTGTTACCATAGACCACATCGCATCGCTCAAGTTCTGCGCACGGACGGTATCCGTAAAGTTGAAACTGAATGTTATGCTTTGCTGCAAATGGCATAAATTTTCTCATAAACGAACCTCATTCCAAGATTTAGTATTCGCGGAGGTATGCGCAAGTAGGCGGATCTTTTGTCTACGCCAGTAGGTAGTTCGCATCTGTAAAAGCACCTGTATGAGCTACGTTTCCAGATATCGTTCTCATTGTTTTTTGAAGATTTTGATCAGCAGACGCGGCTATCACTGAACTAGGTGAGCGAATGGATGACCTTGAACTGTGCGCTAAATTAAGCTCAACTAGCGTTTATATAGAATGTTGCACCAGAATCTGTTTGAGAAATCAAACTTAATTCTTTTGTGAAGTCTCATTGAAGCAGGTCCATTCGTGAGTAACTGAGCCATCCTTTACGTTGGGATTTTTCGATTGTGACGCATCGAGGACGACGACGGCATCACTAGCGATTGACCGTGATATGGCGTCGACTGTAGTGACCAGCTTTTCTGCCACGTACTGAATAGCAGTAGGACTGGACATAATAAATAATGAAAGGTACATAGCTGCCGCGTACCACTAATGTCTCCTCAGTGGTTGCGCTGAGATGTTGACTGCTCAACGGGTCTTTGTAGTTCACTTCAATTCTGACTTCGACAGAATCTCCTGGTTCATACGTGAAGGCCGGGATACGGTAGCTGTCATCGTTTGTCACGAAAATGTGATCCAAGTACCAGTTATACTGAAATTAATTACTGGTACAGGTGGTTGTAGAGGCATTGGCTGTTTCACCTGAGCATCATTTGGGACTACTGTAAGCGAGAAATTGCATCGTGTGAGTTCTGGAAGTGCTCGAAGACGAACAGCCATTGAGGGTGTTAAAGTTCGCAATCCTAAACTACCGCCGAGAGAGAGCGACAGTGTCGCCGCTGCTGCCACGGGTTGCAGAGTGATATCTTCGCTAGTCGTACACTCATTCACAAAGTTGCAAGCCGTGACAACGATTACAGCTTCGGAGGCTAGCTGAAGAGACATGTTTGTTCTCTGTGTAACTGGCTAATCCAAATGTCCAAGTAGGTGTCAGATCAGCTGATGTGCTTATAGCAGCATACGGAGGAGCAAAGCTAGACTCACGAAGACATCACACAAGTTCTTATTCAGGAAAGATGCAAGGTGACATGTTTGTGAGAACTTACCAGTTTAGATGGAAATGACAGCGTTCGACCAGACTCTTTTTCCAAGAGAGCTGACATTGCCGCTGTTGCTGCAATCCTCAAAATCACGTCAACCAGAAATGTTTTGGGGCATACCGTTCTTCGTTTGCCATTTGTAGTTCAAATCACGTCTTCCATTACCAGTAATTTGTTTCATTTCCACGGTAACAGTTTGCATGCACGTCATCACTTTGGAGGGTGCGAAAATGGTGAAATTTGGGTGGACCTGGAAGCTAATATCTCTGCAACTGAGCACTACCGCTGCTTTTAAAGGCAGTGGTTCTGGAAAATTGTTACTGCGCGCCTTCTGTTCCTCCTTGGCCTTCTGGACGCGTTTAGAGCAAAGCTGTGCTTGAAAAATTTGAAAATAAGTGCTTTTAATGGTGTTTCCGGACTTAGAGATTGCTGAGGAGGCTGGAGCGGAGAATCCCGCCAAAAACAGTGATTGGCTGCAGGAGACTGTTACACCACTCATTTTGGCGGTAACTGGCTGATTGGCCCAGGCAGCCAATCGCGACCCACTTCGCTCCAGCCTCCTCAGCGATCTACAGGGCCGGAAAAGCACTTTTGACTTTTCAAGCACAGCTCTGGTCTAAAAGGATCTAGAAGGCCAAAAAGGAACAGCGCGCAGTTGCAATTTTCCAGAGCCACTTCCTGTAAGCTTTTGGTTAACCTCTTGACTCAAGCAAGCATGCGGCAATTATGGCGAGCGCGAACTTTATTTGAAGAAAGCCCCCACTAATCTAATGTGGACTGTTTTTGAAGATGTTCGTATCAGGATACGTAAAACTCACCATCCCGTCCTGTTTCTTTACTTCAATTTTTTGTCCTAGCACAGCAATTGTATCCCCAACTCCAACGCTGGGTTCTTCACCAAATTGAACGGCTACGTTGTTTCCGTCTGCGATACATACAGCTCCATCTAAAATGACATTTCCTAATTCACTCAACCACAGCCACCGTACAGAACCCACCACCAAGAGCGATATCGTCGGTAATCACCTGACGGCATGAAACGAGTCCCACAGGAAAAGTGTCAAATGATTTGCTTTTGATGACAATCCCAAGGAGATCTCGAGTGAGAGTCGCTTCCAAAAGCGATGCATTCGATACGGGTGATAGTGCCGTGGTCGAAACGCATGCCATTTGGAGCCTTATGGGAACTCTGCAGATGACGGGTTACGCCAGAATCGGGAGTTTGTCGCGTTTAGTTTATTTTGTTTGTTCATACTTACTGCTTTTGAAGTGTGGTGTTGAGTAGCACCGGGGAACGAACAAAATAAGCATCCGCATCATGACTCAAAGTTATGTTGTCAAGGAAGCATGTCATGGTCAAGTTTATAAAACTCCCGGGATATGTGGAGTTTTCTGCAAAGCATCTAATCCGCCTATTTTGGTATTTGTTGGTAGAGTAGCACACACCAATGTAGCAGAAACTATGTTGATCAGTTTCCTCGAGAAACTTCTGTGGTAGAGGACGCTTGAAATTTGCCTGGAAGTTTCTAAGATGGATAACGCCGCGATGCTTGGAAGGATGGCAGTGAACAAACAGACTTCCGCAATGATCGCTTTTGCTCGACAGGGTATCGCGACGGTTCCATGTCCGATCTCGACCAAAGAAGTGTAATTGACCGCTACCGCCTTGTTACCGTACGTAGCTTTTTCGAAAGTCTGTTGGTCTGATATTGTGGCTTTTAGATCTTTCTGCATAGCTCGGTAGACACTGACCTCTACGTATGAACCAGCATTCCAAGATGTAGGCGCCTGCTTCTGATCGTTGCTTGAGCGCCAATTTGAGATCATTTGGATTAGATAGCTCGATAACGTTAAGCGTTAAGATTACTCCAGTTTCTGATGTCAACGAACAACTAGATATGGGCATGTAAGATGGTGAATATATCAAATCACTCTCAATGATGGCTCAAACTCACTTGACGTTATTTATGGTAGACACGTTTATGGTGACCTAAACTTATCAATTTAGTGTGCTTTTGAGGCGAAGATATGGCGGGAGCAAAATTGTTGTACTGTCACCTGTATATTATAAAGCAATCAATTTACGGTACTAATACAAACTCTAATGGTGCAATTAGGTCGTAGCCACGGTGAACCTTATCCTTTTCAAAGTTTTTCATGTGATTGCGCAGTGGTGGGATATCGGGGTCTGCATTAGCGCAATCAAATTTGATGATAGGTATTATTTTCTATGGAGTACTGGACAGAATAGTTACTAAAAATTATTTCACAACCCGGAGAGTTCGCCCAAATACAGAGCAAGATTTCTTATCCGATTCAGAGTGGAGTGGTTTTTTGCATGATGAGAGGTACGCCATAATGGCTTTTCCAAACAAAAGTGAACAATTCAGCTTTCATGTCAGTGCAAATGATGTAGTCTGCTTAAGGAACCCAAGGGATAATTATCTATTCAACATTCATTTTATCACTGCAAATACCCAGATTTGCTTGGACAGCGCTCTAAACTCAGAGGTGTGTCGTAAGACCTGATACACATGATTTCAAACCTTGAACACCTGTGACTGTGCAGATATGTCCCAGACAGTCGGACTCAAGCTAGCAATCACAATATCAGTTGGAGTTCGTTCAGCTGGATCACTAAAGGACATCGGTGTCAAACAAGACAAGAGAAAAAGTACGATTCACTATTCCTGCAGTGGCGGACATATCCGGATGAAGTCGTTCGTAAGAGGAAGTTGAGTACATAGCTGAAGTGTTAACCGCGAGTGAGAGTCAGAAAATGGAAATGTTCAGAACTTAACCAAACCATTTTCAACATGCTGTATATCATCGGATCCGTCTTAAAACGCTGATTTCAAATATATGTCTTTCATTTGCCAAGCGACTATTTGGGGGGATTATGAGCGTTCAATGTAAGAAATTTTTCAAGTTTCGACAAATATACTTCCTTGAAAGGCAGCCTGATGGCGTGGATTTAGAGTGACTAGGGTTACTTTAATTACAAGGAAGAAGCACATCCACCATAAACCTAATATGTGTTTTTGAAACCTTATTCTTGAAACATGCGCCACAGAACACTTGACAAATCGCAGATTTAAACGATGGCTGGGTTGAGTCCTGGCCATTTCCTGCTAAGTATCATTGAGATCATTGCTTACCTTGCATACGCTGACCACAACGCGATTGACTCGCTGAACGAACTCGGACGCGACTGCGGCTGTCCACTTCAGTGGCGCGGCGACCAGAGCGGCATGCTGGCATGAGCTGGCCATGCTGCTCTCCTCACCGGTCTTCTTCCGAGAAACTGAGAGTGATGCTCCCGGAGCGACCAGTAGAACCTTAATTTTACACACTGATGTAGAATTAGTTTCAAGCCACTAAGATATCAAGTGAACCTCAGCTGGTGCTCCTTTGTAAGCTGCTGCACTAAAGTGGTATATAGGAAGGTCTCGTACAAAGGATTCTTGGACTAGAGGCGGAACGGATTCGTATGCAAGATCCACTGTTAAAGATGAAGAAGCGGATAATTGCCATTTCACGTAAGTATCGTTTCCTGCCTCGAATATCTGCAACTTCTGCTTTGTATATTCCAACACTTTTTTCACATTCATCTATATTGCTTTCATACTAGCTCTAGTCCTTAAGCTATAGCCAAATATCTGCTCAGTTTCCAAAGGATAGATAGTATAGTTGTCCTCACCCTACTAGTCGGTCGGTGGACGAAATCCAATTCGAACTGGAGCAGGCAGAGCGCGGCAGAGCACGGCACCTTAGCTCTCCGTTCGAATTCACGCATTCACTTTGCGTATTTCTTCGCCATTGCTTAGCAGTTTTTGTATTGTTACAACGTTTTTGATCTGCCATCTCCTGCCACGCTCTGCCGCGACAGGCCTGCTTCAATTCAAATTTGAATTCGCGTTCACCGACCGACTAGTGGGGTGAGGGCGACTATACCCTCTTCGCGAATACAAGATGCACCCTTTCTTTTGCTAAACTCTACCAGCCTGAGCACACCAGAAAATTTCGTGACCGTAGGACCATTTACCTGCTGCTCCTTACGTGAAAAAAGAATTGTGTATGAGAGCGAACATCTCGCGAGGCTTAAAGGCACCGTCCACCCAAATTGGGGTTGGTGAGATTATGATACCTAGCAGATGCGGGGCCCCCAACTGTATGATTGCCCAACTCGCGCTGCCTGAGGTTGCTTCCGAACCGAGAAATTTGCTTCGGAAGTTGCTTCAGGCCGCGTTCGCGACGCTGGCTCCTCCCCTTTCGGAGTGGGCGTGACGTTCGTCCCGCCCATCGGTGCGCGCCCAGCCAATCACCGTACCGAAGAAATCGCCCTGCGGGTTCTGAAAACGGGGGATTTTGGGGTTTTCGCGGATTTTCAAATTGATATTCGGAATCAGGGGCATGAGAAGGCCCTGGAACGGCAAAAACATGGAAGTCGAAATTTTGGATGGACGGTGCCTTTAATGGCGCAGCTGTGCTCCTTGCTTGAAATAAAAAGGTGCGTCTTGTACTCGTGAAATTTGGGTAACATAGTAATGATATTGTGACCATAATGACTGACCAGAAGACCGTAGCTGACATTGGCTTCCGAACTCAAAATCTTCGATAACAAGTTATCTATAAGAACAGGTTTTTTTGATGGTAAATCTTCGGTAGTTAATGCGCATTCATTTCTCAGGGATGGAGGAGGATCTGAACAGAACGGAGCTTCTTGTCACGTTGTTTTTATATTCTAATTTCTTAACTGCACCTTCTATATTCGATCCGCAAATGCCGTTTGCTGCATAGCACTGCCATATGGTGGGCGATTCTGATGGCGTATCGATGTCACTCGATGCCGAAGTTAGATAAAATAGATACAGAAGAGTAACATAGCTCATAACAGAGCTGAAGGTGATATAACCTAAGCCCTAAAAGCGAGTTCCCACGAGTTTTATTCATATTTTCAGATGATCATCAAAAGATAGTTGGCGACAGACACGGTAATGCTTGCTTGTAACAAGAAGAACGTCGAAAAGGATCCGCATTTCCACCACAGCTCTACATACTACCCTTTAATTTTTGCTGAGTTTGATACCATGCTCAAAACTTTTGTTCTTTAATATTCTTCTGACTATAGCAGTAGATGCTAGATAGGGCCTTAGGCATTGTAAAGAGCGCCAGGGCAATCAGGGTAAAAATCACTTATTATGCAATGCGTTTTCTTCCAGACCAGAAACACGTTTCCTCTGGACAATCAGACGCAGGTTTGAATTTTTTCGCTTTTCTCATGACAAAAATGACATCATATCGACAACAGCGTTGCTTAGGAACGCGTTCAAATAACGACCAATGATTATGGTCACAATGAACTCTGCTGCTCATTCCCGTAAATATCATATTTTACGACATAGATGATGCTGAATAATCTGCTCTTCAAAGTTTCATAGAATCTAAACTGAATGGACCATACAAACGAAGGATGTAGTCCCTTCACATTTCATTCACATACTTTCACTCATTAGTACACCCTTCCGAGAAAGCGAAGAAAAAAAATAAAACTAGAAGATTCACAGTGTTGTAGAATCAGCTGATGCTACTTTTGACTAAACTTTCAATGACATGATTTAACAGCTCACAAACCTAAAGGCATTCACACTCGTGCTCGTTTACAGACTGTGTGCATTCGACAATTCTACAGTGGCAAAGTAAAGAATGGCATTCACAAAAAACAAAGCTATAGGTGGGCGATTGCGCTAATAAGATAGTTCGCATTAAGTATTCGAAAGAATTCGCATAAGCAATCTCACTAGTAGTTGAAAACCTGCACACGTTACCTTGGATACTCGCATTAATGATACAACAACACGCTGATTGTTACAGTTTTTCTCGAGACTACATCCAACATCAGTGCTAGAACGGATAGCGATTCCGACAGTAGCTCTGCTTATACTTGATTTTAGAAGAGGCTCGTTTGATGCAGAATGAATAGCTGTTACGGAGAGCAGGCGTACAAGTTCATGTGACCAGTAAAAGGGATTAGTTTTTAGGGTCAAAGTGGAGTATCTAAGCCTTTCTCAAGCATATATCTCCAGAAGTTCAAATTCTTATTCGACAAGGCTGGAAGGGGTGATAGCTGTCATGTCAGACATCGATTTGATGCACTTATCGGACTGAAAAAGAGGAGAAGTCTGACATACATGGATGCGAGAAGGAAGTAGATGAAGTCTGTAGTGAGCACTGAGGAACTACGACAATGAAGTGTTCAAGTCTGCGCAGTAAGCCATCCTGCTCCTTAACCCACAAGAAACGCCGAAGAAGCTATAAAACTCACGTTTTGCATCTAGGGACTCAACGTTCCATTTACCACTCGCTAACTTCCTGATCATTCATGACGCACTCGGTGAAGACGTTACGTAAGAGAAGGTCACCTCGTTCTGAAAGAGTACCAAACTCTCACTGCCTACTACACATGTCCATGAGCCAATTGTCCAGATGTCCAGAGATTTTTTTTTGTGCAAAGTTCTGATATCAACCATTCTCCATGATATAATGTTTGCTGAACAGGTTGACATTCCTTTCCGCGCCTAGGTTGTACTTTCCAAAACAAGAAACTTCAAACATGTACTAAGGTAATTTATGGGTCTCAAACAGCAAGTTGCCAATCATTGTACATTCGTTTTCTGGAAATTGCATTGCAGCTCGACCTTACAAGTTCTCATCACCTGTTGCAGCAAGGTAATGAGCATAAATACTGGCTTCTAGAGTTGTGCTACATTTCTCAATGTAAAGGCAAGGCTAGAGGCTGTGAGACTAAAGGGAAGAAAGAGAGGGTTTAACGTGGGGTCGTAGTGTGCTCTTTGAAATTAGATTCTTTAAATTGATAATATTTGATTCTTCTAAAATATCGCTCCTCGAAGACCTCTCAATGACCTTTTTCAAGTTTTTGAAGTTATCACTTAATGAACTGATACGAATCAATTATCATTTAGTATGTAGATGTTGTATATGCTATATCAGAAACACTTAATCAGAGTGATGATCCTATCATTCAAATGAAATAATTCATTTTATCGTATCGTTCAGTTTGAAAGCGATTTTCAACGGATTATATAGGTGAAAAAATTAATCGTCTTCATCTTTCAAGCACTGAGGAATTTATTTTTACCGAACATATAGCTAGAGTGTGTGTTGAGTATAAGTTGAATCTAATTTGTTGCCTCACTGTTTTTTTTTCATGATCTACTTTATGGTGCCTACGAACGTTAATCTTTACGATCGATATGCACAAAAGATATGCTGTAGTCGGAGAATCAACCCAGGCTAACGGAGATTACTATCATTAGGCATCCTACATTGCATCTTTTCATGAGGGCATTCTTCTCTCCAAGGTAGTAATGTATCCACAACAGCTCATTAGTGGCTCTATCACGGTTACAAATACACAGGTTCACTAGGATCATTTCAAAAAATCCGAATTTTGCAATCTGACAGCTATGCTATCTTTAAGAACTTCCGCCATTCAAGTTTATGAGTTTCATCTTTACCTATATGGCCAATGCAACTTCATCCAATAACACTTTGATGTGAAATATGTAAACCACTAGTTCTGCTTCTCTTGTGACTGTACTATCAATTTTCGTATGCGTGATATGTGGCTAAAAACAAAGATCCTTGATTTGTTTTTTTTCTCTAGCGAACTTTTATCCACAACAGGAGCCTTACATAACTTCAGAAGTACGAATTTTACAGCCTAGAAAGCCTACTTTTTGTACTTCTAGGTCATCTTCTCTAGACCACATCTTATTTTTTCGTAATACAACCCCAGAGGCTGCTCTTTGCACAAATGTTATATACGTTACTTGCATTTTGAAACCAGTTTGCACCAAATTCTTTAGTGAAACTGTGTTGCCCAAAGTTGCAGGCAACAATAGACGGGTTGCTGGTACTCCCCTTCTGTTACACGTCTGTCAATATCGATTCCAATATCTTTATTTCTGAACAAATGTCTTCTATAGCGGACAATATTGTCATGTTTCAAAAATGCTGCCCAAGCCAAATGTAACCCCTTGTCGCCATATGCGAATGACAAATCGACGGTAGAGGTACGCGAGGGAAATTGTTGTTTTTTTCTGGCGTTGAAACGACGTCGAATGAGGCCTGTGTTTTGTACATGGCAGTCATTTTTTGGGCGATTTTTTCCGGTAACCTTGTCAGTCGCGTTTATTGCGCCTTTTTTGTGACTGTTTCGTACTGCGTCCGCAAATTACGACCCCCGTATATCCCACCGTTTACTTGGCATTTTGAATCTACCTCGCAACCTGTGTGTGAACAGCTAAAGTCATTCATACCTCTTTTGAATAAAGCAATTTACAAGCCTATTTCCACTTTTTTGTAGATCCTCTGATGCAAAGTGCGGCGGCCTGAAAACTCCCTTCATTTATCATTTTGTTAACTAGTTTATTAGCAACAAATTTATATGCCCCTGCGTCGGCTCCTGTATAAAGTAAATTTGTTCCGCCTTCCTAAAAATTATACCAGTATCTGATGAAGACATAAATCTAATGAAGACTCCGTCGATAGAGTGAACTCGCTCACTTTGATAGGTTATGCTAGTTCTTATTCGTATACTGGAACCGCATACAAAAGCCGACGCCAGGAATTTCTGGAGAACTGCTATCAGAAATGCGACCACTTTTATTCTTAATTCTATTCTATTCAAACTTTCCGTTTTGTTTGTGTCGTAATCGCCTCTTCCAAACTGTAATGAATTCTTGTTTTTATGTAAGCAAAAAGTATGTATCTATGTAAAATACAGTCTGTACAAATTAGATGGTTTAGCTTACCCGAGAAGTCTGAGAAAAAGTTTAGCAATCATTTTATGCTATAGAGCTCGTATCGCTATTCTCTTATAAGCGCAGAGCCTTCACTTCATACCTCTAGTCTCTAAAATTATTATTTATAAGCTAAGAAAGAAGCCTTTCTGATGATTGCTTCAGCACCTTCCAATTTTTTGGTTCCTTTATTTCAGACTAAGTTTGAGTTTGAGCCAACATGACATCTCCACTGTTCCAGATAGATATAATCAATAAGAGTCGTGACTAAATCTTCATGCCTATAATCAACGCTTCTCAATTACTCTTCGTATTGTACGATTTGGTGGATTAGCGCGTAACCCTCATTGTAACGAAAGAGATGGCATATGCATGTTTCCTAGCTGTAAAAGGTGCTGTAGCACCTTTTTCAAACTCTAAAGTTAACTACCTATTAATTGAAAAAAGCTGTGAAAACTTCTTTCTAGCTTTTCAAAAGGTTATCTTCGAATTTGAATTCTTGATTACTTGCAATTATTTCATCGATGATTTAGTTCATGATTAGAATACTACCAGACTCTGTTTCCTTGCTTCTCTTAGACGAGATAAGAGAAACTACAGGCCATTTTCCGAAATGGTATCATCTTCGCAACGCTCCTGTCATTGTGCTTCTTAATGATAATGACATAATTACAGCTTAGTACCCTTTTTTGCAAAATACCGTAGTGTTAATGAAACTAACTGTAGAATCCTCCCAATTTTCTCCTTTTTCGGATGATGATACCAGGAAATGTATCCAGCATTGTTCGAAGTATTAGCATAGATCCTGAGTTAATACTCGATTAGCTTGGCCTAAACCAGGAATTCTTGGCAGCCCCGTGATGAATATGATTATTCTGCCAGCTTTCAATGAGTTGGATTCACTATATCACTAACAGACAGCGTACATGTTCTTGACGACTTTGGGAAGAGTCGAGTACTATTTGCTACTACTCATCATCAAGGCATTATTTTAGCAGTGTAGGCACCACTCTTTGATTTTTAATATCAAAGGTTTGGGATTCTATTAGGGTGGGAAAGGCGCAGATTCATAGAAGCAGCATGTTCATTATTCATCAAAGCTACTCGAACAGGGGCAAGCAATACATCCGTCACTTAGTCCAAATTTACTCGGCTGCAGATCGCATTCAGAATCTCGGTATGTATGCTATAACTATCAGCAAGTACGTAGTGCGAACGTACTCAACATTGGAGTTGTAGTCACAAACCACCTTTGGGCAAAGTGGATTGGTTCTGTAGTTCAGCAGAAGTTGTGGCTTAGCTTGCGGTACTGTGAGCAAAGCACTCTAACCCCTTCCTCTCGCAGCTTTAGCAGTATCTTCAGCATCTTCTTAACAATTATAGATTTCGGTAAGAGTGCATAGATTTTGAGGAGCACTCTGATACGCCGAACCTTCGTAACTGCGTCCTGATTTTGACGAAAGCAAGGCGTTGAGGGCAGAGTTGAGTTTATGAAGAATTCTTCGGTATTTGTACAATCTTATCAATGAAAAAGCAAATCTAGACTGAAATGTCTACAAATTTTTCGAGAACTCTATGCATCGACGCACTGCGAGTAGTTTTTCGAAGAGGTATAGTATGTATGCATGTACGTACGTATGTATGTGTTGTGGCATATGTTTTGTCGAATATGATGACTTGACGAAGCCATTAATTTCGTCTCTTCTCTTGCAGCAGAAACGTCGCGCGCGCGAGGTTGGTGTGTTGCGCGACCGGGTGTGCGCATTCACTCCTCACTCGTCGTTCTACGGAAACTTGCCTACTTGATCCACTCCTGCCTCAGAATCATCACGCATAAAATGCGCTCCCTAAGCGTGTGGGAGGAGCTGCCTGAACGGACGAGTTTCTAGTTTTCTCACGCCACTTTAATAGCACTACATGTGTATGCATACCTCTCATTTTCATACTTTTGCTGAAAACTAATTAAGTTTTTTGGTGTTGTGACGATCACATGTCTGCGTTTCGTTCTCCTTTCATCTTTAAAATTTTTTCGCTTAAGATGTCTGTCTTTCAATTTTTCTGCTTCATTGAAAGTCAATTAATATAGACAGAATGACTTCCAGCTATTTCTCCCTGTACAAAGACTTTGAAATAATTGCTAGAAATTCTCTATACATAAGACGCTCAAAGATATAGAGACCGCCAAGAACGGCTCAGGATATGAAATGCAATTGCAAGCTACTTGTATTCGCGGCTTACAAAACTAACACTTTTCTCAATTTTGAAATGTCATAAGGTGAAGAGATGCTTCACCTAATGAATAGTGTAAGGTGAACAACAACGGTAGCATAACAGCTTGCCCACTTTCTTTTCGTCTACTACAATTTTGCTTTGGAATGAGATCTCGCCACTCTTGATTCATCAGGCTGAGGTAGTTCATTTTCAGTATCAGATGTACCTTTGTTCTAAACTGTGGAGTTCGAGGATAATCTTACCATCATCTTTGGGTGCACACCTTTATTTTCACCTGAATCCAGCCTCCTTGAGGCGTGGTTGAGATGTGTGTTTGTATTCTCTCAGTAAACGTAGAACTTTAGCAGTCTGTGCTTGAGTGACGCCCTCTTTTGAGACGAGTGCATTCCCCAATGATATTCTCCGAGCCTGGTTGTAGGCATCCTCTAATGTTGCCTCAAATCCCTCCTAACCGGCACGAATCTTCCAAGCACGGGCTGAAAATCCCGATGAAGAAGGGAGGGGAGGGTGGAGGGGATGAAGAAGTGCGGCCAGCATCGCCCGCCATCGCCGCCACCGACGTCGCACCCGGTTTAGCCGCCCTACCTATTAGCAGCCGCCCGAACTCGACACTAGTTCCACGCTTCACCGGCACTGGCACCACGTCTAACAACTTGAGCTGCAACACGTGCCAGCTAACCAAGAAATTCCTGAATTGCGCTTCTAAGTAGACACAATGCACGTCACGTATGAGTACGCTGGGTTACAACGATTGCACGGTACTTTGTCCTTTACTTGCTGTTAATTCTCTGCATCATTTTTCTGGTGTGCGCTGTTGGCACGTATGGATATGTGTGATATGGCTGTGCATATGTTTGCCAGTTCCAATTCGGAAACTTGTTAAAAACTCGCCAAAACTCATATACCCACCTATGCTGTTCTTTCTTTTCTCGCCAGAGTTTTTTCGCTCATAGATTCATTACACTTAGTCTATGAACCACTGTCCTTCGTCTTCAACATTTTGTTTTCGCTTACTTCCGTCGAGCTATTATCGTAGCTTATGAGAAATCAACAATGATTCATCTTTGCCACATCCTTTGTAGAATTCCTCTACTTGTTCACTACAGGTGTCTGATCCACTGATTAGTCGGTGTGTTGTGCCTAGAGCCCTATAAAGCACGTAGAAATAGTGGGATATGGTAGGAAGTGAGGTATCGGCAAGGCCAAGGCTTGAAGAGCAATGCCCAGTTTGCGGTGATCGCGTATCCGGCTACCACTATGGGTTACTTACTTGTGAAAGCTGTAAAGTAAGACCTCAAAATCCTTCATCAGTGCACCAGTATACATTTCACATTCAGGGTTTCTTCAAGAGGACTGTCCAAAACAAGAAGGTTTGTCCACCTAGCCCATATAGTGGTAGTAGGAATACTGCGAATTTTTGCTTCAGAGTTACCAGTGCGCAGCATCCTCGAACTGTCCCGTCGACAAAGCAGGTCGTAAACGGTGCCCACGATGCCGCTTCGCAAAATGTCTCCAACAGGGCATGAAAATAGAAGGTAAAGGCTTCCTTTGTGACGTAGCTTCATACAAATTTCTTCTGCACTCTGATCTTGATTTTTGTACTTTCTGTGTCCTGGTCGCATAGGTAGTTCCTGCACTCACTCTCAGAACTCCTTCTTCCGCAGATCTCCATAATCGTATGCTGTTGAAACAACGATTTTTGCCCAAGGAGAGAAGCGCATTTGTCCTTTTTGTTCAGGACTTCAGACAATTACAGAACATGCACAATCTAAGAAGTAGTAACAGATAAGAAACTGTTATTGTAATTGAGATGAGTACGTCAGACGCATAGTATCTGCCAACTTCGTGGTACAAAAACAGCAGCACTATTCGCTAGCCTTTTTGCCACTCGCTCGTACACTCATGCGAACGTTACTCTATTTTTTGAATCCGGAAATTGAAGCCTACCATGAATGCTTCAATCGATACAGTCCTATCTACCCCAACTTCTATCGTTCGGCAATGTTGAGTCGCTCTTCACATTCGCTCCTCGCTACTCACCGCTTCGCTGCTTTCATAGTCGTGTCCCCCTCCGACGAAGCGCATCTGCTGTTTTTGGCGTGCCAGTGAACGAAAAAATCCGGTTCTTTAAGTGGAAATTTCCGAGAAATTTGATTGCACCACCACTACGCTGCGCATCCAGAATTCACGTAATTTCACCGCACAACGTTTTTCATTGCAGTCGTCGGTAGAGCTTTTGAGAGAAAAACCGGTTATTTGCATGGGTGGCGGGGGGTAGAGAGGGACATCGATTGATGAGGTGGGCGTGTTGGTTGAAAAGGTGGAGTTGAGTGAAAGAAAGGATCAGGGGATTGCAGAGTTACTGTAACAAGAATTTTTCGGCCTGGCATCTGTGTGAAAAATTCTGATCTTGTGCTTCAAGCATGCAGTACGTTTGGAAATGGATTACTGTATGTGAGTCAAAACGAAAAACCTCGTTTAGGTTTCCTCAAATTCTCATAGAGTTATATTGAACGTCTAACACGGGATAGTATCTACATGGAGCTATAAACAGTCGAAAACAGAAAAAAACAGAAATCTTCCTGACAATTTGCGCTACTAAGACTTAGTATATTGTTTGGCATGATTGAGGGAAAACCTGGATGATCATCTAATACCACCGTCAAAAAATATCCATAACAGCTGGTACATCACTTCCACATTTATCCCTCCCGTAAACGATTAGACATCCACAATGCAACCTTCGGATCATGCAAATCTTATGCAAATTCAACGTCAAGGTAAACAGGTCACCGATAATGTGAAACATTGCATATAGTAAACCCAAGGAGGCTGGAGTAAATCATGCAAAGAGCATGCGATTGTAAACTTGGAATGGTCAAGCAATAAATGGATGACTGTAGAAAAAAAATGTGCTCCAGTCATTTCTTGCGCATCTGGCATTTATAAATAAGATATGATAGGCGCCAGAAAATGAAGGACGAAACATATTTTGAAAAAGTTCTCATTTGAACTTGTTTGGTATTCGGAATGTCAGTTATTTTGTGTTTTCGCAGCCTTTCGGGATGAGAGCGTCACATATCACTGAGATCCACATGCGCAATGATTATTAGCATCTACATCTAGTATGCTTTGGCAAATTGTCAAGAGCAGACTGTTCTTTCTGTTCGAGATTCTCTTTTTTAGCTGTTCGCGAAGATCGCATGAGAGGGGGACGAAATAAGTTCGGCTCCTACTACAAAAGAGATCGTGCCCAACGAATGCAGCGAAGCTCACTGAAGGACAATGCAATCGCGGATTTGGCTGGGATGGAACAGACTGTAACCAGTAGGTAAGTTCCTTATTCTTTCTACATGATAAGACTATTCGCTTTGAAGTAAAACCATAAAGTTCACGAAGAATTGCACGTACCTTTAGCTTCATAAGCACAGCAAAACCACTCCTCCCTCTCCGTTCTAAAAAGTTAGTTAACTTTGCAAAGCGAATTTACTTTCAGCGCTATTAGTGTTGACCACCAATCTGAATCAAAAGGCTTCGTGATTGAGCTCAGTTTTCGCATGATGAGTATGTAGTTTTTACAGTACCGAGCCGGTGGTGATGCCTTATCCGGACGACAAATCTAAGGTTAAATCCGAATACGATTCTGTCCTGCAGTGCTTGACTCTATCCAGCAGTACTCAGGTTCATCACGGTAAGTTGGAATAATGGGATCTCTCAAAGGTCTTCTACCATGCATGCTCACGAGTAGGCCTTTACTATTTGTATGCAACTACGCTGGTTGAATGTCCAAAACAAGTGCTGTTTTGGATGATTTTTGTACTATCTCTGGGACTTGCTTATTGTGCAATGTTTACAGCACCTCCCGTGCAAGCAGCACCTAGACCGCCACCGATTAGCCAGGAGAACGAAGGACTAGCTGGACTTCTCGGCTGCTCCATCGACTTTCCAAACTACCGTATCAAACCGGAGCCATTCGAGCCATCTACAACAACTACTGAATTTCAGCAGCGGCTACCGTATCATGCTCATCCAATTGACGACGGTACGTTGAAAAAGCGAAAAGACAACAGGGGACACTTCAAGGTCGTTTGTACTTACGAGATTTTTTCAGACTTACTTGTGACAGTAATAGTGTTCTCCTGCGCTACTGAGAACGAAAGCGATTTGCTAGATCGAATGTGAAACGCTTTTCACTAAAATTGTCTGTCTACGCGCTAACAATTTGAAATATTGCAATTTTATGTTTCCTATCGGCAGGAAAGGTTGGCTCAAGCTCAGTTAGAGATTCATTTCTCGTCTGCAAAATATAACTGGAGCGACTTTTTTGGCAATTCACCAGCCAATCTCAGGAACTAGAAATGCTAACAACGCGGTACCTTCTCTAATCGAAAGTGTTAAAAAAGTCAGAGCTGGATGCCAGACTCTCAATCTTACGGTAGATCTAAGAACACAATAAGCTCTTTCTATAAGTGAGTGAATCCCTACAGATAGCAACTCAGTACAGCAACTCTGACAATTTCCTCCACTCACTTTGAACTTGAACGCTGAGATGCTGCGTTTTTTGCAAAGATTAGCCGATAGCAAATTTCAAATTCATAAACATCTGTGCATATGTTCCGCTTCCTCCGTACGTGTTTATAAGTTTGAAAATCTGAAAATACAGTAAATTTATCAATCTCGAAGTTACTGCTTTGAGAACAACCTAGCAAGACTGGGTCTTTTGCGAACCGTCTTTGTACAGTACAAGCGTACTACTTTCCGCCATTATCGTACTAAGCTTATTCCAGGAGCATTCCGAGACAATCGCATTCTTCCTGTATGCTCAACACCATCCGAAAAGCACGTGGGCAGTGAATTTGAACGTTCTTCATCGACACTCTCCATCATGCATGACTCGCTACCGGACGACTCAAGGTCAGTGCGCTGTTAAAAAACCAAAAAACATCAGAAAATTGGGATTTCTTTTGAAAGCGAAAAACTACAATAATTGGATGGCGAGGTTTGAAGCTGTGGAAAACTTTCGAAAAAAATGCTAGTTCAACGGGGTGTATCGTTTCCTGCAAAAACTCAGCACAATATAAATGTTAGCTAAAGCATCAAATTTGAGATAATTTGTCATTGTACTACAGTATTTTCCGTTGCTATGAATTAGGATTTCATTTACACAAATATTGTTCAGTTTCTCACGCCTTTGCTTTCTGGTTAGTGACATCTCGCTGAACCATTATTATTTTACTCGTAAGCGCCCTTCTTGTTGCAAAAGTAGTACTTTTTTGGCTCGCATAGTTGGATTTGATCGACTAGGTTGAGATTGAATCTTTGATGTAAGTAGACATATTTGCATCGTATGAAACACGCGCCTCCAGGATGTTAAGTCATGTGCCATTTTTCAGAGAGAAACTCAATGAAAATCTGTTTTTTGAAATTAGGCTAAACCGTAGCACTCATTATGCATTTAGACTTTATTGTCTGCTGCATAAATGGCCAAGATGGGAACCATTTTCATTTTGTGTCTCAGCGGTCGAGGACAATCTTGGACAGCTAGTGGCCTGGGCAAAAGCAGCGCCGTACTTTCGTGAACTTGAGGTTATGTGCTACAGTGAGAGGCCAATCAACTGCAAATCCTCTTTTAGATGGCTGATCAGATGCAACTTTTGCATGCGAGCTGGGCTTCCGTCCATATCTCCGACTTCACCTACGCAGCAGTTGTTGGCGCAATACCTGCTAGCATAAAGATGAATAACGGAATAGAGTACGTTGGTACTCTATTGCAAGAATCCCATCAGTACAGGACGATTCAGAGTTCCATCTGGACTAGCGGCGGTTATGGGCGATTGTTCACTACTGACGCTGTGGACTGACATCGTTCACCTCCTAGCAAGTCGCGGATTCACAAGAGTAGATCTAGCAGCATTCCGATACTTAGCCCTATTCCACGAGGATGGTAGGATTTCACTGCTTCAGCCTGTTTTTTCACCATAATCCCTTTCTCTTAGGAGAAAGTCGCGTAGAAAATCGTGCGCTGATCAGAGCTGCAAGAGACTCCTTGATCCGATGCTGGGGCGAGTACCGAGGATCGGACGTGGCACTGTTACCTCAGTTTGCTGCCTTTCTGCGAATAAGGTCTGTTCACTATGTCGTCATTGCGATGCTTACCTACCTTTGAAGAGATTTTTCGACACCAAAACATCGTATAGCTTCCGATTTCGTCCTCAAACGACGAGAATGCGAGGTTTATTTGAGAAAAACCGGCATCTTTCACTAGCATTCGCCGCAGCAATAGGCATTTAGGCCGGTTTCGTCATGCTGCTTCTCCGAAAGATCCGAGCAAATATGGGAGAGATTTCAATATAGTGTACCGGGCTAAAATAAAAACTTCAATTTTACCCCATGATCACGCACATTATTAATTATAGATTAAACAATTTCATACGCATGAGATGGACGAGAATATAAGTTTGCTTGGTGACCTGAACCAGTGAAAACGCAGGGCACTCTACTTACTATTGAAATGATTATTTTTACTTATGGATGCATAGGAGAAACATGCAAAATTTGCATAAACGACTCAGTGAAGTTTTCCTAGGAACACTTTCTGATTTTGTAAAGGTAGCTCGTTTATACTACTCGAGTCTCAATCGTGGTCATGCGCAGCATGACAAATTGGAACACTAAAACTAAGTCGAATGAGTACTCAAAAACGAGCTCAGGAGTACGGCCCTCATGCGGACTATGCTCATTTTGTGAGCTGTGCGACTGAGGATAGTGATATGAAGAAAAAATTTCAAAATTTTGTTGGATCATGTTTTTGAACGATGTTTGCTCTAGGTCGTTGGCACAATCCTGTCAGAATTTTCTCATTGCTCGGCGAGTGGGTGGTGTAGTGGGCTCATCGCTGTTGGCCGAAATGCTCTCGTCGTCAATTCAGAGCACATGCGCTCGTTGACATCGTCGTCGTATCTAGATGGTTTTGTAGTTACTCATGACTATTCACGATATCCACTTACCTGACCGAATCAAGGGACCATCCTGATCACCTCTTCTGTTGCTTTTGTGTGCTGTGTGATTCTCCTCTAGCTAATTTGTCTGTTGTCTGAATCTCGTAACTTGACAAATACCAGCTGTAATACACCTTTTAGTGGAAGCATTTGCAAAATCTGTAAAAGTATCGTCATTAAAGCGCTCCAGGGACTTGCATAATCTATCGAACAAATTCGCCCAATGTCATTTATATGAGATATACATTTAATACTGCTCTCTTATTGACTGATCTGTGAATTTTCAAGGAAAATTGTTTGTTCAACAACATTTCACTTACACTCATTAGGTATCGATTCGTTTTTTCTTGTTTGTCGTTTTTTCTCATCCCAAGTTCATCAAATGTTTTCCGCATAATGTGCGACGGGAATTATATATGAAGTATAATATGCACAATCCACTTCGTAATCTTGCCGTTTTTACGGGTTCTTCTAACTTGCCTTGCATTTTTCTCCTCGTTTGCCCGAATTGCCTAACTCTCCGATTTTCACTTCCAAATTGTGAATTGCCTCTTGCCACTGTGTTGTATGTATCGATTGTGATGTTTTTGTGAATACACTTGTTGTTGTTTGTGCGTACAGCGAATTCTGCAAAAATCAGCTTCTACCACGTGTGCAATCACTGCACTTTGGCAGAGATATCGCATCGCGATACTACCACCAGCATCGATTTTCACGAAATGATGCGCAGAACATGTTGCGCAACTTTAGCGTGCGGTGTTGGCAAAATTTGCGACACCAGCCGGTTTTCGGCCACTTTTTCGCGCTGCTAGCTAAATTAGCGGCCAACGCATCGCACCTGTCCGACTCTTCGGATGTGGAACCGCGGGAGGAACTATGTTGCATAGCAACATAGCTATTGCTTGCTTACGCATTCCGCTGAATATATCCGAAAAGAAGCTTGTTAAGACGGTAGCATCCTCCTAATATCTCATCGTGCAGTTGTTCACGGGAGCACAAAGGATTATTTGTTGGTGCGGTATTTCATATAATTTCTGGCTCAGTGATTATTTGCACTACTGTTCAAGCACTGATACCGCAGAAAACGTAACTGGCATATTAAGATTTTGTCCGGAGATTTCCTGCCCAACAAGGGAGGCTTGCTTTCAGCACCTCCTCAACTTTCCACTTTTGTGTCTTTAATGTGTTCACTCTTACATCCCTAGGGTATACTTTTTCCTCGCAAGCAGTAATGGTATTTTTAAAGTAAACCAACATTTATAGGCATATTAATTCGTATCTATATTGGAGTTTCACACTCGTATCAGGCTGTACTTTTTCTCCTTAGGGTAATGGTATTTTCGAAGAGACCCCTAAATTTTTATAAACTCAGTACTGACTACATCCTCAAAGCATAAATGAGCCTGCAATCCAAAGGGTTACGAGTGATCATCTGATGAAACCAACTAACAGTTGGACAATTTGGAGAATACGAACCCTGTGAAGACTTATCTTACTCTATCTAAAAGGATAGAAAGATCCTTGACTTGCCGCTTTATGGGCATGTTGTGTTTATGTTATGCTATGAAAAGCTGAAATGTGGAAGAAAACAATGAGAACTGATAGTTTACAGTTATGTGTACTCTTGCTGTAAATTTGGCAAAGGCTTACACGATTTGAAACCACCAGAGCATTCGTTTTTGCTGTCCTCTATTGACGACGGAGTATGTGTGAAAAATGAACTATCCTGCAATATTCTTTTGCTGGAAAAAGCGTCTATTATATGTTGGTACCTGCTTGAATGTGTGATTAGTTCCAACATTTACAGAATCGTTTTACAGAACAAATTAAAATCAATCTAAACGTTCACATTCATTAAAGAATTCTCTCCGATTTCTATAGTTACCCCATAATAATGGTACGAACATTTTCTAGTGGTTCGATAGGGTTTCGAGAAGAAAACTTTGAGTATCTGGGTCCTCAGGTTACCAGCAAACGCGATGATCGATGGAACTGTATAGATAGCTTTGAGTCCTTGGAAGAGGTTAGCTCCCTCATGAGCTAATTGTATCAAAACTCTGATCTTAGTTCTTTTTTCTCATTACAAACTAACAGTAGTTTGAAATCACTGTAGGAATTGTTATCATAATGACGATAACATTAGCACTTTATATCCACTTACAAGGGAAGTTGGCTTAGTCGAAGTGGCGATTTGGAAGGCGATCTACACCAATGGATAGAGCTTAAAACGCTGATTTTAGACATACTTTCTATATCTGCGATGCGTTGTTCTGAAAAAAATCATAAGCTCTTCCAATGCCAAATTTTCGTGCGTTTTGAGTCGCGAAATCATGATAATTTCTACACAAAAGTATGCAAGCTTGAGCAAACCACCTAGTAAGCATTGTATGTCTGATTTGAGTTCATCCGAACGTTTTCATGTGTTTTCCGATCATGCTGTTTATCCGCAGGTCGTCATTTCCAACTAGATCACACTTTCATTATATATACAAAAAAGCCCATAAGTCCTTCAAGAAAAACGTGTCGCAGATATTGAAGCTATTTTTGAGAACGGCGTTCTAGTCCCATCCATTGGTATATATCACCTTTCGAATTGCCACTTCGACTCAACGAACTTCCCTTTTAGTTTTTTTTTTGATTAGACGCCTGAAAGCGCTTAGATCATCCCTTTGAATTTGGTGTTTTAATATAAAGTGTCTGAATATTTATTAACTTCTATGTTGCCTTTGAGAGCATTTCACCATTACACTTATTCGTACAGCTAGTTATCTCAATAAAGATTGAGAGATGAAGTTCAGCAAACAGAAATAATGACATTCTAAGGCTGCAACATCTAAGCACTACACCTATTTCTACATGAGCATTCAAAACATGGTAAACTGCAGTGAACAACAATGCGACACACTTCGGTAAACCTACTATGATCGCAGATCATTGAAAGATAATAAGGATCAATTTCAAAACCTTCAATGTCTTTGCACAAGGTGTAAACATTGTTTTCACCGTAATTTATAAACCTAGCATTTTTAAGATTCCCTTCGTTTATAGAAGCCTTTACTTTTCGGACGCAGTCCATCATGACAGTAGGCTACTCCAGAATGGAGAGAAGAAGTAACAGATTATAAAAGAAGTGCAATAATTAGAACGTGCAAACATGGACGTGTTCTGCCCTGCTGAACCTCTGCTGGCTCTCATGCGGGTTGCTGTAAGGCCGCCGCGGCGTTACAGTAACCCACGTTACTGTAAAGCCGCTGGCGTTTCTAATCAGCATCCACGGTAACGGGTAGAGCATAGTTAGTCTAGTGATTAGTGTTCTACGTAACATTGCCGTGCTAAAGGTCACGTGTTCGATTTCACCCTGAGCCTAATTTCTGCTACAAAAAGTATGCTCACAATTCCAGCGTCTGGCTGCCATTCCAAAGAAGGGCATGCGACAAGCCGGCTGAGAAATACCCGTCGCATCATAAATGCAATGCAAACGTCCCATTAAGTATCTCAAGTAAAGGCGTCCCCCGGAGGCGACGCGTATTCGAGCCCGACGAATTGGAAGTTCACCAGAGGCAACGAACCAAGGCATCGCAGACTCTCCGCCTAGCTACCAGCAATGTGGGTACACTTACAGTTGCAGCAGTAGAATTTGTCTAAAACTGCGGGATTGTCGGGATTCGCGGGATTCGCGATTTCAAGGGATTCGCGGTATTTGCAGGATAAGCGCGATTTAGGTATAACTTCTTTCAAAACAGCTTTATTTGTAATCTGCGAAAAGATTTGGCTTCAGCTTGATGAGACGAATCTTCTGGTATGCAATATGTCCGCAGTTCATAGTGACACGGTAGACATACGGTGATACCTCGTTATTTTCTATGTTGAGTCTTTTGTGAACATCTATCACAGTGTAGATTTTCATTGATTTTCGATTTTTGATTTTCGCCGAAAAAGCGTAGTGAACACTCGTCCCGTCCCAAAATTCACATATCTGAAATTTGGTGTGGTTCCCCGCTTTCCTTCATATATTTTAGGTTCGTAATTGAAATGCTAATGAAAAACGCAAAAAATCGATAAATCGATAGTCTCCCATGCCTGATTTTCGCTGAAAAAGCGTAGTGAACACTCGTCCCGTCCCAAAATTCACATATCTGAAATTTGGTGTGGTTCCCCGCTTTCCTTCATATATTTTAGGTTCGTAATTGAAATGCTAATGAAAAACGCAAAAAATCGATAAATCGATAGTCTCCCATGCCTGATTTTCGCTGAAAAAGAAGGGGTCATACCAAACGAAATGATTGCTATTTTGTAATCACCATGCAAAATAGCCTTTGTTAACCCCTTCAATGATTTCCTGCAACACTTTACTATTTTTTCGAATGTCTGATAAGCGCCATTTTCAAACATAATTAGTGTTAGCGAGTGGAAGACTCTTCGAGGGATGTTGGCCTCGGACTTAGAATAACTGTGTGAAAGGAGCAATTGGTGGTTCAGATTTATTTAGGCGAGTACAAGATTGTTCGAGCGAACCGTTCACGGTAAGCTCGTAAGGAGAGTGAGGTCAAAGCCTCCGAGATACGAAAGGGTGGTAAGGCCCGCCCACTCAGCGGGTGGTCCCTCGATACGGTAATTGGGGGGGAATCATCGTACGATGATAATTAGTTTGGTTTTAGTGATCAAAAACATCATCCTTTTTACATTTGTTACAAGATAGTGCCCTTTCCTAACACACTCTAGCAATTTCACCTTATATCACTTTCAAATGATATATTTGTGAGCCCGTCAAAATTCCGACAGTCCCTTTTTTTACTCAAAGGTTCACTCCATGAACTTCTAAAATGTGGGAACGGGACGAATCAGCTTCGGGCACTTAATGCGTGATTTACGAGGTTTGTGCTAATTAATCACTTAAGATTTATTAGAAAAAACTTTCTTTGAGATGAAGTTAATGAGGCCAGGCGCAACCCTAAAAGGGGTAGAGGAACGAACGCCTCAATTAAGCATCGCCTCCGCGGGCTGCTGGTCCTTTCGGCCTACTGTTGCGCATCGTATTGGGACCAGTGGTCCGCGAAGGCGGTGCCTAATTGAGGTGTTCGTTCCTCCACACCCTCAAAAGCTCAGGCCGCCTGAGCCTTTTGATGGGTTGCGCCTGACCCTATTAACTTACCTTTAAAAACTCAGATATTTACGTTCTTAACTCAAACGTTTAGGTAAACCTTTCTTTCTGCGCAGCATAAGTTTCGTTGGATATCTTCACCCCTCGCGAAAGTTATCGATGTTCTACCCCACCTATCCGGCGGAAAGAAGCGACAGAACAGATTTGGCAGTCGTTGCAAGTTTCAACTACAGTATTCTGGCGCCATGTACAGGGTATTCGTGGCGGGACTTTTGTGTTTCAGCCAGTTCGGGGACTGTCTTCAACCGTTTTCCAACGGGTCAAACTTGCTGATGAGGGCTTTTGGGCCTTATGGATTACAAAAGGAGCAAGTACAAGGGTAGTGGAAGTTGGGTCTGGTATACGCACACTAAAACACCGACCTAGGGCGATGACAAAGTGGAATTTGGACAATGTTCCAGGGTTAAAGAAGATTATTCGTTTTCCGAGTCATTTCTTTTTTACCTAAGTTGCAGCAAAGAGATTTTGGACATGTTATCACTGATCAGATTTCCTAAAACACGAGGTCTCTTTATGGCGAGCGTCAATCGCATACAAGAAGGTCCAGAAATGCACTTGTAATCAGGTGAGATGTTACAGAACTAGATGGGAAATTAAGAAATCATAAGAGCATATGTAGCAAAATAACGATAGCCATCCTTTCTCAGCAAACACAGTTTTGTTGGCTTGTCAACCAAATTCATAGTGGCTTGAGTCACTGTTGAGGATATAGCGATAGGTTTAACCATGGATCGCTGTGTAATTGATTATTAGACCGCTTTGGTTCTACGCTACTATCAAATGCTCGGAAATATTATACTGAAACAAGTTTGCTGGTGATTCTGGACTGGTACTGCTGCAAAACTCCTTTACAGCTAGGCCATAAATCCCTATTAATGTAGCATACTGTTCTCACTTATAAAATGTGGTTCTCGTTAGACTCAAAGAGAAGTTCGTTCACATCGCAACCCAACATCAGTACTTGATGAATAATTTCATCGTCAAAACTCTTATTTCCCCTTGCTGATGTTGCCGGTAAGCAGCAAACTGACTGATGAAAGAACACGTCTACTGCAAGTGACAAGATCGATAAGTTTTGACGAATTCTTTGCATAGCTATCTAAGTATCCGAGCTTTGATGAGCATAACCGTGAAGAAATCAACAAGAGATGCCCATTGTATCGTACATTCCCCAGAATTGTTTTCCTGGATACTATCAACGTAGCTGCCCTTCGTTCGTTCTAACATGTAAAATTCTATAAGCGCTCAAATTTGCTGGAGACAACGTTTTGAAACGATTGAAAGGCAGCCACGATGGTATATATCTACCTATGGGACAATATTGAGGGATGCACCAGATATTGTCTGCAACTCACTTCAGATTTCATGAAGTCAAAACAATGCTAAACAAAACAACTCACCAGCTTTCACCTGCTATATAGTATCCATAGTATTGATCATTTGTTTTGACCTCATTGATTGTAAGCCCTCACAGAACAACGACTTGAAAAAAAGAGAAAATGACTTCACTAAGAACACGCAGTTTTTTGACCACTAATTAAATATCAAAGCAAATGCATGCATCTAGATTCAGTGGCGGCTTCGATCTATATGCCGCTACAACTTTACTTCCTGATTCCACAACTTTTTGCGAGCACGTCTGCGCCGAGTGATTTGGGTTGATGTCACACAGGAAGGATATGCCTCCCCTGCGCTACTCTTAGTAAACTACTGCGGCGGAACCTCCTTCAGCCCGATAGGAATAGTTGATGGCGGATGGCACCATGCAAAACCAAAGGACCGAGACACTAATGGTCCCGGCACGAATACCCTGTAAATGGCGGCCTTATACTATAGTTGACAATTGCAACGACTGCCAAATCTGTTCTGTAAAGAAGCGTGGCTAATCCTCAGCTGATTTCGTCTTACTGTAGAAACGCTACACCGCGAAGTTCATGCGGATTGCTAAAGGCGGCAAAATTCATTTTTCGAGCGCTCCTTCATTCTCTTGTCGTCACCATAAGTCTGATGGTGATGGTATTTGCCAGTATTTTGAAATTCTAATTTCAAATCATTTTATCGGAGTGTTTTACACCCCTATGTTCTAATGATGTCCATCTTGCGTTCCTAATTTCATGTTTGTGTATCGTGCTTGAGATTTTGTTGGTTAAGTGACTGACGAGATCCTCCGTTTGCTCATTCGATCACCTGACCAGATATGTGTCATGTTGTTTCAAGTCCTTTTGCATTGTTGAAACAATGGATAAGAAACACAAGACGTTAGAAGCATGGAAAGCTGCATCTATCCGCTTTAGCTTGACCAACCCTTCGCCGTAGCAGTGTATAAAATGCGTTGATTTTCTCTTATTTTTGAATAGAAACCTATTTTAAGTCATACGAAGAACAACTGATTTGTTTCACATGAGTGGGTTTCGAGCAGCAGTAGCCGAAATATTGGCAAACAACACTTGAAGAAGGCTCGGAAGGTAAATATTTTTAAGGTGGTTGTGAGATGCAATAAGTCTTTGTAGATGAAACAATTTGCCGTTTTAGATTCGTTTACTATTAACGGACTAAATATCAGTATGTAACACTCTCTTCACTGAAGCAGTATGAGTGAGTTTTTCCGTCGAATTTTGTTTTCTGATAAAGATTGTTCTTTTCACTTCGATTTTGCTATGCAAGAACTGGTTTCGAATGAAGCGAAAAGGAACTGGTGGGATAGGAGGTTTTCATCACTGAATTATTAATATGTTTGCAGGTGGAATGTGTTTGCCGATAGGTCTACGCCGGTGAAGAAAAGGGAAAATATCGGAAAAGCATGAAAAACCGTGTACTGTGAAACCTTTTGTGTTTCGAAGCTCTGCTGAAAATGGTAACCTTGAAACACACTATCTCGGTTTGCTTATACCTCCACTTACTAATCAACAAATTCGTCCAGTAAGTTAGAGCTTTTTTACTTTTCTATGCTAGAATGTTTCTTCCTTAAGGAGCTCCTGCTGGTGCATTGTTGCTAGACCAGATACTGGCCAATCAGTGGCAGCGTTGGCAACAGAAGGCATACTCACTGAGCTCTTCCGTTCCCGCAACCGCTTCTCGTCCAAGAAGTTTCTCCTCAAGGCGCAACATTTGTTGTACACGGAGAAACACCGAAGGTCTTTTCATCTGTTTCATCTTTTAATATCCTCTCTTGGCTGCAGTAGAACATGAACATTAGATGGATAAAGCTAGTTTTATTCCCGCCCCGCATTTCGGCAGTAAATTCTGGATTTGAGATGCTGGTGTTCAAATGTAAACATATCTGATTTCCTTTTACCTGCCACAGTTGGGTCCACGATTTTTATTGGGTTGGTGCAGCAATCTTTCTGTGAGCTACAAAGATCTTATAAAAATTCTTGAGCAGGTTTTTTCTTTCTTATGGAGATCACTTCCAGGTTTTCGTCCCTGCCAAAGTCAAAATTTGACTGCAGGAAGGTACGCTTTGATAGCGATCTTTTCTCCACAACAACGCTGCCGATGGCAGCCACGTTCACGATGGCTTGGCCTCAGGTCCGAAAGCTGCATCCTCCTCTGCACTGACTAGTCCTTCTAACTCGCAGGTGAGAGCTTAGCTTTCTTTGTTTCGTCGGTGTAATTTTTTGGACTTTAGTCTGGAACTGAATTGTTTCAACTTGAGGTGATGTTCGGGTTTTTCACGAGCATGAATTTACGTTAGAATTACCTTGCGGACATGCCTAGATCTTAGTTGCACCATTTTCTTCCCTTTGTTGTGCAATTTTTGAAGAGGGGACCACGTTTTGGTGCGGCAGTTTCCTGCTTCTGCAGTATGTGTCAAAGCTAGTTTCATTCGGCTTATTTCTGGTCTGCACCTCTACAGCTTTTTTCCCGTGATTGCAAATGAGATTACAGAAAGCGATAAGGGGGTACAGACTATCAAACTTTCGACGAGTTTTACGTGAGGCAAATGACCAATGCATTTAGTAAAAGCTGTGTAATGCATATTCAGCCTGTAGTAATCATAGAGCTGTTAGTCTTTGTACTGACTGTAAAATATAAGCAGTTAACCTGTTCGGAAAAGATCAACTTAGCGAAGAATGACTATCAATTATTTCAGGAAGATCTTACGTATTAGAGATGCACAAGCCACAGCCTACAAGACGAGAAAGAGGTCCTGTTTTCTTCCTCCTTCGAGGTTCACCTCCCTATCATTCTCAACGATTATGTCCAGAAGACCACCAGTTATACAAAATTGCGTGGTGCGTTTCATTTTTCAGCTATATAGATTTTTACCATGGCTTTTGCAGAACATCAGTGTGTTAAAGGAACTTGGCTAAGTCCGCTCGGTATATATCATGTCAGTCTATCTCTCTCAGATGAAGTTAGAGGTTTTTTCGATGATAAGCTTTTGCAGAAGCACTCTCACCGCTGAGCCGTTCAGTCCCACTCGAATAACACACTGAAGGCGCTGTAACAACTCTAAGAACACTCAAATGCAAGTGAAATATAGTGAGAAATTGAATAGAGGATAAATAGAGACGACAATAAAGTTTTTGAATGTGATTTTGAACTTGCAACGAAACACAAAGGGGGGGGGGGGAGAGAGGGGGGAGGGGGTCGTAACTAAAACGACTGCAGGGGGGGGGTCGTATCCGGCCGGCGTGTCCCTGACCTGTTGCTCAACCCTGGCTCCAACGGTTTGGATCCTTGCGTCCGCTTCGCTCGGTGGTGCACCACGATCGCAAATATATCCTGCGGTCGTTCTCCAGCCTTCAATTGTTGCTCACTATGGGAAAGTGTCTCGGAGGCTTAAAGGCAGCGTCCAAGCAAGTCTGGACCTATGGGGATTTTACGTGGAAAGTACTTTTGGGGCCCTAACTAAGCCATTGCCCAACCGGCAGCTCAGGTAGTGCTCTAATGGCTGAGATATTCCCCTCGAATGGCCCCCGCGACCGTGTTTCGCATGGATTCATGGCGCAAAGCGTGGATCCTGGCGCGAAACTGCCATGAATCCATGCGAATACGTTCGCGGGGGCCAGTTTCGAGGGGAATATCTCAGCCATTAGAGCACTACCTAAGCTGCCGCTTGGGCAGCGCCTTAGTTAGGGCCCCAAAAGTACTTTCTACGTAAAAGCCCCATAGGTCCAGATCTGCCTGGACGCTGCCTTTAAGCGAGGCTGCAGCGAGGACCGGAGGCGCCAAAGCTGTGACACTTAGAGAGTGGGACAACTGTACACCTCATGACCACACCAGAAACTCTTTCGTGTCAGTAAGGTTCTGGAAAGTTCAATAGAATATTTTTGAAAATTCTCTCCATTTGTGACGCGAAAAGACTTGTTGCCTGTATTGAATAGCTTAGTCTTTCCTGGAGAAATCAACTAAGCAGCAAAGATAGGGCCTCTGGATTTTTCTGATTTGGAAACTTCAGATCCGACGATGAACTTGACTATGAGGATGGTCTTTGCGATAACTGCGGTGAGATATGTCGCAATGTCGCACTGCAGTCGGTTGACGAAGTAAAACTTTGCTATGTATGCCGAATGTATTACAAGTAAGTTTGAATTTTGATTTTTTGTTGTTTTGGAACTCAAAATTCACTTAGACTTATACGCAAACATCGCCCATGTAGTTTTACTTCGGCCTCAGTGAGTTCCGTCAAAGAAAAGCTCGCAAATGTTTTGAAGGTTTGTCTCATATCTTCTTCATAGCCCTTCAACTACCATTTTTTTGAGACATGCAAGACAGCGCCCACGAATTGAGATGGCTTGTCGACATGAGCGACAATGAGGGTGTGCAATTGGTTCAGAGCCCGAAGACACTAAGTGCAGTGAGTAGACAAAGTAAGTTTAAGTGAATAGAAAATGTTCAGTTTTATGCGGTTTTTTGAGATTGTGATGAGAGAGTTAACAAAAGTTCGTTCAAGGGCTATACGCTTGAGTGCACAGTGAAATTTCAACGAGCGGAGGGGCTTATGAATGGCTTGGATTCATACAGGTGAATAATAAAAGACCTAGATTGTAATAGACTTGTTGTGACCCTGCGTTTGCAGGCATCTTGTTTGAAAGAAGACCGATGAGATGACGATGGAAGCTCTTGCCATGATCGAGTACGCGACGGTCATACCTGGACTGAAGAGGAGCGGATGATTGCTTTCCATTGTAAGTATCGAGTGCCATTGTCGCTTTGTTTAGCCCCTTCGACAAGCCGTGATTAAATCCAAGTTGTCTGCCACGTATTTGAGTCATTCTCGTCAAATGAAAAGGTAAGTAGTTCAGCGAAAACACGACAGTCTATCTGGTAGCTGCCTTGACTTCTCTGGCCTTCATACAGTATACAAGAATAGCATTGACGAAAGCTCGACTGAAGTTTCGTGGAAGTTTAATGGAAATGAATGGTGACTTATATTGCCAGCGCACTTGGCTCGCTTTGAAGTGATCCATAGATTAGTCAGAATTAGTCTGAAAATTGTATTTTTTACTTGGAGTCTGCACAAAAAGCCAGGAATGCAAGAACTTACAATTTTTCCTATGCTGGCCCATAAGTCATCTGTTTGAGGTCTTCTTCGCTATGGAAGAGATTTCGATGCTGTTGCTGAGGTACTTGACACGAAAATGACTGATAAAGTGAAGAGTTTATCTACCAAAATGAAAGAAGATATTGACAAAGTAAGTGGAGACGTATTGCTGTTCCACTGTCAGGTGATTTTTTTAGTTTGCTAGAAAAGGAAATCCAGGCAGAGAAGAGTTGGTCAATTCGTTTGATGCTGAAGAGAAACTAGATGCAGAGACGCTAAACCTTGATTGATTATAATGATTGTGCCTTCTTGTAATGATCTCAAACGCTCACAAAAGTTGGCATATAGGACAATCGGGAATTATTGAGCAACAGTTGCACAAGCCCCATTTTTTGCATGTGTTTTTTTCTTTGTTTCTCAAATGTTTTCTAACCATTGACTGACCAATAATTGTCTGTTGCCGTTATACAATTTCAAGAATGCATTTATTTAAAGTAGTACGAAATTCGCAAATAAGTAAACTTGTTTTTAATGTTGTCATAGTCGCAAAATGGTTCAGGACTCCAGTTTTTCTTTGATTTTGCTTTTTATTCACACTGAGACTGCCAGCGTTTTTGGTCCGTGTTTTGCAATGCGAAACTTGATGTATGTCTATCAAAGCCTGAGTTGACTTTGACCATTCTGCGCAGCTCATATCTCTCTTGATTTGTCTCTCTTGCTCGCAGTGAAAATACGCCCACGGCTGCACTTTCGCTGGAACCCTCGGACACGAAGAGTAGCAGATATAGAAATACACTGATAGACAGCGTATGCTGCCATGAGCGTATTCTCGCTGTGACTGCAGCAGCGCACGCTGCGTGCTGTGGCGCAGGTTGCCGCGTTCTGCGGCGTAGCATGAAGGAACCCAAAGAATGACGGCTTTTTTCAAAAGTCTGGGCTCATGCTGATCTGTAGTCCAACTGTTCGGAAACCTACGGATCAATATGAATCCACCCCAAAAACTGCGTTCTTGGAAGCGTCTTACTAGAGTGGATCTAGTAAGACTATCTACATATCATTCATTCTAGGACTAGGAGACGCGAGACCGCTTTGCACATATTGTCTAACATAATCGTGTACTTAGCAGGTTTATACTTGTCATTAATCTCGCCCACGTTTATTTACTCTTTGGAAACAGGGAAGAACAAACTCAAACATGTTGAGACAATATCCGCAATGGTGTCACGCGTCTCCTGGTCGTAGAATAGATTATATATAGAACGTATTCTCCCGAAGAAATCGTCAAGGACTCTTCTAATTGACATTAGTGCACAGTTTTCTTTTTTGAGAAACATTTTCTGCGTTAAATCCTCATTGATGCGCAGTAAAAGAGGATGTCATTTCACAACCAATCTCGTTGATTTCGCGCTCTGTTCGATGTTCTGCGCGCGCGAATAAAAATGCTTCAAATCGCAACTTCAGGAATCGTCCTAGTCAAGTGTTTTTTCTAAAAAAAATTTTGTGTTTTTTTACACTAATCAAGTACATTTTTGGATGTTTTGTGTTTGTGTTTTTTTCTACAATTTCTCTCATATTTTCAAAAAAATGATGTTTTCAGGAGCTAAGTAATCTAATGAACTCGGAAGGCAATAGGACGCAATACGCTGATATCAGCATGGAAATCACAACTTTCTCGTTTGCGGCTGATGATACAATGGCCGCTTTCACCCCTCTTCCTCCTGAAAGTAAGAAATCCGGCGTCAGTAACGCTATGGCTGAAGAACTGAAACAGTTGCGACAGACTATTAGTCAGCTTGAAAAAGACAAGGTGGATCTGCATGAAAAGCTCAAAAGTACCGCTGACGAAAGAGAAGAGTATAAAGCATCCGCCGACGCCAAAAGCGTGGAGCTTCGTATAGTACATAGGGAATTGGTAAGTGGTGCGTTTCTACAGGATTTTTGATCTCTGAGAACCCAATCAGTCGAAAGGCTCATCGCTACTCTAATCTTTTTAGGCAGAAATTACAAAAACTAAGGAGAACGCGGAGAAGAGAGTTGCTAATTATGAATTTATTGTTGAAGACCTGAAAAAGAGGCTCAACTGTCGCAAGCAACAAGATTTGTACAGAAAGGTTAGGGGTGAATATTAAATTTGCTACTTTGTAACATCAACGAAATACAGGTTATCAGCCTTGAAGAAGAGATAAGGACGTGCCGTATTGCGAACAAAAATTTACTCGAGGAGAAGAATAAGGTAATAATATAAAACTGTGTTTTGTTGAGCATATATATTTCGACTATTAGGCTAAAGAAACTGTGTCGCAGGTCAATGACGAAAAACTCATGGTCGAGGAGAGACTCCAAAAGGCTATTTTTGAAAAAGACGCAACCGAGAAGCAGCTGCAAGATGAAAACGCTCTTTTGAGAAGAGAGGTTATACAAATGAAACTGGAGCTGGAGGCCATGAGACGAAATCATTCGGTAGAAATTTCTGAGATTCAAAAGGTAACCATATGCTATATATTAGGTTGAACCGAAAGTTCTGTCGCACCATTTTCAAAAAATCATAGCTTCTTTCGGTCATGACGGTTTTGCGCAGTTCAAATTTTGTCTGAAAGCGCAAAGCATGTAGTTTCTAAAAGCTCCCTGGGGAGTTTCTGATATGCTCAGGTGGCAGAGATAAAAATGAAAGAACGAGATCATCCGAAATCCGGAATTTTTAAGCAAGAATTCTAGAAATTCGGAGACAGTGCGGTAAAATCCAGAAAAGCCACTATCCTAATTTTTCTCACATTTGATTACTATCTGAGTCAAGTTTGTGCTGATCGAGGTCTTCTTTCAGAAGTTATGAATTTTTGAAAAATAATGCCGAAAAATCAATTTCCTAAGAGTTCTTAAGAAATGGATTTTTTGGCATTTTTTTCAAAAATTCATAACTTCTGAAAGAAGACCTCGATCAGCACAAACTTGACTCAGATAGTAATCAAATGTGAGAAAAATTAGGATAGTGGCTTTTCTGGATTTTACCGCACTGTCTCCGAATTTCTAGAATTCTTGCTTAAAAATTCCGGATTTCGGATGATCTCGTTCTTTCATTTTTATCTCTGCCACCTGAGCATATCAGAAACTCCCCAGGGAGCTTTTAGAAACTACATGCTTTACGCTTTCAGACAAAATTTGAACTGCGCAAAACCGTCGTGACCGAAAGAAGCTATGATTTTTTGAAAATGGTGCGACAGAACTTTCGGTTCAACCTAATATATGTTCATTTCACAATATGCTATATATATGTCCATTTCACAATTTGCGCCCTAGCTGTCTGTCGAAAAGTCTTCTCGCCAATATCTTCCGATTTTAAGGTACTTGTCGAGTCCAACCAAAAGCTTGCCGAGAAGGAAGCGTCCATATCCGACTTAGTGAAGGTGTCTTTTGCCCTCCTCCCTTCTCCCATTTGAAAATATACTTCCAACGTTCTCAAATTTATAGAAATGCGAAAGATTCGATAAGAGTGATAGGGAGTATAAGGAAAGAATCGCTATTCTGCAAAATGAAACTGAATTACTTAAAACGCAACTTGCTGAAGCAAAATCAGCCCGGTTGAACAAGAATGATGAAGCGCTGGAGGTATAGTAAGAATAAGATCGACAGACTTTCTTTACTTCTGTGTATTAAGGGGAAAGTAGCGACACTTGAGCGGGAGATTTTAAATGTGAAAAAGGTACTGACCGATTGGAACATGAAGGAGTAAGTTTCCAAGACTAATTTAATATATATTTTCAAACTATTTTTTCATAATGTGCAGGGCTACTTCATCTCAAGGAGATCCTCGGGTGCGTCGTCATTTTCGATTTTTTGAAATTTACATGTCCTATGAATCACTTTTCAGGAACATCGAACGAAGATTGAGCAGCTTTTAAAGAGACTGTGAGTGTTAGTTTTGTTAAGTTTTCTACCCATGTGTTTATCAACACAAATTTTAGCAGAAGCTTACGAAAGTAAAGCCGCCTTATCGGATCTCATTATTGGATTCTTGTGGCATATATTTGTGTGGTTTGTTATGTGGTTTTTAGTAAATAAAATTTCTGATTAGAAGTGTTCTGAAAGGTACGTTTCAGAGGCTCTCTCTTTCCAAACTATCAGGAGACTAGATTTCGCTTGTATAATCTTCCTGCCACTTCGTAGACGATTCGTTTTCAGATAGTACTTCAAGAGATGCGCACTTAAACCGCGAAGAGCGAGGACAAAATCTGCGGTATCGGAATGTGAACATGCGGAACTACAAAACCATGAGTGATGTTGTCAAGGTAACAATGACATGTGTTTCTAAAGCTTAAAGTTGATTTAGAAGAACTTTGCGAACATAGTTGTTGGCAAAGATACGGAGAAATGTACTTTGTTGTAAAGCGAGTGTTCTATTTGGTGCTGGTCCATGCCGCCATCCTGTGTGTATGGAATGCGGGATATGGATACAAGTTTTGTCGAATAATCGCCAATGTCCGGTTTGCAGGACAAAAATGGGGACGGTTAGTATTGTTATAGACCATGATTTCAAAATCATCGATTTTTATTTTATGAACATCTCACCAAATTTAGTTGTGCTTCCTTTTCGTTTCGAGCAACCTTGATGAGCATTCATTCTCTCTTCCATCCTTAAAACATCCCGATTAGGGTTGTTTCAGACTGCCGCACTGACTGCAGCAGACTGCCCGATCTTTCGATTATACGTCACACATATAATGCTCATTGTTCAGCAACGATGGCGAAAGATTGGAGTTTCCCACTTCTGTGGCTTTACGACATCATATGGCAAGTGTACATCAGTTAACATATTGTCACATATGTATAGAGAACATCATACAATTTTCTAGGTATGCCTTTCATAGGATATGTTTTTTTCATTCGATTCCATCGTATTTTTTAAGAGAAAGAAAAACTCATACCCGCGACGGACTTCAGAGACATATCCGTGCTAGGGATAGAGATGATAAAAGCCTCAGAGGTTTGTTTGTCAGTCTTTTCGAGTTTTTTCTTTCGCGTTCTTTCTGCTCATTATCGTTGCATGATTTTCGTATTTCTTCCACTGCTAGCTCTGAATTTGCTTCATTTTCCATTGTGCAACCATAAACCTCAGTTCAGTCTCCAATCCTTTGAACAGTGTCACCGCAATTCACCCACTCGCGTTTTCAGGTCACCCATCGTGCTTATTTTGCGAGCAGCGATTTTTCGACGAAGAGTTTAGGTATAGGCATCTTCTGAGAGAACATTTCTTTTGCCAATTTTGTGAAACGGAGGGGAAACAGATGAATGTTTTCTTCATAAGTCAAGACTATCATAATTTCCCCATTCAACTGACAGCCATCTAGAAACCATGGAGAGCTACTTGTTCATTTGAAGAGCAACATTTTTTTTTGCGAATTTGAGGAATGCAGTGTGCTTATTGCCTTCTCTAAGCAACTAGATCTGAATTTGCATAAGGTTGGCTTCTCATCTATGTCTCACTTCTGCATGAACATTTTCGTCGATCTATTCCAAAGACCATAGCAATTCGTGTGGGATTGGGCCTTGACTTTCAGTTTAATGATCGACAACTTGCCAGTCCATCACTGTGAGAGTATTTGGGGAAATGAAAGGGGTCATGTTGACCTGCAGATTTCCAGCATACGGCGCGAACCGCCCGCAGCTGTTTCAGTCGCTCGTGCGGACAAATTTGCTGTCGTTCCGCGTGAAGAACCAGTTGCTCCAGAAAGGTATGGCCACGACAAGTGCAGAGAATGAATTTTTTTTTTGGCGAAAGTATGCCAACTAAAGATAGTCCTTTTATTGTTTATTTGACAAACTTAGTCTCTTTTTAATCTGGCTATGTTTGACAACCGATGAGTGGTTGTCCTGTTTGGCGCAAAGTACAAGTCGTAGTCATGCAGTGAGATACAGTATTACTACAGCCTACACTCCACTCAACGAGGATTTTCCCAGTCTAGATCCAAGCCTTCCGGGCTCACGTTCCAATCCTGCTCTTACGGTACGTGTTCCCTAACTGTTCTCATATTCTTTCACGTACAGTCGAGTAGATTTAGCGGTAAATATAGTGTGCTTGCACAGAAGATGAAATGCGGTAAAATTTGCGCGTGAACAAGTAGCCACGCCAGTACTGCGGGCATCTTGCGCGCGCAATTAGCCGGCGTCACAGTCGAAGCTATTTCTTCACGTGCAAATCTCACCGCATTTCACCTTCTGTGCAAGCACACTATATTTACCGCTTAATCTACTCGACTGTATATTGCTCTATGCGGCCTGGATTGTCTGATTGATAATCAGTCTTCAGACCTTGCGTGTCGAAAACCTTCCGCGATTGAATCGTGTCAGTCATTCAGGCTGCAAAACAAAGGTGCAAAACAAGCTCACCAGAATGGTGCTGTCCCCAGTGGATCGCGGCAACAACCACAGTAAGTCTTTTTACACCCTTTTTGCCTCCGATAAACTACGGCAAAACCTATGTATTGCACTTTCGCATCACAACAGCGGGGTGAAGGTTCATTCGTCAGCTTTTACAAACAGTAATGGGACACGTCCCAACAACACTAGCAACAAGAATACAACCAAACGAAGCCATTTCAAGCTCAATCATATGCCCGACATTCCATAGGATAACACGCACAAATTCCGTGATGTGAGTAGACAATGGTGAATGCACACCCATGGCTGTACATAACAGATAACAGCTACGCAAGGTTATTTGTATATCCTCAATTTATCCAAATCTGTTGGGTGTAGTGATAAAAGACGAACATTCGCTCCTAAGTAAGAAAGCGGTGATAGTAAGGCGATGGTGGCTTACAACATAGTGGTGCTGGTTCCAGCAGTATTATTGAACACAAAACAGGTATTTCCTATAATATCGACTATGTATGCAGTTCTATCTATCGTTGTCTGGTAATCCTGCGAGTCCACTTCATTTGTGCCTCATCCAAGAAAGGAATTGCGATCGCATCTCTACCAGCGACGATTGTCTGCCTTGCCCATGCAATCGTGACCCATTCCAATCCATGCAATTTCGTTTGGACTGTCCCTGCAAAATTCTAAAGGCCCTCATGGGTTCGTGCCTGAAAAACGCAACACTCATTCACCCCAGAGAGAGGGTTGATCCTTAGTTGGAGAGGGATTGCGTCCCCGCTGCCACCTGTCTCCGCGTCGATATCAACGTCTGCGTGTAAGTCAGTAATCAGTACGGTACTCAGCAGGACCATACGTGGAGTTTGCATTCCATGCCGTGCTTCAGCTGTGACTTACTGTAGGATAACCAACGAGAGCATGTTCCGCGTCAGCGGCCTCGGCCCGGGTGGGTGGGTGGGTCCTTAGCTGACGAAAGACCGGAGTGGCTCCGAAAGTGCCAAGCACGCGCTTGTAACAAGCCCTGTTGGCACACTGCAGCTGTTGCGAAATCGCAAAACTCCACTTTTGCCTCCGATAAACTACGGCAAAACCTATGTTTTGCACTTTCGCAACACAACAGCGGAAAGAGTTAAAGCCCGAGGGTAAATGAGCGGGACGATGAAGAATCGAACTGTCATCTCAACTTTGTAGGCCCTGTATTCACATTGCTTTCCGCCATACTAAACAACGGCTGGCTGACAACTGCATGAACCTTTATCCCACCAATGGTGGATTCTTTAGTGCAAGCCGTTGCTGACCCGCTGCTGCGGGTTCTTGACGTACTTGCAGGACGTCTCTGCCGTTGCTGCTGTCGAAGTAAACTGCTGTGATTCTCATCAGTATTGTCGACCTGCTCATCAAAAATGACGCTCCGCAAGTTTTGGCGATTCTGATGATGGCGTATCAAAACCAAGCTCTTTTCCTAGTCAGCTTCAATGCGGAAGGACATTTTTTTTTGTTTGCCATTTGCAGCTGAGCAAGGTGTTGCTCATAATCTGCACAATATTCGTCTATATGAGATCCAATGAAATCAACCTCGCGGCTATACGTATCTGCTTCCAGCTGACAATCTCTCCACTTCTCTCAACCCTACTTGTTCTCTTCGACCATTTTAGACACGAAATGAATCCAAAGATGCTTGCTGTCTGCTTTGCATGAAGATTGATACGGCTGTTCCATGCTCTGCGGATACGCGCTCTACAAACTTGTTGCAACATTGCCATCGATTCATTCACAAATTCTAGCTAGCAGCGAACCCGAGACATTCTCAAACTTCTAACACTGCTGCAGCCCTCGACCACAGCAAGTCAAAAAGACGTTTCGTTTTACCGCCTTCTTGTCTCCTGCATCAACGCATGTGACTCCTCCACAGCATAGGAAGTCAATCTCAAGCCGCATACACGTACTAACAAACTCATTTATTCCCGGCAAAAAATAGTCACGACCCTGCCTAGGCCTGATCAAAAATCAAAGCATTGTTAAATAGAGAGGACTACATAGTGGCATTCAAAGGTTGGTTAAACTTACGGCTGTGAACTTGCTGCTCCAGTGACTAGAAAGGAGCTTCGTCGGACTGCATTGCAGAGCGTTCCACCACTGACTCCACTCGGTACTCTTGTTATCAACCTTCACTGTACTGACAGTGAAGCTCAGGATCCCGGCACTGTAGAGCATACACTCAAGACACTAACGAAGGTGGCACCTACTTATGTTTTCGCAAGCAGCGAAGGCCAAGTACGCAAAAATGGTAGCACAAAGTTGATCCTCTAGCTGTCATAACAACTCATCCCTTACATAGCCCACGTACTATATCTAGCCAGAGAGCCCTGGATCGACTCGATAAGCTCCTCCAAAAAAATTATTAAAATTTGTATCTTGACCTTATAAGCCTCGCTATCGGCTTGTAAGACAGGTTCCAAGGACCTAGCCCGAAAATACCGGCATGGCAAGCACTCTCCATCTCGGGTCAACTCGACATCCAGTATCCACGAGAACCTTCTCTTCACAAAAGCGGCGCCGATGTTTTCGCGGCGCCGACGCCTTTCCTGACATTTGAGTCAAGAATCAAGAAAATTTGTACCTCTCGAAGCAGGCGCGCTCCTACTCGAAATTACACCACGAACTTCCGAAAGCTCAGTGAGATCTGGGTTACAAGTTTATTGTTGGCATACTAAAAAGCAAAATTTTTACCACAACTTCTAACATTTCACTAGCTTTGAATCAGGACTCTGGAACCACGGCTTCGCAAAACCTGCATCGACTCTTACTCCAACTTTCGATTTCACTACCTACATCTGAATTAAGATACAAAATCTAGGTCTCACTGAGAGCGAAGCTTTTTCTTACAACTTCCGACATCTCACTACCTTGCAAACCTCCGACAGCACTACCAACATTCGAATCACTCAGAAAACCTGGGAATCTCGGCTTCACGCAGCCGGCATCGAACGCTTTACTCAAACCGTTATCGTTATCAGCATTGAATCAAGATTCAGGGAATCTCGGCTTCACGCAGCCGGCATCGAACACTTTACTCAAACCGTTATCGTTATCAGCATCTGAATCAAGATTCAGGGAACCTCGGCTTTACGAAGCCGTCATCGAACACCTACTCGAACCACCGCCCTTTCTACCAGCATCTGAATCAAGATTCAGGGAAACTCAGCTTCACAAAGCCAGTAATAAGCACTTTACTCAAACCGTTATCATAGCATCTGAATCAAGATTCAGGAAACCTCGGCTTCACGAAGCCGGCATCGAACACTTACTCGAACCACCGCCATATCACTGCCGGCATCTAACAAGATTCAGGAAATCTCGATTTTACAAGTCAGCCTCGAACCTTTTACTCCAAGCTCCGCCAAGCTACTATCAGCATCTGAATCGAGGTTCAGGGGACCTCGGCTTCACGAGGGCGGCAACGCACTCTTTACTAGAACCCTTTACTTCAACATTCTGCTGTCACATCTGAATCGAAATAGAATTTGAGCTTGACCAATCCACACTTTTACTGCGCTTCCGGTATCTCACTTCTGAATTGGGATTTAAGTCGGTATCACGAATCCGTTACTGATCTCCTTACTTGAACCATGGACATATCTCTACCCATCTCCGAGCCAAGATGCATGTTTACACGGCGTCGAGAGGCCGGCGTTCCCCATACAATCCTCAGGTAACGTATGCGTAGCGCTCGATCGGTTCACTCCCAGTTCTTGAGTAAAATCCCGACAGCTTCTAGTTAAAGCACAACTACCTAGAGCCTTTCATCCCTCAATCATGGCAAGGAGTGGCGCAAACCATAAGTGATAACGTCTGTCGATTAGTAGAGGCGATGTATACAACCCTCTGAAAGCGATGTTCCCAAGCAAATGCAGTTGCAGCAATGCAGCCCAGTTCAATGCACTGCTAGCTCGAGTGCATTGAACTGGGCTGCAGAAGAGTGTACATGAACTCAACGAATGATAAACTCTTTGAACCGGTGACCGATAATGGCCTATTCCTCGCATATGAACGTAACTAATTAGGACTCCGCATCAGTTTCCTCAATGTGTCCACTTTCTGGTTAGCATCAACGCTGCACGGTAGATTAGAAGAACAGCAGCTACCCAAAGAAACTGATATCACGCACAGTAGCGCTCAGCACGGTAAAGATAGTATGATCACTATCTCGAACAGATGGAAGAATGAAGAAAATGGGACACGTGCAGACACAGATACATGAAAGTCTCAACTTGGAAAATGACAAGACCTGCGAACTGAACAGCCTTACTAAATAAGAAACCCGTTAGCGATATATAAGCTTTCCAAGAAGCATAAGCAAAGCTGCTTTTGTGCTCATCGTCCACACTGATGACACCATTGTGAAACACTGCACTCACAATGGCTGGCGACCAACTTGATCGTCCTTACATCAAACTGTAAATAGATACCTAGCATCCTGTTCGTCTGCATCTGGCACCAAGGTCATCCATTTTTCTTTCACCACACAGAGTAGAAGAGCATCGGCATGCCTATCCTTAGCTGGCGAAAGACCGGAATGGCTCCAAAAGTGCCAAGCACGCGCTTGTAAACAAGCCCCGCCCTATTCGCGTGCTTGGCACACTGCCAGAGCTGTTGCGAAATCGCAAAACTCCACTTTTTTGCATAGCTTTCTCGGAATTTATTTGATATTAGTGAACCAGTAATCTAAAGGTGCTATTTGGAAGAGCATTCGCTTCAAGACCGCCACGCAGTTTCTCGCTATTTGCAGATTTTTGATTGGCGCTTACTTCTTTATATATCTATCTACCTCACCGCCACGCGGTTGTTCGCTATTTGCGGATTTAATAGCGGGAAACCGCGTGGCGATCTCAGCGCGCGGATACAATCTAGCACCTTTAATTGCTGGTTCACTAGTGAGTGCACAAAATATTGTTAATTTCAAGGATAACATAGAACTACTGAAGAAAAACTTTTCCGTTATCGGGATTCCCATTTTTTCAAAGAATGATATTGTTCTATTCTAGACCATATTTTGTCTCAGCTTCACATGAAGGAGTCGACCTTCTTCTGCCACGCGTCAAAAAAATTTGACATGCATCTCATGTTTAACAGGTTTTACCAAGAGTTTGTTTTATTTCACCTAGCGATTTAGGTTAAGTCTCTTTCTTAGTTAATTTTGACCGCATTTCAACCAAACAGTTCTAAGGTGAATATTGTCGTAATAACAACAACCATGAACAGATTAGACTTGCTTAGGATAGAGAAGTGCGCTAGGATTCCGTCATTTGAGAGGCGAAATAAGCAGCAGCAAGATACTTCAAGCTATTATTTATAGCCTTTTCGGCTAAATTCGCATGGCGAAAAGGATTTGGAGAGAAACACTTTTTGAATTAGTGCTGAAAGCAAGCAAGATGGCTCTAGAATAAGTTCATGATTGTTTTGTGCTTAGATAAAACAGTTAGACAGTTTTGAAATGATCACAAATTATATTCTATCTCACCGGAAATGTTTTCAAAAAACTTGTCAAAATGGACCAAAATGTGTCAATTTTTTCGTGACACGTGACAATGAGACAGTCCTCCTAAAATCTGCAAAAAAAAAATGTTCTTAGACAAAAAACATAATATGAGAGCCTTTTGAAAAATGGGCCCGGTTTACGGAATAGTACCGGAGAAAATGAAGGAAAAGAGAAATGAACAGTGGTTAAATAGAGAAAAGAACGTGGAAAGGGAAAAAGCAAAGGTGATTTTGCTTTGTATAAGTCTCTACTTTTCTCATTGGAAAGACAGGGTCCCCAGGAATCGGGTTTTTTGTGAATTTTGGAGAGCTTGAAGTTCGGAACTGTAATCGGGGCCACGGAAAGGTCCCAAAATGACGAAAACATGGGAGGCCAAATCTGGGTGGAAGCTGCCTTTAAAAGCAGCGTCCAGGCAAGTCTGGAACTATGGATTTTACGTGGAAAGTACTTTTGGGGCCCTCACTAAGGCACTGCCCAAGCGGCAGCTCAGGTAGTGCCCTAACGGCTGAGGTATTCCCCTCGAAACGGGACCCCGCGACCGCGTTTCGCATGTATTCATGGCGCAAAGCGTGGATCCTGGCGCGAAACTGCCATGAATCCATGCGAATACGTTCGCGGGGGCCAGTTTCGAGGGGAATATCTCAGCCATTAGAGCACTACCTAAGCTGCCACTTGGGCAGTGCCTTAGTTGGGGCCCCAAAAGTACTTTCCACGTAAAAGCCCCACAGGTCCAGATCTGCCTGGACGCTGCCTTTAAAGGCAGTAGACCGGCAGAATGAGACCCGTGACAAAACAAGGTCACAGGGTAGGAGCCCCCATATGGAACTTATTGGCCAAAGTCCGATCTTTCTCTGCCACTTCTAAACTCCGAAATTTCAAAGCGAAAGCAGCGCTCATCTCCTGTCCTCTCCGAACCCGCCCACCCCATGGACGAGTGAACACGAAGCTCGTCATGGCGAAGACGCAGAGTCGTTGCGGGACCTCATGTTTATAGCATTGCGGCTGGCGCTCTGACCGCGGAAGTCACTCGTCCATGGGGTGGGCGGGTTCGGAGAGGACAGGAGATGAGCGCTGCTTTCGCTTTGATTTTGGGGGTTGGAAGTGGCAGAGAAAGATCGGACTTTGGCCGATAAGTTCCATATGGGGGCTCCTACCCTGTGACCTCGTTTTGTCACGGGTCTCATTCTGCCGATCTACTGCCTTTAAGAGGTGCGGTAGTACGATACGGAGTCAAAGCCATACTTTCAGCTCTTCTGAAGAGCAGCATCCAAGAAGGAGATCTCGATGGGGAACTGAGAGGTTGTAATCCTTGACAAGGTCATCCTTATACACGTTACGCTCCACTCAAAGATTTACATGGGAACAAAACTTTTGTAAGGTAGGACAGCAAAAGCTGCTTCCATCCGACAGGACAGAGCAAGGGAATAAATGAAAATTTCAGAAAAAATCAATAATAAGTTGAGGTTATTTTTGGGTAAGCTAAGTTATGCGCCCTAACGGAATGGTCAGAAATCGAAGTGGCCAGTCCAAACAAACTGCATAGCAGTGGATGCGGCATAAGACGGTTCGAATCTGTATTCCATATCTGCAGAACGTTTTTGTAGGCGAGGTTATGAGCCGTTGAAAGCTATCATTTTGCTAAGAATCGTGCATGCAATGCGCAAATTTGGTACGGAGCCATATTCGCTTAATGCTGAGCCAAAACATGCACTCAGACAATTATTGCGAGCACCCGCGGCCCTAACGTTACCTTTCGGGGGTGCGCGGGCGATAATTTTTGGACTGACCATCCGCGGCTCAATGTTATTGCTAGGAACAGGCCGCGGGCCTCCAAAGTTTTATCGGAACACCCGCGGCCCAAGAAAAAACACTCGGGCGAGCCTCGGACCCTGTCGGGCGCACTGCATATTTAGTTCTCGGACAATCCGCGGCCCTTTAGGCGACTGCCCGACAATATCACTCCGGCGAGCCCCGAGTCTTGCTGGACGCTACAATTGATATATGCTGTAGAAGAGAACGCTACTGGCGTGAGATACGACGCGGTGATAGGGCTACCTCTAGCATTTGCGTCGTAAGTGAAATAGCGTCAAGTTCCTTGTCATCAATAGTGTCTTGGATGAACCCCACAGGACCATCTTGATCTTGGGACCAGGAGGGCTGTCGTAAGCTCTGGTATAGTGTGGACCTCGGCCAGGTTCTCATATGTACCTCCGCAGCGCGCGCACTTTTGACGCTTCTCATCTCATATGAACGAAAAATCATTTTCAAGATGAGATAGGAGTGAGACAAGAAGTGGAACCCCCTGTTCTCACCTCGAGAAAAGCTTAAGCAGAAAGAAAAACGCGTCCAGCTTCCACTAACACCTGGTTCTTTGTCATTCTCATGCATACTAGTACAAAACTACCACTGACGGGTGAAAATCGTAGAAATAGCGGAAAGAGGATTACTTTTGGAATGACTCTTCTGTAATCATTGAAAAACTAAAAGCATAAGCTGGAGAGCGTAATTATACAAGCTGAAGCTTCAGTGCCGCATTAAAAACGGACTAAAAGATTTAGACAAAACTAGCTCAATCGGATAGATACGTTCCTATACAAAACAAACTCAATCGAATGAGATACATTTGGTCCGTGATAGAAACTCTGAAGAGAAATCTCTTCAAAATATACTTAATCCTCATTGCGGAGGAAAATAACGAGAGCTTTGAAATAGAAGCTTTCAAGATTAAGGCTCGTAAAAACTTGTCATCATCAGCTGGTGTGGTTCGCTTAACCCTGAAAGAAAGAGATTACAGAAAAAACAAAGCAAAGTTAAAAAAGAGAGGAACGCATAGAAACTAATAGGTCCTGGGACGAAAAGAACACTGAAGGCATGCACTGCGTTCGCGGCGCGGAGGTGCATATGGCTGGCCGGGGTCCACACTATATATTAATCGTGGCTTCCATGCAAGGCCAAAGAATATGAACAGGGTTCATAAAAAATTTCAGATTTTGCGCCCGCGGGTGCATATTGCGCGTTTACTGGGCGCTTCCCGAGCGACCCGCTGCCGTTGTTCGGGCGCTTGTCGGGTCATCCGCGGGCATTGTCGGGCGCTTACCGTGCACTTATCGGCGCGCCATCGGGATGGACGTGGGTGGCCGGCGGGTGCTCTCTATGATTGTCCGAGCAGCTAGATTACTTCATACTCTTAAAGCCTAAAGATGAGCTGAAAGTGCAACAACAATGTGCTCAATTTCGCAATTTTTATGTGCAATTCCTTCGCTGTGAAGCTGCCTATACCTTCGCCTACAAAAGCATTCTGCAGATTCGGAAGACAGACTTGAAATCAGCGTTGTATGTTGCATTGTATGATATGCGTCTTGCTTGAATTGGCCACTTCGACTTCTGACCGTTCCCTTATAAGATGAGCCGTTCTTGTTGGAAATTGCGAGTGTGCGTAGAGTTGTGCAATTGCACGGGGAACGGAACTTAGGTCCCCTGACAGCCAACTAAGATGTAATTTCGGAGGTCATGAGTTGTCAATAACGATAATTAACACATCTGCGGAGCGCATGCTAGGCCCCGCTTCTATCCAGATACCTTTCGCAACCTAGCAGAGGTCCACCAGGACGCGCCCCGTGATAATGAAAGGGGGATTTCGAACAAAATTGAAATGCAAAGTTCAGTATCGAAATTTCGCCAAACGAAATGAAAACTTGGATTTAGGGGTTTTCAAGTACGCTCTTTTCAAATATGGAAATCCCATCTGCCTCAAAGTTCATCACGGACCGCTTACTAAGAATGAAACAGGGAATTTCATACAAATCGCCTTTGAAAATTCAGTATTGAAGTTTCACCAAACAAAGTGAAAACTTGGACTTAAGGGTTTGGTTTTCAAGTACGCTCTTTTCAAATATGGAAATCCCATCTGCCTCAAAGTTCACCACGGACCGCTTACTAAGAATGAAACAGGGAATTTCATACAAAATGCATTTGAAAATTCAGTATTGAAGTTTCACCAAACAAAGTGACTTGGACTTAGGGATTTTCCAAATATGTAGAGAATTTTTCATAAGAACATGTACAAGGTTTGTAAAAAAAAGTTCAGTTTTTTGTATCAAATTTCAACCAATTAAAAAAAGAAAACACAAACAGATTTTTTCAGTGCTGCTTGTGGACGGAGTTTATTTGGGTCAAACAACCTCAGGCAAGTCCATAGGATGTAACGGTAAGTTACTGCGTTCAATTCTTTCATCGATTAGTCTGTGTTCATATATTTCATATAATTATTTTATCTCTATATATCTATATATTCATATATTGCTCAGCAAATGTACTTAGATGGTCTTCTCCGATACGAATTTTGACATCTCTGCTATTTATACGAAAACTTCTGCTATTTATACGAAAACTGTCGCCTGAATCCGCCTTTTCAGCCTTTCTTTGGCATAAAATCGCCTAGTTTCACGTTTTTAACCTTGTTTTGCCATGAGTAACTGCTCATTGCTACAGGCAGTAAGATCGAATTCCTGTTCGCACCTCAAATTATTGTCCATGGCTGGACGAACTGTGATCATGGTGTCTCTATGTCTTTGTTCCATTCATTATCACTTACCTGAGCGTAATTTTGTTTTCATGGAATTTGCCACTGTAAAAATTTTGATACTCGGAACGGTGAAGCATCAAAATAATTCCACTAGCTGATACGATGAAATTCTATGATATCTACGATATGTTTTTTTTGAATTGGTTGAAATTTGATACAAAAAAAGAATTTTTTTTACAAACCTTGTACATGTTCTTATGAAAAATTCTCTATATATTTGGAAACCCCCTAAGTCCAAGTCACTTTGTTTGGTGAAACTTCAATACTAAATTTTCAAATGCATTTTGTATGAAATTCCCTGTTTCATTCTTAGTAAGCGGTCCGTGGTGAACTTTGAGGCAAATGGGATTTCCTATTTGAAAAGAGCGTACTTGAAAACCAAACCGCTAAGTCCAAGTTTTCACTTTGTTTGGTGAAACTTCAATACTGAATTTTCAAACGCAGTTTGTATGAAATTCCCTGTTTCATTCTTAGTAAGCGGTCCGTGGTGGACTTTGAGGCAGATGGGATTTCCATATTTGAGAAGAGCGTACTTGAAAACCAAACCCCTAAGTCCAAGTTTTCACTTTGTTTGGTGAAACTTCAATACTGAATTTTCAAACGCAGTTTGTATGAAATTCCCTGTTTCATTCTTAGTAAGCGGTCCGTGGTGAACTTTGAGGCAGATGGGATTTCCATATTTGAAAAGAGCGTACTTGAAAACCCCTTATCTGAATTTTGGTGTGGTTCCCCGCTTTCCTTCATATATTCTAGGTTCGTAATTGAAATGCTAATGAAAAACGCAAAAAATCGATAAATCGATAATCTCCCATGCCTGATTTTCGCTGAAAAAGCGTAGTGACACTCGTCCCGTCCCAGAATTCATATATCTGAAATTTGGTGTGGTTCCCCGCTTTCCTTCATATATTTTAGGTTCGTAATTGAAATGCTAATGAAAACGCAAAAAATCGATAAATCGATAGTCACCCATGCCTGATTTTCGCTGAAAAAGCGTAGTGACACTCCGTCCCAGAATTCATATATCTGAAATCTGGTGTGGTTCCCCGCTTTCCTTCATATATTTTAGGTTCGTAATCGAAATGCTGAAAAACGCAAAAAATCGATAAATCGATAGTCTCCCATGCCTGATTCTCGCTGAAAAAGCGTAGTGACACTCCGTCCTAGAATTCATATATCTGAAATTTGGTGTGGTTCCCCGCTTTCCTTCATATATTTTAAGTTCGTAATTGAAATGCTAATGAAAAACGCAAAAAATCGATAAATCGATAGTCTCCCATGCCTGATTTTCGCTGAAAAAGCGTAGTGACACTCGTCCCGTCCCAGAATTCATATATCTGAAATTTGGTGTGGTTCCCCGCTTTCCTTCATATATTTTAGCGTAATTGAAATGCTAATGAAAAACGCAAAAAATCGATAAATCGATAGTCTCCCATGCCTGATTTTCGCTGAAAAAGCGTAGTGACACTCGTCCCGTCCCAGAATTCATACATCTGAAATTTGGTGTGGTTCCCCGCTTTCCTTCAAACATTTTAGCTGTCTTTCTTGAAATTGCTAAGCAAAAACACTAAAAAATCGAAAAATCGATAGCCTCCATGCCTAGATTTCGCTGAAAAAGCGTAATGACAAACATCCTTTCCCGATCTTCATAATTCCGTAGTTTGGTGTGGTTCCTCGCTTTCCTTCAAACATTTTAGGTCAGTCTTTCTTGAAATTGCTTACAAGGGAATGGTCAGAAATCGAATTTGCCAATTCAAGCAAGCTGCATACCATTCGATGCAGCATCAAATGCTGATTTCAAATCTGTCTTCCATATCAGAGTGCAGAGCGCCTTTGTAGGCGAATTTATGAGCACCCTACTGCAAAAAAATCGTATACAAAAATTGCGAAATTAGGCACATTATTACTCTTTCAGCTCATCTTTAGGTACTTGTCATATGAAGTGACCTAGTTGCAAGTTTTAGTCCAACACTGAGCCGTGAATGGGTTTTTACGGCCAAGTTCGCACTTTACACGCACAATTTCTTAGCAAAATAGTGTCCTCCAATGGCTTATAATTTCGTCCACAAAAGCGCTCTGCAGATAAGGAAGACAGATTTAGAGTCAGCGTTTTACGCTGCATCTAATGGTATGCAGCTTGTATAAATTGGCCACTTCGACTTCTGACCATCTCCTCGTATGCAAAAACACTAAAAAATCGATAAATCGATAGTCTCCATGCCTGGATTTCGCTGAAAAAGCGTAATGACAAACATCCGTTTCAGATATTCATAATTCTGAAGTTTGGTGTGGTTCCCCATGCATGTCACGATCTCTTCATTTTTCGCAACAGTCAACCTCATTACAACTGCGGCAGGAGGGCTTTTCTTCACACGTGTGATTGCCAAGTTCTTGTGTTTTCATGTGTAAAATACTTAGGTCTATATACAATTTACCTTTTAGAGACTCTCTAGCGGCAACAGGCATTTTGCAGGGTAGCCGCAGTGGCACGCGGGCAAGCTAGTGTTTTGCTCAGAAACGGGACTCAAGGTTTTACCGTTTCAATGCGTGCTTCTCATTTTTTTCATGCAGAATCAGGAGCAATGACTGCTTTTTGTAGGAATAGTATGGCTGAGAAGCCAGCCCGTGTGTAGTAGTGTAATCGCGTGCCTGTCGCCGTTAGACGCATTGTAGAAGTCGCTTTTACGTTGTAGTGATAGGCAAACTTAGTAGCTAGAATTCACGGATTTATTATCTCGCATAAATAAAGAATGACATCTACTGACATAACGCGCTCGTAAGAAAATCTCACAAGATTGGAGAATGCACCATTCATTATATATTACAATATATTAAGAAAAAGTTTATCGTCAAGTCACAACTCACTTAAACTGTGATACTCTTTCTACATTCAGTAGCGTCTAAAACGTGTGTACATATCTTGCTGCAAATCCGGTTTAATCGCATTTGCCAATGGATCAACAGCAATCAAGACGGGAAGCTGGCATTGCACTGGTGAAAAGTAGCAGTTGCGGTACTTCTGTGAATCAGTCTCCTTTCTAGAAAAAAAAAATCTTTCCGGCAATAGGATATGCTTCGCGAAAACTCTTCCTCTATTCAGTATATTTGGAAGGCCTTTTTACAAGCAGCAGTCATTGTGGGTGATTCCAAAAATCATAGTATGTATGGCTTTGGATGTCCGTGCTCCCTTCCTTCTTTGTTGAGCTATTTTGAGCAAGTTTAGTCGTGGTTTCAAGTAATAATGGATTATATACATAACGATGTCAACACAGGAAGGACTGGTTGCAAGTTGATAATTTGTACAGCACAACTAAAAAAGCTCGTGAAGCACACAAAGATTTTCTCTAAAATGTCCAAAATTGCGATCCCTTTTTCGCGAATTGGCAATGGTCAATTGACCTGAGTACATAAATGACGGTACCCCGCTTTATACGAGTTTTCATAAAAGCTAGATTGTTTTTGTTTTTCTAGTTAACACTGTCGAGACGCAGACTAGGAGATGGTCCGACAGTCTTCACCCCATCTGGGCGGTCCCACCAACTCCAGATGAGTTGTGCCGAAAAGGATGACCGTCGGCTTTCCATTCCCTTTTTCGCTTTGAGCGCTTCATGCGCAGAACATGTTATCTAAACTGTCCTAGATTTATGATTAAACTCACTTTCTAGCCAGAGCGTTGAGCATTGCAAGCTTTTTTCGCAGTCTCGTCTGGGCCCAGTACCTGTAAGACGACTGAACTCATCGAACTGTAAAACAAAATAATAAGCTATTGTATGTGAAGTAGGATAGTGTTATAGGATACTATTAAGTTGTCCCGAAAGTTTTGTCCGTTTTTTCAACCTATCATAAAAACTCGTGAAGCAAAGATAGAGAAACGCTCTAAGCACTACTCGACGCATCTTTTCCTCCTCTTTCTAACTGTCATGATCCTCATTTCGATCTGCTTACTGAGATAAGGGCCAAAATTTCGAACCCTTGGTTTTTACTATGTCCAAGTTTGGCAATTTTTCACAATCTTCATTTTAAATTTTTGGAAGTCCTTTGATAGCGCTCAAATAGAGTAGACAAAGGGCAACGCAATGCAATTTTGCGGCATCTATAGTTACAGTCGAGTAGATTTCCTGCTTAATATAGTGTCCCTGCAGACGCGACAATGCTGAGGCGTCAATAAATGCCTTGCGAGTCCCCGGACTAGTGTTTTTCATTGTTTTCTTTGCTTATTTCATGCTTTTTAGTTGATTCGTTGCTGATAAAGAGAAAAAGGGTGAGTTAAAGAGTAGTTTCTGTTTTCTGAGAAGTTCTGTCATCGCATATTCACAGATATTCACGTGGAAGCATTTCGCGTCAGCTTCTTGTCTATTTTTTTCTGTCATTTCCTTTTCTTCTGTCTCTTCTTCTTTCAAACCTCATCCTTATTGTAAAGCGTTTCTTTGAATGCTAGTTGGCTTGCCTTGCAGCAATTTCGGCTTTCATCCATAAGAAATAGCATTTTAATCAGTTACTTCATGTGATAAAGATAATAAGTCAATCGTAAAAACCCACTAGCATTCAAAGAAGTACCTCACACGAAGAAAGAGACATGAATTGACAGAAAAATAGACCAGAAGCTGACAAGCGAAATGCTTCCATGTGGATATATGTGAATATGCGATGATAGAACTTCTCAGAAAAGAGAAACTACTCTCTAACTTACCCTTTTCTTCTTTATCAGCGACGAATCACCTAAAAAGCATAGAATAAGCAAAGAAAACACTGGAAAACACTAGTTCGGGGACTCGCAAGGCATTTATTGACGCCTCAGCGTTGTCGCGTCTGCAGGGACACTATATTAAGCAGGAAATCTACTCGACTGTAGCCTTTAAAAATTTTTTAGAATTATTTTTCTGATGCTATCAAATTCCACTTTTGGGATGCCATGAAACATAGAACATAAAACGGCGCACAACTAAGGTGTCATTCGATGCAGCTTTTTCTCCTCTTTCCAGTGAGTGTATTTTTCCTCCAATTTGTGGGGTCTTTAGCGGTAAAATTTCAATAGTTAATGAATTTGTCCCCGCCCTAGCGTGTACCGTAGAATGCGAAATCTTATATTTCGAAGCGGTAAACGCTCAGTTGCTTTATAAAAATAGTGAATAATCGTAATTGATTTTTAAAAGCTTCAAAATCCGATGATTTGTTAGTGTTCGAGGCGTTTCTGTATTTTGGACTTCCCAAAAGTGAAGACTTTTGGAAAAATTATCTTGAATAATACTGAAATGCAAGCTGGACAAGCTAAAATTATTGCATTGCATTGCACTTTGTTTACTCCATCTGGGCGCTATCAAAGGACTTCTTAAAAGTTTAAAATGAAGATTGTGAAAAATTGCCGAACTTGGACATAGTAAAAACCAAGGGTTCGAAATTTTGGCCCATATCTCAGTAAGCAGAAGAGTAATCGAAATGGGACCATAACAGTTGAAAAGAGGAGGAAAAGATGCGTCGGGTGGTGCTTAGAACGTTTCTCTACCTTCGTTCCACGTGTTTTTATGGTAGGTTGAAAAAACGGACAAAACTTTCGGGACAACCTAATATATACTACATACTATATATTGTGTCTTTCCGAGATTAACTTCGCTCATTTGAAGCGGCACATTTCGCGAAAGAAAGATTTTTCAAGAGATCTTGACATAATTCGATGCAGTATTTCCTCCTATTTCATCATGACTTCATTGCAATATAACACATGAGCTCCAAGTAGATTACCAAAGTCTGCAACCCATGCTTTTTGAAAAAGTCAAGTTTCGCTTCCTTTCTAAATTTTTGTGCCATCCCTTCGGAGAAACCCAACAGACGGGTAGAGCAGACCCTACCGGATACAAGATTCTCCTTTTCGTATCTCGTCACAGTTTTTAATGGAGTTGTTATCAAACCACTCAATTTTGACAGGCCTACGTTAAACACAAAAGCATCAAACACTGATAAATCTTCGGAATTTGAAACTTTCGAAAGGCTTCGTCGATTTTTGTTCTACCAGTTTTGAGTAGACCTAATATAGGAATTGATAGCATGGAAAAAATTCTTTCAATTATTATGAAATTTGTGAGAAAAGAAGTGAATTGCTTTGTATCCTGTAGGGTTTGTTCTATACGTCCAGTACTTGAACGTCTTTGAGTGAACGGTGCAAAAATTTAGAGAAATAGCGAAAGTTGACCATGGAACTATGGGTCTAGTCTTCGGTATTTTTCTGAGAGCTCGGGTCAAATTGGAATGCAATCATAACCATTCAAAAGAGGAGGAAAAGTTGATCGAATGCAACTTACAATAAGATGTTCCGAGAATCTTTGATCTGCGTTGTGGCGCTTGAAAAAAGCGAAATCACTTGCGGAGCTACCTACTAACTGTGTTATAACTTTTTCTGCAATCAACTCAATTTAGTTCAGACACGATGATCTAATCCTGATTAGAGCTATAATATCAGAAGGCCGCCCCTCCCCGCTCCTCCTTCTCTCCCGTTCCCTTAAAAAAACTTTAAGAATTCAAATTCACTTTAGAGAAGCTTTTTTGGAACTTCTGAAAAGCATTCCAAAAATTTTTCCTACTGCGTCACTAACGCCACACTATTCATCCGAAAAATTGTTTGTGCCTCCTCCTCGAAAAATCTCCTGAACCTCCACAGCGGGAAGGTTGTGTATATAGCAATATCGGTCGAGAAAATTTTTCGGATGGGGCGGAGGGGGGGGGAGGGAGACAATTGTCCTTTTGCCTTTTCGAAAGACTTTTCTGGCTTTAGCCATGCTCTTCGAAGTATTTAAGATGCTTTTCATTTTTTGCAGGCGAAACAAGTCATTGGCACGTTTTTGTGTATCAAGTAGGTCTTCATCAAAATCTCCTCCAAAAATTTTTCTTTCCGCCCCACCCACTGCCTCCCCGGTCCGCCATTGATACATACAAATAAATATTACATGTGCACACTATTTAATCTAGTACCTTTGTTAATCTAATAGCTTTCGCAGTTCTCAAGAAGCCATTCTGTAGCGTTTGCTTCAACTTAGGTGTACAGTTTGGAGCAAATCATCGATCGCCCTTCATTACGGTATTGTTACAATGGGGACTTTCCGCATATGGAGCCATTGTGAGATAATAGGCCATTTAACAAAGAATTTTCAAAAATTCTGAAAAATTGTGTGGCGGATTTTCTCGCATGCTGATACACAAAACTTTTTACGAGTGTTAAGAGCTTTTTCAGCGATGTAATCGCATTTTTGATATAACTTGAGTAATTTTTGAAAGAGGCTTCATGTAAAAGCACATATTTCATATCTAAAATGAGCAACCTTGATTAGCCCAGTAGAAGAGTTTTGGCCTGGCTTTTTTTTGAAACAAAATGGTTTTAAATGGGCTAAACCCTCCCTAAACTTCCTACCGTAATCGTACGGTAATGCAGAAAAATGGGTAATTCACTCTATGTTGAAATAAGAGAAGCCAGCTCTACGAGTAGAAAGATCAACGAAAAACAACGAAGCGAGAGAATTATAAACGGTCAAATAGTGTGCACCTTTAATCGGGTACCCTGTATATTTATCTATCTACATTTATAATTGTTATGTGTTATGTGGCCTCATTTTCCTCTTTTCGTAAATTTTGATTAGTGTTTTAAAAAGATTTGATCAGACTTCGAAGAAGTCCAACGTTCCTTGTTGGACAATTTTTCAGGGATCCAAACTTAGAAGTCAACAAATATTCCGAAGGCCGTGCTGATACCACGTTCCCCCCACCAGTGTATCAATCTCCTCCTTGAACAATTTATGTGGCGGAATATTAAATTGACAGTCATCAGACAGCGACTAAGCTGCGACTCGAGAAAGAGTTTCTTAGAAAATTAGAAACTTACATAAATTAGGATGAATAATAAGCGCAATAAGATTTGACGATGCGAGTGTATCTCATACCTTAAAATAGGGTTGGTGCTCTTCAACTCTTTGAAGCGGTCATTCTTCTGAACGAACGCTGTCGCAATGAAGAATAGGATACACAGGCATAGAAGCTGCAGTGAACCCATGGAGATAAATCTAAAACTCTTGGAAGTAGAAATAGCAGCTGATCAGAGAAGTGCAAACGATTACAATGTGTAATTCAAGCCAGAGCAGACATTGATGCTATTTCTTACTTTGAGTTGCAACATAAGAACGTCCTCGATGCGAAAGTTTATTGTGACGGTCTTTGTTGATACAGAATGGTTCTAATGCTTTTCGCAAGAAACATACAGCATCCGCTACTAAAGAGTTTTTACCTGAGATATCACAAGTTATTGTCGCGTGGTCGTCAGTAAATAGGCATGAACACAAGAGGGATTAGAATGGATTATGACGCTGACACTTTCTCTTTCAAAAACCATTTGAAACACGTCACCAAGCCTTGCTGTTGACTGCGGAGAAGAACAATGACTCATAATGTTCGACCTCTTAAGACGCTAAAGCAAAGTTACTACCCGTCTAACCGACATTAGTGTTTTGGTATCATAGCCTCTCGAGATCTCAGAAAACGAAAGCTGGCTTTTATAAGATTGCGTTCTGCTGGTTGACTGTACAAATTTAGATGTAGCGCCTTGGCGGTTTGTCTCTGATTTACGTTTGTGAGTTAGAGACTCACGAGCGAATCACGAAGTGCACTTTCTTAGAAGGCTTGAGACGCTTATTTCCGTCTACTTTTCCACACTACAAAACTTCTTGAACGAGGTGCTCAACGTTTATTTGAGAAGGAAATTGAGTGCGCAGCTAGGACCAAATCTTGGAATGATATCGTCAAGACATACAGCGCATCGAATACGCTTACTTCAAAAAACGCACACTCACCGCTGCCTCATTTGAGTGCCAGGAAAAATTTTAACGGCTGAATTTGGTATTTTGCTTCACTAAACGCTCAAAATTCTTCGTACAAAAACGTTTCAAGGTATGGAAAACAGATTTATTAAGTTGGTGCAAAAGTAATGCGCGTTATGCGAACTTTGACGTGCTACAACTTTCTAAAAAATCCATATTTTTCAGCGCGACAAAATCCCTCAGAGACATCAAACCTCTCTCTATACAGCGCACATCAATTTGTGCTAAAATCACAAAACGGTGAAAAAATATGGATTGATAAGCAAAAAAATTTTTTTTTCGGAAACCTCGTTTTTAACTGATCATAACTTCCTTCATGATTTGTTGGTTCAAATAAGAAGTTGACTGTCTTGTAGCCGCAAGCCAGTAGTACAAAAAAAGTTGAAAGGTGCTCAAACAAAGAAGATTTGAGAAAATGAAAAAATAATATTTAAAATTGTCCGCTTTTTTCGATATTTTTTCGCGGCCCTCAAAATCCCAAAATATGGAGATTTTTGATTTTCTGTGTATGAAGTGCTTCCACATTTCTGCAAAAACTGTCAACAAGAGGTCCACCCTTACGCTTACAGGAATGAGCAAAACTTTGGCGATTGCCTTCTTAAAAGGAAATCTATGGGCCACAGAATGTTCAAAATCATCACTCATGTTGAGGCACCGAAATCTCAGTCTAAATAATTTCTGAGAAAACAGTAAAGCATGCATAACGTAGAAAATTTCTACTACATACAGTAGTTAAATTTTCAAAAGAATGCGCTCACTCGCGCTCAAATTCTGGCCAAGAAAGTAAGTGCAATAAAATTCTGGTTTCGAGTGCGGTTGTATGAAGCTCTATAAATTTTTAACGATTGAGGCTAGAAGCTTGTTTCAACCACCATTGAATAGAGCATGAAAGAAGCTTCTTAAAAGTATGCTGTGTAAGTTTCATAGGGGAACCTTCGATGGAGAAAAGCTGATTTGAAATAAGGGCTAGAAAAACGCGCATTACTTTTGCACCAACCTAATACAATAAGCGTTTTTTCATGCCCTCCAAGACATTCACATATCCGTTCTTACAAACCCTGCAGCTCCTGCATTACATCCTTTCTTTGCTCAATTAGAAATTTGCGACAGCTGCCCATGCCTGCACAAAGGGAAAGGTGAGAAGTTTTCTTTCCAAAATAACTATATAGTTTATATCAACAACTGATAAGCGTTTATGATACAGCAACCGCTGTATCTTGGATGTGCGTAAAAATCGAAAAGTCAAAGGTATTCGCCTCATATCAGTAATTTTCTGCCGGTGACGATCAGGCCAGAAGATAGCCTTCTCAGGTCAGCTGTGTACCGTGAGGAGTGATGACTTGAATACCGCGTAAATTCTATGTTTCCTATGAGTGGATCAGTAGCCAAAGACCATTAATGTTTCGTCTTTAATAGCTAGAATATTGACCAAAAATTCTCATGTGATGAGATCCGATCAAGAAAGAGCACGAGATGAACTAACAAAGTGGTGAGGTAACAAAAGAACTTCAGTACTTCAAATGACGATAATGCCGAGATCTTCGCAATAGAGCACTCGGCATAGATCTTTGCTTTTTCTATGAGAGCTGTCTGACGAGCCCCGCCAAATCAGAGTAATCTGGACAAAGATGCTTTGATTTAAGATCACTGTCTAATTCACACCCACTGCTTGCGTCGTAGCGGATAACACGGGAAATACTAAGGAAAGAACAGTTGATCTAGCCGAGCTTAACCTACATTTTACTTTTTCAATTTTACTTTTTCTACTTTTTCAATTTGAAACCAATTGTGGATTTGGAGAACTCTGTCAGGCGTTTGTGTAAGCTTAATCCTACACTACGTCGGCAGATAATTATTAACGCATGCGCCTTCACTTAAGAGGATAAATTGAATTCCTAACAAGTCGTCTGACTATTTCAGGTGCTATCAGCAAGTGGAAACAAAAAAATTGTTTCTGCATTCGAATGTCTTCCTTCGTATTAGATTGTCCCAAAAGTTCTGTTCGTTTTTTTTTTCGATAGTTTACCAAGGTTCAAAGAACACAGTCCGCCAAGCCATTAAGGTATCAATTGATCCGAATCTCTTTCAACTTTTTGACAGCTGCTTTTCCTCTCTAGTCCGTGCTGTTTCTGCGATGTTAACTCCATTCTGCAATCTCACACTACCTCGAAATTGCTCCTATTTTGGAAAAAATTTATCCTAACATTTCAAGCACAGAGCTACATTTCGTTTACGTGGGAATACCTTATGTTCTTGATGTTACCGAAAACTGCTTTTCGAAAATTACGTCAGCCTTTTAAACAAATTTGGTGTGAGGACGTAGCGAAATTGTAAAAAGCTAATTTATTGAAACAAATCAAAATAGATTGTTGTGAGTAAATGATGATTATGACGTTTGAGGCTATCACGTGTTTGCTCCGGGTCTCTGCGTGTGTTTCTTGATTTCACTAATACTCGAGTTTCACAGAAATGGTTTTTTAAGACTCCAAAAGCAGACTGAGAGGTCTGAATGCAGTCTCTTGCTGAAGATTGCTTAATTTGTTTGATACCCTTTCTTTTCTATGAGCAGAATTGAGAAGAGGATAGGCACAAGTCTTCTGAAAACGACCCCCTCCCCCTCTCATGAAACCCGCAAACGACCCCTTTTTAGCTCTTGACCTCCGAAACCTTAGGGCGTGACACTCTGGAGGATATCATCTTTTCTAAAAAGTTTCACACTTTTGAGAGCTACACGCCTGATTTTCTGTGACTAGACGTTCCAATCACACGTAATTGGTGCTGGTTCAGATCTGGATGAGTCTATTGAAAGGGCCATAATTTTTCTAGGGGTGGGACGTTCGGCTCCAAATTTCCATCGTATAACTATGAGCTTAATACTCATACCAGAAATGTAGTGATTTCCGGATTTCGAAGGCAAGTTAAGGGATTCAGGCGCAACCCCTTGAAAGCTCAGGCAGCCTGACCTTTTGGGGGGTTGCGCCTGACCCGATTGACTTTATCACGAAGAAGATTTACCATCTTAGTTTTATATGATTCGCAAGCATAAGCCTCGAAGATTCTACAGTAGGTGTTTGAACTTTCTTCGACTTGTTTTGGCTTTGTGGTGATCGGTGGAGTTGAAGCAGTCGAGGTAGAAAACGCGGTGACTAACGTTTTGGCAGCACTTCTTAATCCATTAAAAGCGATATGAAGTTCAATTTCTACCATGGAGTGATATAGAGAAATACTTCGTTTTGAATACAGAAAAACTGACTTTTCACTTTTGTGGCCACGTTACTTATGTTTGAAAAATGTTCTTTTTAGATGTTAGGAAACACTGGAAAATGTAATAGGTAAGAGCTTGTAGAACTCATTGAGATAATTTGGCATGCTGGTTGCGGAAATCATACCAACATAAAAAGCTTCTTTGGTGACCCTACGGTATGTGAAAGGTAAGAAGAAGAATTGAAATTTGGCTGAGTCCTCGCTAGTCGAGGTGGCAGTCATCCCTCTAGTGGAGTTGTGAAATTCACGGTTGAGCGCTTTTCTTCTTCACCTTGCTCGATCGTAGTATTTTCTCAATTTTTCGAACAAATTCGCCTTCTGATTACGATCCCACCCTTAGCTCTTACCTGCAAAACGACCCCCCCCCCCCCTCCGGTCGGGCGCGCCTGAGCACACGCTCAACCGTGTCTATCAGTTCAGAAGAATGAAATAAAAAACGACACAATTTTGAGTGTACAATGATGGGGGAGAAATGGCAACTGATTGCAACATAACACTTAGAGAGGAAAAAGTAAGTGGAAATTATGTCTAGATTTTTTATCATTATTATGCGTGCTTTTATAATCATTCAGATTACGACTAAATTTTCGGGACAACTTAGTAGATCTCGAGAACCCCCATGCGCGTCATTTCCCCAAACTTCCAAAAATAACATAACTCGACGCTCTTGTCCCGTTCGGCAATAATGCGCGTGTTGCAAATTCTGGATCTGGTTGGACGGCCTTCCTTAAGCATAGCGATATCGTAGCCGGATCGTTCCGGCTATTCCAATATTTGCATTAGACACATTGTGCATGTATGCGCGCCTAATTTATACACTGATATACTACTCTGTCAAGCCTGCTCACGGTAAGTCGCTCTTGTCAGCCAAATCCGCTGTCCTCATTTAGCAATAGCAATCTCCGACTTTTTTGGGAAAACGTAGAACAGAGGTCAAATATTTGGATTTTGCGATCGAAACAGGTGACGATCCGGTCCTTGGTAAAGGATATCGTTGATGTCTCTAATCTCTCAAATGCTGAGCTAGAAGTTTCATAAGATCAAGTTTTATAATGCTAAAATTTCTTTGCTCAAAGTCTATCCCTTAATCCATCTAGACTTCCCTGTTTTTCCCTCCCATCACCAGTCACCGGTCGTCAACTTGGCACGATAATGGCACTGATAGCTACGTAAATCATGGAGTTTTTCTTTACTAATAGGTTGTAACAAAATTAATGCAGGTTTTGAATTCCAACCGCAATAAGTTATACATTTCTCATTTCTAAGTAGGTTGCAAAATACAATTCGATAGCGCAAAGCAAGCTCTACAAGGTGGCTATTTTGGTATAGCAACAGCTTTGATCCACCACGAGTTTCGAGCCAAAAACTAAAGAGATTCAACTACCCGAAAAATTGAGAAAAATCGTAACTTAGTTTATAAAAAACCTACAAAAATTCTAACTTGCTCACGTAAACACTATTCACATAAGACATCTATATACGCCTTTGCCGTGTTTTTTTCTCTGTAAGAAATCAAGAAAACGCAAATTTTCGTGCGTTTGCCAAAGTGATGCTGTGCCGTTCCCAATAAGTAGTTTATGAACGTGAATTTCCAGCTCTCTACAAGCCTTAGTTCTCGAGAAATTTTGAATTTTAGCTTGGACCACATGACCAGCGAAAACTGTATTCGATATTTTTCGAGAACTAAAGCTTGTAGAAAGCTGGAAATTCACGTTTATACTTCTGCAGGTTTGTAGTATACAGCTACTTATGTGGGAACGGCACAGCATCACTTTGGCAAACGCACGAAAATTTGCGTTTTCTTGATTTCCAACAGAGAAAAAATACGGCAAAGGCGTATATAGATGTCTTATGTGAATAGTGTTTACGTGAGCAAGTTAGAATTTTTGTAAGTTTTCTGTGAACTGAGTTACGATTTTTCTCAATTTTTCGGACAGTTGAATCTTTTTAGTTTTTGGCTCGAAACTCAAAGTTAATGAGAGCTTTTGGAAAAACAAGATATCCATCCTGTAGAGCTTGCTTTGTTCTATCGAATGGTATTTTGCAACCTACTTAGAAATGAGAATTGTATGACTTATTGCGGTTGGAATTCAAAACCTGCATTAATTCTGTTACAACCTAATACTTTTCTGTTTTTCACTTATTCTATACTATGCATTAGATTGTCATAAGTTATCATAAGAAAAACATTCGGCAATTTGATTCATGCTTTTTACACCCACTCTATGAGGAAAAAAAATCGCCAGAAGGAGTTTTAGTAGTTTGATTTGCTGCTCAATTGTTATAATGTTCGCTTAAGCTACAGACCTTGACCGGTGACCCCTCTCAAAAATCCCTAAGGGAATATGTCAAAGTCTGACGGAATTGAATCTTATAACATCAAAGTTTACTAAAATAGGGCCCGGCACGAGGTGAGCAAATGGGGTTTTCCAAAACGAATTTCCCGTTGATCCCAAAAATCTTTACGAATACTCTCTTGAGCCCAAAAACGATGCTTTATGCTTGTGCAACGAGAACACCAGCCACATTTCTCCTAAAAGCGCTCAAAAGCTCCCAAAAACGCTCAAATTCTTCTTATTATTGCTCAACTTTATCAAGATAGAAAACAGGAAGAAGAATAAGTAAGAAAAATGATGAAGGAATATATCAAAGTAACGCAGTTGTACTACTGAAAGATGCCGTTTCCGCGTATCGATTGACTGGAGCGCGCTTTCCTCCTTAGAAAACTGGGATGCTGATGCGATTTTGGGCTCTAACAAAGACAAGAGGAGGAGTTTCGGAACCAAAATCCTACCATATAGTAAAGTTTAGGTGTACAACATATTTATGTGAAACTTTTGGAAAACTTATGTGAACTGTGGGTTTGGTTGCCTCAGGCTGCCATTAGGTGGGCAATTGCCCACTTAATTTGGAAAATAGTTGGGCACGCTCTTCATTCGCATAAGTTTTTCGTAAAATTCATACATTGTTCCTTAGCCCTACTGCGCGTATACACACCGAGTCTCGCGCGATTTCGTTTTTTCTGCGCTGCAAAAGAGCCATTCTTTCATTTTCTTGATAGTGGGATATTTTCGGAAATAAGCTTGCCACAAGCTTAGCCACATAATTTTGCAATGAAACTTCTAAGTTAAGCCCCGCAGGCCCGTGTTCATGTACTTACCAAGTTTCATACGGCATGGTCACCTGTGCGCTGCAAAGGAGCCATTCGAATTCACATATTCATTTATCAGTTTCGCAAAATTTCTAGGAAAAATGCTTATTACACCTCCCATTCACATAAATTTTTCATAATAATTCACAGTTTGTTTCTACTAGCCTCTCTTCGTTCGCCTACGTAATTTGGTGTTATATCGTTACGCCTGCATCGAGAACTGATTATGTAATCATGCAGTTCAACGGCATCGCTTATGCAACGTCGCGCGCGCGGCAATTAGCGGCGGCGCGGCGTACCGCGAACTCTGCTATGTGTTGAGGCTTATGATTTCCCAATGAATTAGATGTATGAGGTATTAAACATGATTCGACCTTCTTTTACTTGCACTTGGAATCTTCTTCCGGACTCCGCCCCGGACCCCCGCAAAAACGATTTCCTCCTTGCTTTTTTCGCCAAAAACGATTTCCAGCTTGTCATTTGCCCACCTCGTGCCGCGCCCTGTACTAAACCAAGGTGAATTACGGCATACCATACAGCGCCGTGGGAGTTCATCTTCTACGTCCCTCGACTGGTCGGTCATTTTGACTGGTCTTCCCCACCCTACCGGACGTCGAATCCTTGATCCAGGAAGCCCCGGAACAGCAGGATCAAGTATGTTTCACCCGAACAACGACGTATTTACATCGGAACATCCAACGAGAGACGCCTATCAAACGAAGTCCGACTACAAGAACTGCAAGAAGCCCTGAAGAGAACACGACTCGATATACTGGCCCTAACGAGATGGAAAACGAATTTCAAAACAAGCTTGGCACTTGCAATTAGCAAAGAATAAAATTACTCACGTTAAAAGAATGGATCAGTTTGTTTGGGTGCCGCATATTGTAATAGTATGTTAATCGTAGAACATGAACGGATCGATGATATCTTCCACCAGAAAAACGCATCCTCAGGCTCCCTGACTTTCTTTTGCAAAGTGATCGACTTTTTTACAGCTTTCAAGACAACATAATGCAAAAAAATATGCGTAGCTTGACTAATTTGGATAAACATTGGAAGTGAAAGTGTTCTAGATTATGCAATAAATGCGAACAAAATTTATTGCAATTATATTTTGGAAACCCTTCTTTTGCCTACCATCAAGATGAAGTGCAGCGGACACGTATGCATATTCGTGAGTAATAGGATGAATTCAGGATGCCCGACGTCTTCTATCATTGACGCTGCAGCATTGAGCAGACAGCTCTACGACATGAAAAGTATGTTCAAGCAAGACTGTACAAGAACAGACAAATACGATTTTGTAATTCAGAATTTCTTGGTGGCCATACTGATGTGGATCTTTGGTTTCCGTTTTACAAGTACGGTGTGTAATCTCAAATACTTTTAAAAAGTCGATTTTCATTTTCCAAACGCAAGTATTCTCATTAATTTGCAACTCTCAAACATTTAGCTTCACCATTTGGGCAATTCAAGGTTTCAACCACATGCGATTTGGAATGCTATGACTTTGACTCATTCCTTACAAAACCATGCAGGTAATACTAAGTTGGGTTACTGTAACCGTTCACATTCCAAGGCGAGGATGATGAAGGCCAAGCTTCTTCCATGTGCTATGGAAAAGTCCACATCAACTTTGTGGCACAACAGCGAAAATCCTCGTCAAAGGAGCAAAGCATGACACGAACAAAATACAACAAAAATTTGGAGTACTACCTTTTCTAATATTCGAACCACTTTTTCGACGTATTCTAATGAGCATATCGAGCAGGATCTGCCTCTCTTAGAAAAGAAGTTACAATAATTTTGTAGCTCAGAAGAAAATCCAATCCCCATTTTATTGCCAACCTCGTGGCTTTGTTCTAATGAAACAGCTTCAGGTGGCGCAATGAAAAAAACACTTGCGACGTGAACGGGGATGAAATTGACTTTATTCGTATGAAGGGATCTTGGGGTGAATCGGAAGGAGACACCATTTTCGGGAAATCGGATCGCGCAGGTAAGCTAATATTGAGTAGAGAGTTTGATATCACTGCTGCTAATAGTACACGGATTCGTACGAGCTTATGTATACTTCTACAACAAATTTTCCCTTTTTTTACATACTTGTTGACTATCATGAAGTTGATATAAAAAAGATGCAAACCCTTGCCAGTTGGGCATTCCTACTAGGCCGAGAGAAAACTTCACTTCGTTTGAGGCCTGAGAGCAAAACTAAAAAAGTCTCTGTTCACAAACTAATTCGGGAGAACCCTGGCGTGGTGTTGGGTACATCTATCCGATGCAGTTTACACCACGGGTAACGCTCCCCGGCGAAGAAGAGGCAAGCCCTAGCCGAGGAGGAGATACCCCCCAATAACAAAACTGCACAGGCTTGCAATCCTTTCAGAAGCCGGTCGTAGTCGTACGTTGGGTCCTCCTCGATGGGCCAGTCACAGCAACTTGATATGAGCTCTTCCAGCTTGTGGAGAGTGCGGTGACTTCTGAGAAGAACTTGGAACGCATTTCGAAAACCACCAAGGAATTGCTCGAAAGAAGAAAATTTCTGAGGCAAAATCCGAATGCAACCCATCTCGAGAGACTGATAGCCAACGCCAGTTGCAGAACGGCTTTGCAGGAGGATTTGAGGAAGTGCAGGCAAAGCAAGATACTGGAAGCAGCCGAAGGAAGACGAAGTCTTAAGTAGTGCCGAAGGGACCTCTGTGAATATCACGTCGCTGGCTGCACTATTGAGCGAAGACAGGACTCCGACTTCTTCCCGGTATAAGATGGAATCGATCGCGAAGAACTTCTACACCAATCTCTTCCGCTCATCAACACCCGTGCCGATGCCCGTTGTTCCTGCTGGAGAAGTACCATCAAGGATTCTACCTGCTGAAGTACGTATTGCGATACAGACCATGAAGACGTCCACGGCTCCAGGACCAGATCATTTTTCCGTCGAACTTCTGCGAGCCAGAGGACACCATCTACACGAGGTTCTAGCGTGGCATTTAATAACTTACTTTCAGAAGGAGAGGATTCCCGACCAGTGGAAAACGAAGGACCGTCCTTCTCTTCAAGAAGGGTGAACGGGAGGATCTTCGGAACTACCGTCCAATATGCTTGCCGATTGTGCTGTACAAGCTTTTCACGAAGATTATCCTCGCTCGCATATCTAGGACACTGGATGAAGCCCAACCTCAAGAGCAAGCTGGATTTCGCAAAGGATTCAGCTGTATGGACCACAACCATACGGTTTCGAGGGTCATAGAAGTCTGCCGGGAGTACCGACTACCTCTCGTCCTAACCTTCGTCGACTACGAGAAAGACTTTGAAGCGTCGAAACGAAAGCTCTGTCTGCGCTAGTCGATCAAGGAGTGGACCCAGCTTATGTGAGGACGTTAGCGGACTGCTACAAAGCCTGTACAACGACGATGCAGCTGTTCTATCGCCCCCTGGCCGTTCCAATTGGGAAGGGGGTCCGACAAGGCGGCAGAATCTCGCCGAAGCTGTTCACCGCGGCCTTGCAGTGGATGATGTCACTGGACTGGGACGAGAGAGGAAGTCTTCAGTGGAAACAAATTTTTTAGATCTCAGTGTAAAAATAATGGAGGATGAGATAGTTTATAGCATGTATAACAAGACGGATGCTCACAACTTTGTAGTTTATAGATACCCACATAGAATGTCTAATATACCAAAGCATAACATAACCAGCACGGTTATAGGGGAAGCTCTCAGGATTAACAGAATTGTAGCAACTATGTGGATTTTTCCGATAGAATTTTTCAGCTTCGCAATAAATGTATTTTTAATAGCTGGAATGTCGCTGAAGTAGTACGAACATTATGTCATGCCCTTAGGGAAAGGCCTCACATTATGCGAAAGTACGGCTTTCCCACAGCAATACATTTTCCTCTCATAAATGAAATAAGAAATAAAGTGACCTCTACAGAGACTTGGGGACGCGGATAGGCGGGAATGAGCGAGGGAGGGAGAGGACCGGTGATTTGGTTCATTTGCTCTTTTGTACACCTTGGACTCCTCTCGTGTCAGCACTGCTTCCTTCACCCTTTTGTACACTTTAAACTCCTCTCGTGTCAGCACTACTTATTCCTTTTCGTTTTCTTTTTCTTTTGAAGCCTTCCTGTGAACTACTGATGAGAGTGTTTCTGAACCCGGGCGGCAGGAAGGCCACACATCTGGTCTAGTTCAAGCCCCGAAACCAGAGGGTGAAAAAGAAACTTTTATAGTATTGTTATTCATATGTATATTGAACTCGCAGTCGCTCTGCACTTTACCACTTTCTTCAATTATCAATTTCATAGCACTTCTCTGCTTTATGCGATGTCCCAGATTCAATCGTTGCGCACCATCGCTTAGCGCGTTAACAGAATGCACTTCCCACTTCTGTAACTTCATCTTAGCTGCGCATACTGAAACACATCTTGCACTGTAACTTGGACTGAATCGAAAAATTGTTTAGTATTAGGTGGGTCCGAAAGTTCGTGCCGTTTTTCAGATCCATGCTCAAACAACTAAAAATAATGATAGACAAACATCTAAATGGTGTTCGTCACAGAATTTCTTCCTCTTTCCAATGTTTATGTTTCCGATCATTCCTTCAATGTCCGCTTGATCAGCGCCAGAAACTTCAACACATGGTTTCTACCTACCCTGAGTTTCGCTATTTTCTAAAATTTCCATATCCAACTTTTCGAAAAGCTTTCATAACAGTTGGATAGAAGAAACAAAATGCTATACAATAAATTTTTTGGCATTTCTAGCTGGATTCTCAAAGTTTTTGAAAATATTCTTCTGATGCTATCAAATTCCATATCGGGCCATCCCAATCCTCACAGTACAATAAACGGAGAGCAACCAAAGTATCATTCTATGCAGCTTTTTCTCCTCTTTCGAATAAACTTCTTTTCTTCCTGACTTATATGATATTTGAGAATAAAATCATTATAATTCATATTTCCAGACTCGTCCCAGGCTGAAACCACAAAATTCGGAAATCGATATTTCGAACAGCTAAACGCTCAGTTGCTTGCTAAAATTATTGATAAGTAAACTGTTTTTGGAAGGTTCAATTTCCGAAGATTTCTTAGTGTTTGAAGAAGTTGTGTATTTCATGCCTCCGTAGAAGTAATTACTTTAAAAAAAATTACTTCAAAAAATGCTGAAAATTTAGATGAGAGGGCCAAAGTATTCATCCTATAGTAACATCCTAATAGTTTATAGTATAGGTTTTTTTTATTCTATCCAAATTTATCGAAGCTAGTCCGAAAGTTGAAAATAGAAATTAAAAGATAGCGAAACTCAGGATGAGTAAAAACCATGGGTTGGAGATTTTGACGATTATTCGAGCTAACATCAGAGGAATCTGAACAAGAACATAACCTTAGAAAAAGGAAGAAATTCTGCACTGAACGCTCTTTGACGTGTTTGTGTATCATTATTATAAGCAGTTTGAGCATGGGTTTGAAACGGCACGAACTTTCTGACCCACTCCTTATTTACATTTGAATAAAATATATTCCATATTCAACGACTCCGAAAATTTAAAATAAGGTTTATCATATAGGTCGTTCCGAAAGTAATGTCGCTTTTTCAGATGTACGCCGCATCTCATGGTACAAAGACTTGTAAGAGATCTGGATAATATTCGATGCAGCATCTCATCCCCTTTCTTGGTTATTAAACCATTGCATAATATTCAATGAGTTCTCAGAAAAAAATCAAAATCTGCATGCTTTTTGTGAAGGTCAATTTCGGCCAATTTTCCAAGTCTTCGTACTGATTTCCCGAAGAAGTACAAGTAACAGGTAGATAAAGCAAACACTATAGGATTCAAAACAATTTTTTCTTTTCCTTAGTTTGCATTTTAGAATTTTTTAGAATCAAATTTTCAATGCTGTCTAATCTATGTTTGGTCAACTAAAACCTTACAGAACAACAACCAGCAAAGTACCCGGGTGTCAATCGACGCAGCTTTTTCTCCTCTTTCTAGCAGTTTTTTCTTCTGTTTCCAATTCATAAAGTTTTCCGGGATAACATCGTCATAATTCAGGTCTTCCAACTCGCCCCAGGCTGTAGGCGGAATTTTCGAAAGTTGCTAATCTGAAGCGGTGAATGCTCATTTGCTTTGTAAATTTAGTGCCAAACCATAATTTACTTTTGTAAATTTCAAAATCAGGAGATTTATTGGTGTTTGATGCATCTGTGTCTGCGATAAGCCTGCTAAAATTTGGTGGTTCCACTAAAAAATCTATACAAAGACTATGACGAGCTATGGGAAGTAGAGAAAATTGTGCTGTTTAGTGTAGGGTTTGTTCTATTCACCCATTATTTGGATTTCTTTCGAGGGTTGTTATAAACATTTGGAAAGTTTGTGAAACTTGACTTTTTCAAAAAGCATGCATCGCAGGCTTTGATGATTTTCGACAGATTCATACCTTTCCTTGTTGTTCTAAAAGAACTAAGGTGTGCTAAGAGTTTCAAAGGTGTAAATTCGCATCACTTGTGGCAGGATGGTTACGCTTTTTTCCTTGTAGGGGATATTGTCTGAAAAATCTCACATGCTAGGAAAGCATTCCATGTTTAGGAAAATTAGCAATTTGCGGTAGGAATTTTTGAGTATGTGATAAGTAACATTTCTGGAAGAATTTCCGCGGGACGACATGGCTGTTGAATGCCGTCATAGAAACTTTGGAGTTGTGTGAGAGAATTTGTGTTTCAGGGAGAAGCTAATTTATGCCAATCTGTGAATGTTCATGGAGTAATACATTTGTGGTAAAGAAAAATCTGCAAATTCAAGGAATCGAGCTGTTTGCAGTAGAGTTTGCAAGGAGAGAGCGGGGTAAGGGGGGGGGGGAGGGGTGGGGAGCAGCGAACTGCCTTGTAAGGAACATGTATTAGGTCGTTTCGAACGTAATTTCGCTTTTTCAGCGTATGTAACATCTCGCAAAACAAAAGTTTTGGGAAGGTTTAGGGCGCAATCACTGAGTTTTAGCAGGCCTACCTCGGACGCATGCACAACATATAACGACACACACAATTTTATGATTCCGCAGTAATTTTGCAGAGCAAATGAGGGTGTATGGATTAAAACAAACTCGTATTTTTCTGTAAAACCCGGGGCGCGCTTGAAAACTACAATATGAGGATGTTTTCCACAACGACTTTACGAATCAGAAACAAAAAAAACCTGCTAAAAAGAGGAAAACTGCATCGAATGACACCCGAGCTGCTTGCCGGTTGATGTTCATGAGGGTTAAGTTGAGCAAATGTAAAGCTGGCAAGCATCAAAAAAATAACTCCAAAAACTCTTAAAACTTAGCTGTAGAAGCGAAAGAATTGTTTTGTACCTGTAGAATCTATCTGTTCAAGGGTCACTTGGACTTTTCGAAGGACCAGTACAAAAAAAAGAAAAATAAAGACTTGACCGTGGCAAAAATTAAGGTTCATGGTTTCTGGTAAGTTTCTAAGAGATCGCTGGGTGAACTGCAATACAAACATAGTTATTTGAAAGAGAATGCAAAGATGCATCAGATGCTACCAAGATCCCAGGCTCCTCATTCTGCGGAATGTTACGCCCGTTTAAAAAAGGGAAATTACTATTGGAACGAACTAACAAGTATGGAACGTCTCTTAGAAATATTTTGAAAAGCAGATTTAAGTGATCTTATCTGAAAACGTTAGCAAGTATCGAGAGAAGAGATCGATATTCGTGCCAGTTCTAGTGAAAGGACTTCTACAAATTTGGGGTCAGGTTATTTTATAGGTAAGATTTTGGGAAGTAAGATTACTTGGAAGTAAGAAGGACTTTTTGAGATGCTAAGAAGATTGGTGGGAATCTAACAATAAGATATAAAGAATTCGAATAGGCAGACAATAAATGTCGGCATGCATATCAGTATGTAGCCCCCCTCCCCTCCCCCGAGAATGGCGTGCGAAATTTTTGAAAGATACTTGCATTAGTTATGGAAACGTGGAAGTGACTTGTTTGTATTGTAAATTAGAATAATTTTCAAAAGTTTTTGAGAGTTCACATTAGCTTTGTAAAAAAAAAATTTGGGGCCTGGTTGCCTCCACGCCCCCTTCTTCTAGAATCTCGGGTTATGGCAAGAATTTTGGAAGCATCCAAAATATTTTTTCGGAGTGCGTGGCTAACTTTATCCAAAATAAATTTTTGTTGTCCCCTACCCCCTTTCCTTTTCGGAGATCCTGTGACCGCTATCGGTAGCCACCTATTTATTGGGACCCTCAAGGTGGCTAGCGTACTGATGAGGATCACTTCGCTTAGCTTAGCATTGAAGTTTATGTGAAGATTCCGCTAACAGTTGCTCTAAGAAAAGTTCTTGCCTGCTTCTTGGTCTCCCAGCTAATTGCACATGCCTACCAAACTCCCTTGACTGCTTATTTTGGTGCTTTTGAATCTGTAATTTCCTATATTTCAGATGGATATTTCTTGATAGCAGGAGTTCAACAAAAGTTACCGCCAATGTATTCGGCAATGCTGGTGAGCGATCCTATACAGTGCCAGGAAGGTGATGGTGTCGTGAAGATGAGATTTTGGGCATCCCCCAACGTAAAATTGAGAGTCTGTACAAGGTGAGTACTTAACCCACTAGTAAGTAATTCGCTATCACTGCTTTTTTCCAATTTCATTTCGAAACCAAAAAGTAAGTCTCACATTCTGAGACAGACAATGAAAAGCGTACTATAGATGCATAGGTAAAAAAATCAGATAGAGAAAGCTGAAGAGTGCTCGCACGTGACTGCCCGGAGGCATCATTCGCAATCTGACTGGAACCAATTAATGGCCTCTTGCAGTTGAAGAAAAAGATATCCCATTAAGCTGTTGACAGAAATAAAAGCTTGATTGAACATTGCACAACGCCTTATGCTTCAACAAAACTGATAAAATAATGAGTTTTGAGAAAAAACCCCCAACGTGGTTTCAGAGCACCATCCATGGGCAGACGCTATATTTGGTGCAGTGAGCCACTGAAAAGAAACAATACAAGGCTTGCGAAAGTTACAATACCGGGAACTATATGGTACACTTTCGAGGTTGGTTTTATGTGAGAAACAAGGAGCAGTTTTTACGATAACATTCAGATTGTGGTAGAAGCATACAACTTCACGTTAGACGCTTTCGGCAAACAAGGCGGAGCTGCGATCATCGATGACATCACCTATAATTCTAGCGCAATTTACGAATGCAGAATGAGTAAGCAGATTGAGATTATATGGAATGATGATGCTTTGCAACTAGCTTGAGTGCTGGATCTCAAACTGTTGCGCAAAATTCGCACGCTGCTTGGAGTTTCAATTAAGCTAAAGCAGGCAAGGGGCCTTCGCTTCAATTCTAGATGAAGTACATTTCCGTATGACGCATTTCGCTTATTAGCCGAAGAACCAGCACATACAGGGTGTCCCAAAAGTAAGTACACACTTTTCAATCGTTAATATCTCCCTTCCTATTGGGTCTTTTTCCGCCGTTCAAGTACCACTCTGTAGAGGAGGCCTCAACTTAGATTTGCAGTATCAAGCGAATCACCGATCTCTCTTCGTTACTGTAGGATTATTGTAAGAACTTCGACAAGGATTTTAAGCCATTGGAGGCCATATTCTGCTTTGGAACAAAACCAAACAAGCCAAAAACTCTTATACTATAGTAATGGAAGCCGCTGATTTCGAATATGAAATGCCCACTTTACTGTGATACTTTTTTCCAAAGTTATTCCGGATAAGCGTAATAACCAAGTTCCCACCATTTGTCGGAAATGTAATTACACTGTCAGAAAAGCTGAAAACACTCACAAAAAGTTGTGTAATGGAATCGGCGTGCGCGAAAACCCTAGTACGCGATTTTTCAGATTTTTTGAAAAATAATTTTGTCAGATGGCATATTCCACAATGGTTCCACATGCTGGAAGTTCTTACCGTAATCCTACAGCAATGAAGAGTGATCGGGGATTCGCTCGTTACTGTAAATCTAAGTTGAAGCCTCCTCTACAGAATGGTGTTTGAATGTAGGAAAAAGACCCAATGGAAAGAAAGACATTGACGATTGAAAAGTGTGTACTTACTTTTGGGACACCCTGTATTTATAGTCATCAGACGGTAATTTACCTTCAGTTCCTCACTACGATCCACCCCCAAAACTTCCGAAACAAACCTGCGCAGCTATCAAATGCGATTTTGAGAGTGGTGCTTGCCTTCGCAACATGGAATCAAGTGGATGGAGGACTGCAGATGAGGCTTTGGGACCGCGCTCCAGCGGCATTCGATCCAAGTTAGGTGGGGATCTTTTGGACTTCAAACGCTTCCGAACAGTACATGAGCTGATTGTCTCATGAGGCCTAAGGCATACCTCGTCGTGACACCGTCGTCACGATTTTTGGTCGCTGCGCATCGGCTGCCTGGGCGACCTTTTACTGCGTGAAAGTCGCTCATCGCTTGAACACCGGACATACCCAAAGCGATTTCGTAGACATTTACACACCACACTGCATTATACGCACTTTTGGAAATTTTGCGTTAGTTTGTCTGAAGCCATTTATTCAGGAAACTTTGTACAGGTGGCGTCATATGCTTTCAGAGAACATTATAGCAAGCGAGCAAAGATGTCGATTTAACCTCATCTTCGTATTTACCAGTTTCTGTACAGGCGCAAGTTAATATCTGCGAGGAAATCGACTACAATTCCTAGTTTTGAGTTCACTCTTCCGGTCAATGGTAGGCATATGCTCAGATAACCGCCGGGGGCAGGCGGCCATGCGAATTTTGAGCAAGCGCGCACCGGAAAAATAGTTCGTTGATTTTTTGCCGCCCGCTTGCAGAAATTTGGAAGAAAGTTGGCGAAATTAAAGACGAATGTTTGAAGAACAATCGCGGTTTCTTTATGGATTAGCTGCGGCGCAGTGGCCGCATTCTCGCAGACTTTCCGCGAGAATATGCAAAAATTTCGGGGGCCGCACGGTCCTTTGTGGAGGACCGCGCAACCCCCAGGTACTTTCCGCTGGGAGAAAGTACCTCAAACTTGAGTAATTAAACCAACGGTGACATCTCTGCCACACAGAGTCTTACCTGCGCTCGACGTACGCCCGAAAATGCCTAAAAAGAGTCCGAGCGCTTGCTGAAAGTTTGACCAGCGCTCGCTGAAAGAAATTATTTGCCGAGCGCTTGCAAAAAATGTTGTATTGCTGCCCGCTGGCAGAATATGCGACCGTAAAGGAAGTGCCGCCCGCTGAAAATTTGACCACGCCCCAAAATTCTGCTGACCGCCTGCAGAAAAGCGCGAGTTTGCGGACCGCCTGCCCCCGGCGATTATCTGAGTGTTAGCTTCGTAATAGAAAGGCCATGCTTTCGGCCCTTTGAAAAAACTTTGGGTAGGCTTTTAACAGCGAATGCTGCGGAGCTCTTGTCTGCCAATCTGCGAACGATTATACATATATGCTTGAGCAACCGAGGTTGTACATCTATTCTACTTCAGAAATTATAGTAAGAACATTCGAGATTTGGTCACCATTCACATGTTATTAATAAACAAAAACAGGAGGTCATAATGCATTACGAGAAAGTAAATGCTAACACAGTGGGTGAGGTGACATATGGGAAGCATTCCATACTATTGGTTGGCTAAAAAATAAATTCGGTCGTTTTTAGCGGTTTGTAGAATTGTCACAAATCAGTTTTTAAGTGTACATATGGTACCACTGGAAAGAGCAAATCAAGGAGAATCGGATGGTTGACTCGGTTTTCTCAAAAAAAAATTTTTCTGATAATGAAATGGTGAAGGAAAGAAAATTGGTCAGATTTTTCCCCCGAAAATTCGAAAAATCACGTTCCGAAAAACGAACTGAAGTCAGGTGTAAAGTGTGGATTCGCTACCCATACAACAAGTTTTTGAATTTCCAACTATCTGCATGGCCATAGATGGCCAAATTCGAGTTATCTGGAATGCCCAAAATTTGACCTTCACGCGCAAATGCCTGGAAATTTTTACAATTTTGACTGCAGAAATTCAGAAACAGCAGGTCGCAATCTCTATTGTGGTTCGCCACCTAGCCAGAGGCTGTATATATCCAGCCACCAAATTACTCGCTTTTATACTCACTGCAAGCTGAGAAGGAAAGTTAGAAATTTAAAAAAGCGATTTTTTTAGAAGCCTGACCATATATGGTTAAAACTGTCACTTATGGTAATAGAAAACCTTGACTATTTGCTATTCAAGAGTAGAGGCTTGAGGCTACCTTCTCAAGAAAAATCTTAGCTAAATATCTGTTACATGAATTGTTATGAAGTTTTGAATTTGCATGTCAAAACGAACTTATTTATTAGCCAACCTAATATATACAGGCGATGTCAAAAACCTATTCCCTTTTGTGCAGTCCTCGATTTGCATGCACGCGCCGCAAATTCCGTGCGCCACGTGCGCGAGCGGCCGGCAGGGCACTTTGCCAACTCCCACAGACGTCATCGATCGAGGTTTGGCAAAGGCCCATGCCGTACGCATGCGAACGGACCGCATCAGCCTTGCGATGCGTACGCGTAAGAGCTACGGACCTGTGAGCTCCTCATTAACATGCACTGTACTTCGCATGTGTTGTTTCCAAGGATTTATAGTATGGAATGTTAGATGCTGGATGCCTACCTTCTCTCATATCAAGAGGAAACGCTTGTGTGAGATGGAGTCTCAAATGAGATTCGCACTTGCAAAAAATCCAAAACTTTTCACAAAGAAGAAGCCATTCGAGCGATTCGCCCATCGTTGGTGCAGCACCAGCGATGCGACATTCAATTCCAGCGATATCGCGAAGATATCGTTGGCGAAAGTATGCCCGTCCGAAAATAGCCCGCGAATCGTCGCAGCGTCAGTCTGAAGGGCCGGGCATACGGTCAGCGATCCATCGCGTCGCGAGCATTTCTGAAGGATAAGTGTTACACGTGCGCAAGATCACCGTCAATACTGCTAGCTGTTCGGCGCGACGCATCCTGATCGTTTTTGCTAGGCCATACCCATCCGAGCGAAATCACCGCGATCGTCGCTCATCTCAGCGAAATCGCTCATTTCAAATGCGCGACGCGACATATCGCTTGGATTGGGATTTCTTTCCGAAAGATATTATGATTCTTTTGTTTTTTGAAGCTAGTTTTTACATAAGAAGTGCTAATGAGTCCAGTATTCTCCGAATGTATTGGTTTCTCTAGTTTCTCTGTTATTTGTTAACGACACCACAAACTGGCAACAAAATTTAGTATTGTGTGAGAATGCACAAATCACTTTAGAGGTATGCCCCATATCCGAGCGATTAGTGATCCATCGCGCGTTTTCGTCGCTAGTTCCCAGCGATTACAAATTCAAATTGCGACGATTGTCTCGCGACGGGTATGCTCGGCTCTTAACACAAACGCGGAGCGACCACAGAGTTAAGCGCGCCGGCGCGGCGGACTCGGGACTTATGTCCGACATGGAAATCGCGCAGCAATTAGAATCGCGGGAAGTATGCTTAGGCCTAAGGGTGCCTTTATACCGCGTCAGCAGCCGCCGCCAGCAGATGTTAGGTGACCTTAGCGGTCGTCAGCCACCGTTAGGCGAACGTAGTAGCCGTTAGCCGCTTTTGTTATCTGGGAGCGCAAAATCACCAGATTTTTCCTACGCTCCAAAGCTGCCTACCCGCTCATCTTTCACGGTTTTTCTTGATTCTTGCCAAGTGCAATTTAACTCTAAGGTCCGTATGCACGCACATCCTCGCTAGCGAGGGAAAGGGATCTAAGAGGAGACGCTTCATACTCCGTAACTTTGGATATCTGTGTACTTCTTTTCTGTATTATAAAGATTCTTATAGCCTGATAATTGAGTATAATGGATGACATAACATTGCCATATAAATTGAGGCTTTCACTGTTACATGTGATCAGAGGTACGATAGTCGGAGCCGAGTCTCCGCCTACCTTCACTTTTGAGCTGGTACGGGGTGACCACCTTCACTTTTGGGTTTGAAAAAAATTTTTTGCTGAAGCTTAAAAGAAGGAAAATAAGCAAAAGGAACGCAAAAGAAAGTATTCAGAGCATATATCTATATAGTAGGGCGATCTAGGCAGTAACCGCCGAGAACCAGAATTTCGAATGGAAAAATAGCGAAAAAATCATGCAAATTTCCACTGTTATAAATCTAGCGGTTGAAGATGTCAGCAAATGAGATTTTATAGGTTTTAAAGGGCAAGTGTTATTCTACCAGATAGTGAAAGAACTAGGTCGATCTGAGCAGTGGCCGCCGAGAACGAGAATTTCAAAAAATTAAGCGATTTTAGGTTACTTAATGACAGTTGAGGTTTAGACTCCTATAAATCTGGAATGTGAAGGTATGCAATGTTGCGACTTCATAGGTTTTGCAGAGTAAGAATTGCTCTATCGGATTATTTTTCATCATTACCCATCCATCAAGATACCGCCGAGATTCAGGCTCTTCAAAAAACAGGTAAAAAAGCGCTTTTTGAAGTTCAACAGCTCATAACTTCTTCAGAATCGCATGATTCATGTTGCGACTTCATAGATTGGATTTTTCTCTTCAAGAACTTTCAGATGATATATAATATGTGGGGGGTGCAATGATTTTTCCGGCTCTAACCCAGGGTGGAGACTTTTTACCCCAAAGTCTCCACCTCGCCCATGTTAATGTATTGGCCAGAGACCGCTAGTAGAGACTTTAGGGTGAAAAGTCTCCACCCCCGGGTATATGCCGTGGAAGGCGTGAAACCCCCACATGTTGTATATCATCTGAAAGCTCTTGAAGAGGAAAATCCAACCTATGAAGTCGCAACATGATTCATGCAATTCTGAAGAAGTTATGAGCTGTTAAATTTCAAAAAGCGCTTTTTTACCTGTTTTTTTTAAGAGCCTGAATCTCGGCGGTATTTTAATGGATCGGTAAGTATGAAAAATAATCCGATAGAGCAATTTTTACTTTGCAAAACTTATGAAGTCGCAACATTGCATACCTTCACATTCCAGATTTATAGGAGTCTAAACCCCAACTGTCATTAAGTAACCTAAAATCGCTTAATTTTTTGAAATTCTCGTTCTCGGCGGCCACTGCTCAGATCGACCTAGTTTTTTCACTATCTGATAGAATAACACTTACCCTTCAAAACCTATGAAGTCGCAATTGCTGACATCTTCAATCGCCAGATTTATAACAGTGGAAATTTCGCATGATTTTACGTTAATTTATTATTCGAAATTTTGGTTCTCGGTGGTTACTGCCTGAATCAACCTACTTTTTTCGCTATACGTT